CGCGAGAGCTTGATGAAGAACTCATTTATAAGCTTTAAAAATAAACGTTCATCCTTTATTCCTCACTGTCGTCCGTAGCTAAGTTATAGTCATCTAATCTTATTATGGGGATGCCATTAGCACGCACCTGAATGGCAAAGCAACAATCCCTCATAAATCCAATAAGTGGCTTTGGTACATTTTCAGTTGCTAGTTCAATAGGTCCTTTAACAGACAATTTGTATGTTATTGGAGCAGTAGATGTTTGACCTTGTTGGAAGCAAAAGTCCACTTCTGTTGGAAAACCACATAAGAAATGTGTGTTGTCATAGCTATCCCATTTATGTTCCACACTACCATCATCCACCAATGACCTCATAACATCTTCATTAAATCCAATCATATCATTGTTTGTATTGCAAGCGTTCGCAACCATTTCATAAAATACAGGTCCATATGATTTTTCAGGTTCTGCAGGCATATTTCCATAAGCTCCCATGGAAAGCTGAAGATATTTAAACTTAGGGTTCTCAAAATTAACATAATAGTTGTCTTTCTTTCTAAATAGTGCCCAAATACTTTTAACATTAATAGGCGTATAAGCTGCTGTAAATGTTGCACTTGAACTATCTGTATTCTTTGAGAATGAACCGTCCATAGGAATCCAATCCATAACTTTAACAGGAAAACATAAAGCTCGTTTGTATAATGTTCTACAAGTTCTGTATAAATGTTAGGGTCTAAAGAGAATGACTTTGGATGAATAAAACATTCATTAAAATCCATCTTTGTTCGAAATAGTTGCTGGGTTACAGTTGTAATTGTAACTGTTCCACTAGCTTCAGTTGCACTCGTTATCATAGTGAATGGTTCATTCCATGAACAAATTTATTTGTCGGTGGATTTGAACCTGAAGCAAATGCAACTTTAAGAGTTGGATTGAAAGCAATGATATCATTTACAGATATAGATGTGCATTGTAAGGCGTCGCTACTGAACTTTACTTTAAGCTGAATGTTTCCTGCAAAAGCTGGAATAAATCGAATAGGTTCTAATGGAAGGAATCTTCTAACAGGAATTCTTAAACGAAGCTTAAAATCAAATGATTTTCCTGCTGTAATTGGACCACCAACAATTTGTCCTGTTCTGCATGTTCCCGAATGACTCCATACATCTTTATGTCGAGTCTTTGAAAAAACATCGACTTTCTTTATTTGTTCGGTAGTTTGTGAGTTTGAAGTTATATATGCTTCTTCTCTTGCGTTGTCTTGAGAATATACGATACGACCATTTGCAAGGATTTGATATCCAGCAACTGCATAGAAAGCGTCATCGAAACCAATCCAAAATCCTGGTGGGTTTGTTTTATTGGAACCTGAACCAATTTCTTTATCTACAATAAATTGACCTTCCATTTTATACGTAATGAATGTATTGTAAAGGTCCAACATATTTTCACCAGAGGTGAGAGATTGAATGTTACCCATGTGTTATCTTTAGCAGTTCCAGGTTGTGATGGAATCTTTGCGTCAGAATATTTTCTATTAGTGTCACCAATTTGAACTGCATTGTCTATGATATCGAAATATGAGCGAATCTGATGAATATGCTCTGCTGGAGTAAATTCGTTTAACTGTTCGTTCTGCATGTATTTACTTCAGATAAAAATATCTATTTACTTCATTATTCTCACTCTTCTTCTTGGTATTCGTGGTGGAAGTTGTTTCTTGACATTTTCAATGAACTGTACATTCTCTTTTGTCTCGACTTCTTTCACTGGTGGGTCAGGGTTCTTTGACTCGGTTTGCTTTTCAATGAAATTCACGAACTTTGCAATAAGCTCTTGGTTCGTTATTGAAAGTACATCTGGCTCTTTTTTCTTGTTCTTTTGGTGGCTCAGTTTGTACAGAAGGTTTTATATGGGCTTCGTGGGCTTCGCCCTTGCCATGCACCTTAATGTTGTCGCTCTCTGTATTCGCTAATGGAACCTTTCTTTTTCTTACATATATTTTACCATCTTTACTCTGACTTACATAATAGAAAGGATGTTGTATTCCTCTGGCGTCATTTAATATAATAGACTCTCGTTCTGATTTTGACAAGCTCATTTACATCGGTTAAAGTTTTAATTTAGTTTTTTATCTACAGTCAAATGACTCAGTCAAATCCTACGGACAAGACCCAAGGGTCATAGATGTTGAAGCATTGAAGAAAGAAATTCGTGAACAAATTTTATCCGAACTGAAGGAACAAAAACCAGAACAAAAGCCAGAGAGACCAAAGAGAAAACTTAGTGAAAAACAACTAGCTGCATTAGCTGCTGGAAGACAGAAGAACCCACGTTTGCTGGCGAAAAAAGCTAGAGAAGAAGCAAAAGCAAAGGAAGAACAAAAAGCAAAGGAAGCTGAAGCAAAGAAAGAGTAAATGGTTTATTTTTATCCAAACTAAATGTATAGACAAATACCTTTATCTGTTGCGTTCAGTAGTGAAAACCCTGACGTCAAAATAAAGGGGAACAGAGTAACGTTTAAGTTTCCAACAGACTGGATTGTGAACATAAATGAAGAGAAGTACATTGGCATAACATCTATGTATATAACACGTGCTTTCAGAAAGGTTGACTTTATACTTCAAGTCGAGATAGAAAATGACGAACAGTCTTTAAGCGCCCAAAACATTCACATATACAAATACTTTAAAGACGATACAACATTGTTGCAATGTATGATTTCATTTAATGAGATGTTCGAGAAAAAGTTCAATATTGAAGTACAAACTTTACAGCCTTTACGTGAGTTTCTTGCACAACTGAAAGAAGAAGGTAGTCAGCCACAACTTATAGACTTTCATTATGAATTTAATGAAAATGAAGATGGAACTCATGACTGTCAGTTTGTTATATATTCACCATTCAATGAAGTCGCTAAAAAGAAAGAAAATCCATTACGTATAAGGTTTCAAATCTCTGAACCCAATGAAGACTTCAAGAATGTTTTCAATTATGATGCAATACTTCCGAGGAAAAATGAATTTTCAAAGATTGTAACACCTGGCATTTGGGATAGAAAGCAAGCTATATTATATTCAAACTTAAGTAAGGGAGTTGAAAATGAGTTCATTGGTCATACAAGAACTTCACCACTGTCAAATCCTAAGTATTACAAGCTTACTGGCTTCAATCGTGAGTTTTGGATAGACATGTTCTCCACTCATGACCATAAGTGCCCAGTGTTCTTACCTCCAGATGGGAAAGATTGTTTATACATTGAAGCACAATTGTTAAACTCTACAATAGCTGTATTGTAAATGACCACATAGGCTTCGCCCATGCCGCTAGCGGCTTATTTTTATCACAAATGACCTCATTGCTGACAAAAATAAATGACCTCAGAACTTCAACTTACGAATAAAGCTTGTTTTAGTCGTTATTGAAAAGTTGAACTTTTCAGCAAAGCAAGGTTGACATGACTTACATAAGTCGAATGCAATCTCTTGACCATCATAAAGTGCTTTGTAAAGTTTCATTAAACTGAACTCAGAGTCTTTGTCATATGTTCCAACAGGTATGTGAATGTTCTTATCTTCATTGTAATAGCATTGTATAGCTTCAGGAAACATTTCATTAGCGGTTAAAGCAATAACATCTTGCTTCACGCCTTTCATTCTGCAGTGAAATGCAACTTCATTTAAATCATTCGTGAGTAAGTCTATGTAGGTCTTCTTTCCACAGAAAATACTTTTATAAGCTAAACTTTGTTTTCCAGGTGTTATTTCTGCAAAGTCGCTATGAAATTGACCAAGGTTCTTTCCTATAAGTTCTCTACCGTATCTCTTCTTAAACTCTGCTGCAAGCTTTGGGATGTCTTCATTATATAAGTGCATACTGTCGGTATCCTGGTAAAATATTTGAAGACCCATGTCCTCTGCAGTACAGAATACTTCATTCATAATACGTTTTGACATAGACAGAATATTAACACCAAGTGGACAGAAGTTAAAGTGTCTGCAAATGCTTTTCGTTAGCTTGAAAATAGTTTTATCTGAACCATCCAAACCTTCGAACTTCACTATATGGTTGTAATTTCTTATAGCATATCTTATAGCATCTTTGTCATCTACTATGGTTATTTTTGACTCAATAGGAGATAGAATAGTTTTGCCATAAATGCTGTTCAGAATGAGTTTTATAATTTCTTGTAAGGGGTTTTCTTCTTTCTTATACTTTAACCTTAACTCAAACAACTTCTTTACTTCATCTCTTATTCTCATATCTCTGTTTCCATCGTAATAGTATCCTTGCAACACTTCACATTTGACACCTTGATATTTTATGAGGTCTTGTAATGTTATATGGTCAACATACATGAGACAGCAAGTGTTTGAACTTCTTGGAACGTTAAGTTCTGGATTTAGTTCAGGGTCGCAAACTATTAAATGAAAGTGTCTGGGTATACCAATCTCTGTTATCTTAATGAGAACAAAGAAGCCAGACATAAACTTTTCACCAATGGGTTCCTTTTGGTCATCATCGAATAAATGTCTCATGAGATACTCTGTGTTTAACATTTCTTCCTTCAATACTTTTGGAATACCTTCTAAAGTATAAAGTCTTGCTATAGCTGAAGGATATAATGAAACAGTGTCGAAGTCAGCAATGAGTTTCTTTTTGCTCTTTTGTTTCATGTTATCTGACAACATACATCTTCCACCTTGAATGCATCTCGAAATAAATTCTCTTGGTTTATTTGAGAGGTCATAAAGATTTCCATTCGGGAAGTATACTCTGTTCTCAAACAATTTGTTAGCAATTGAACAAATACTAACGTAGTCATAAACGTTTAAATCAAACTCTTTCAATAAGTCATTGCGGAACTTTACAAAACCTTCTCTTAAAATTCTTACATCTTGTTTGCAGTAAAACGTGCTATATTTTTCTAAGTCGAAGTGGTTCTCATCTATTCTGCAACCTTTGATGGAATCTATGTTTTTCATAAATGTATCTGCATCCCGGATAAACTTACATGCTTCAGAAATGACACCAGTTCTGTTGTCATTTGCTAACAAAACACTGCTGTAGTAGTTATATGGAAATACTTCTTTCGGTCCTGTTTGTAAGTTAAACATAGCAGGAAATAGTTTAAGCTTCTTATTTATAACACTGTAAGAGTCTTTTATAATAATTGCCCGTCCTTTATATAAACCAGTTATTTGCATTGTTCGTGAACCTTTAATGATGGGAGTTCCTTTCACTTCTGTCATGTGTCTTAAGATGAAGTTTATGTCATAACTGAGGTTGTGAAAATATATTAAACTCTTGTCAGGGAGTCTTTCCAAAAATTCTGTTGCACAGTTTTGACCCCAAATGCTTTCACTCACTGAACCATCTTCACTGTCATAACAGATGTTAAAAGCTTTATGAAAGCCATCCGTACTACACTCAAAGTCAGCAAAGAAAACGTGCTCAGGAATGAATTTACATTTAGCTTTATTTACTTCTTTTGACTCTGCTTTCTTCTTCAGTTGTACACAATACTTTGGAGCATATGTCAAATCTTTAAATGGTGCAAGGTTCTGTTTATATAAGTCAGTAGTATATGTGAAAAGTTCTCCATAAGAAATAGGTTCGAAATATTTGCACTCCCACAATGTTTTCATAACATCCCATAACGGTGTTGTTCTATCATAACGAACTACATATTTATCTTCTCTCTTTGTATAAATCTTCATCTGTTTCTCAATGTTCATTCCACCACAAGCTTTGAGAATTTCTTTATAGTTTCGAATGAAGTATGTTGTCATTGGAAGTCTTTCATTTAGCATGTAGTGGTCTTCAACAAGAAGTAAGTCAATAGTTCTAACAGTTTCGCATTCTTTTGGTATATATCTCTTTATTTCATTATGTCTTGAGTCATTGAAATAACCAATGGTAACATTAAATGCTATACCTGTTGCGTCAGAAATTTCTTGTACTTTACTTTGAGGAAAGTCTCTAACACGAATGACTTCTCTCATGTGGTCAATAGTTTCTTCATTTACTCCAGCCTGAATGCAAGCATAAACGAAACAATTGTCCTCTGTCATAAGTATTGCAGTTCTTTTGTTCAGTTCATTGAAGATTTGGTAGCGTTCAAGATTTATAGGTAATGTGCAAAGATACTTCCATAACTGACCGCTTCTCTTCTTATAAAACTTCTTTTCACCATTATCTTTCCAAAAGCTTTCTATAAGTGCTGGGTTTCCTGTTTGCTTAAGAGCTTCCAAAATGGCTTTCTGGTCATTTGTCAGTGTGCTTTCATCTCTATATGGTCTCTTTTTTGGTTTGCCTTTCTTTACATCTGACATCGTTAAGCCTTCATATTCTGTTAAATCATACATCTTTATTTCAGTAAGATTCTTTATGTTTGTCAAGAAGAAGTCATAGTGCATTTCAACAATACCTGCAGCATTTGCTTCTATCTCTGATATAAAGTTCTCCTTCAAGAGCTGATGTAGTAATGTTCCAATATTATTGAGGTTTAACGTAGAACATTCATACTTTCCACCAAGTTTATAACATACCATCCATCTTTGTTGCGAGTTTATTTTAATTTTCTCTAAGAGTCTCATGAAAACCTTACCGAAATGTTTGTGTAAATATTCTCTGTTTGGTTCATCTAAAGCTTCGATGTTAAAGTCAATGAGTCTATTGCCTGACTTCACATTTCTCTTCCTATTCTCTTCATCTTTCTTTAACCATCTCTCACCTTCTTTTGGTTTGTCGTCAATGGAACGAATGACATCGTTAGCTTTGCGAACTTGTTCTATAGCACTTTTAAACATCTCTCTTCTCTGTTGTTTCAGTGTGTCGTCTCTTCTTCTTGTTTCACCAACGTTTGCATTTGTTATGTCAAACATTTCTTGACGAACATCATGCGAAAGAGCTTTACGAGTATGACCAACGTTCGCATTTGTTATGTCAAACATTTCTCTTCTTACTTCATGAGGTACTGAACGTCTATGATATAAGTCAATAGCAATGTCATTTAAAGGAAATGCTCTTGCATGGACTTCGTCCTCGCCGCGTTGCGGCTTTATGAACTCATGAATTCTATCATAACTTATTGCACCATTGTAGTCTTTAATGAAGTCAGCGAGTGCTTTTTTGTTTGTCGCGTAATGTTTTGCAACATCTATATTAGCTTCTGTAAGAAGTTGTTTTATTTCCGAGTGTTCTAACTTAGACAACTTCCGATACATCTTTAGTAGGAAATAAAAAAATATTTTTTCGAAAAAATAAACTTAGAAAAATTATTTCTTTATATATTTGCCATTCCGAACTTCGAAAAGATGTTTTATACCAGCATAGAATTTTTCTCTAGAGCTTGGTCTTATATCGTTTTCATGACAATATTTTCTATATTCTTCATATAAAGCCTTTTTTTCATACATTTTATAAGGACAATCTAACCAGAATAGCGCATATCCATTTTCGTTATCTAGGTCTCTATATGTTTGTGGAATTTCGCTTTCTTCTGTTTGTAGAATTTCGCCTTCACTATTTAGTTCTATGTATATATATTGTGGAATTTCGCTTTCTCTATTTAGTTCTATGTCTATATATTGTGGCTTAAAAGGATGTGGGCAAGAAGGGTCTGGCGCTATGTAAAAAGTTAATTTTTCTGTCATCTTTTCTATCGGATAAAAAATATTTTTTGAAAAATTAGATTACATTTTTTTTAAGTTATTTTTCAAAATAATTTAATATTTTTATTTTAATGAAACACATGCAAGATTGCAAGTTCTTTTCATACAATGCTCTCGCTACTGCTATCAAACAAGACAAATAAAGAAAATAAGAAAATACGGCGCTGTCGCGGTTCGAACCACAGACCCTGACCCCTCCATAACACCACCTTAGACCACTGTGCTACGTAGCCTGTCGACATAAGATTTTATTTGACTTCAATTTCGTCGAATTCAGGAATAGTTAGTTTTTGATGCTGAATTTCAGCTAGTTTAGGTAAATGGTCGATGAGGTCCTCCATTTCATAAAGATACTGTTCATTTGTTTCATCTTTCGCACTACAGTCTAAATTACTTGTTAAAAGTTCCTGCTTAATTTTTTGTATTTCTGTTTCGAAAGTAAATGAAGAAGGAATGAAGCTTTCCATCTCTACTAACATAGATGTTGGATTCATGACTAACGAGTTTGGTGAAGTTGTTGTGGACAGAGTCCCGCCGTTCGCGGCTTGAATTGTTGTTGTGCCGATTGTTGAAATCATATCTTTTATACAAAATAAAAAATAAATAAAAATAAAACTAACTTTATTTTTTCTATCTTAAGGAAATTCACGAAAATTCAAGAGGTGAAAAAACAGGTGAGAAAACAGGTGAAATCTCACCTCTTCACCTATAATATATTTTTGTCTGATTTACATCCAACGAAAAAGTTTAGAAGAATTTTCTTATTCTTTCTGGCATGTTTTTATCTTTCCAGTACTCCCGCTCTAATGGTCCCAGATGAGTTGGTTTAGATTCTCTCAAGTTCTTAGATGGTATAACATCTTCAACGCCTCCTTCATATCTTACTTTATAAGTGTCATCGTTTATGTTGTAGTCAAGTATTTCAATAACCACTCCTCGCTTTGCTTCGTCAATGGTTTCAGCAAGTTCGCCATTACTACTTTCAACTAATTTATGACGAGGGTAAAATGCTATGGAGTCGTCAGCAGCTTTTATAAGATATCCATTACCTTGCGTAGAGTCTACGATATAATAATTTCGACTTAACCTTAAACGTTTCTTTGTCAACGGTTTGTCGTCAAGAACTACACGAACTTTTGTTCCAGGAATGAGAGTAAATTGTGTTGAATTTCTGATATTTTGTGTTTGACTTCGTTTCTTTTGTATATACTTTTCTTCTTGTTGTTGTGTCATTGAATTTGGTGTATGTCCTGTTGTAGAATGTGTTGAGGAATTGTAAACTTCGATGAAATGTTTCATTGTTTCTTCGGTAAAGTCTCGCTCTTGATTTAAATCTCTGAGAGTCCTTATGAAGCGGTTAATGATACCGAGTATGTTATGGTTATGGTCTTCAGTAGTGTAGTGAGTTATGTTATGCTTAATGAGAAAATCTGTGATTTCATTGCTGAGATATGCACTGTCTTGGTCTGATGTTAAAGTACTTGGGCTATGTTCTGCTACAAACTTTTGTAAAACTCTTAACACTTCACGAGTTCCTTTATTTTTCATTGGATATGCATATGCTTTACGAGTGTTAACATTAATGAAGATGAGGAATGGTTTATGTCCTCCTTTTCTGCTTTGAATGAGAGTGTCAAATTGGTATGCGTCAGGAGTGTTGGAGTAAATTGGTAAAAAGTAGTCGTAAGGGTTTATTTTTGTTTGATGTACAACATTTTTGTCAAAGAACCTTTTCACTTCAGCTCTGTTAGTAAATCCCGAACTCTTTGCAGCTTCATTGAATTTCTTAAAAGACCTCCATGGATGTTGTTCGAATACTTCTTTCAAGCTCATTTATGTAAAGTTAAAGATTTTATTCAAGACGGTAAGCCCGCAAAGCAGGCTCAAGCGCGTTCATTGAACGCGGTACCATGCAAATACAGTCACAAATGGTGGCATGTAATCTTTACCCGAGCCTGTTGGATTTGTTGTGAAAGTGTGTGAATGATTTCCTGTGGTTCCACAGAAAATACCTGTGCTTAAATCTACTGGGTCACTTGAAATATCATATCTATGCATTCCCTGTCTATCCGAACCTGCTGCAAGATTTGTATAACCTCTTTTTGTTATTGAATGTGAATGACTACCTGTTGTGTTTGTAGTTCCTGTATGAGTGTGCGGTGGAAGGTTTGCTTCTTTAATTTTCTTCGAACCACCTGTTTGCTTTGAAGAGTTCGCACAGTATAAGAATTTATCTACAATCTGCTCCCACGTACCGAAACCCAGAACTGTTGCTGGATTTATTGAGTTCATTGACGTATAAATAGAGCCTGCAGGATATAATGTTTGAAGTATTTCAGTCTTTAATGTTTGAAGCTCTGTTTTGTCAGCCTTCTTGTCATATAAATCTTGAGCAGTGAATTTAATATTATATTCATCCTTCATGACATAAACATCTTTACATCTAATGTTTCTCATCGTCGTTATGTCGTCATCCGATGTTAAACCTTGTGGAAAGTTAGGAGGTTTACAATATAATGCATCCCCACCAGTTTCTTCAACCGTTCCTTCAATACTTTCTATAGCAACAGTTGTAAAACTTGTATGTGTATGGTTCTTGTCAGCTTTACTGTCTAACATTGCTGGTAGTTCATGGGTTTCAAAGTTTCTGGCATGACCTTCAATGTTCATACATTTACTATTTAAGGAGTTTAGTGTATCTTTTACGCTTGTAGTTGGATTCTCTAAAGGTGCACTTGAACCAAGGGTATAGTTCAATATTATGTCGTCTGCTCTAACAGTAGTGAAGAATTTATGTGTATGGTTCTTGTCGGCTTTACTGTCTAATGTAGCTTGAAGTTCATTTATATCGGAGATGTTGTGTTTATGAGATTTCAAAACTTTGTTCATTGCTTCGAGTTCAACTTTGTCAGCTTTACTTTTAATAGCATCTTCAAACGTTATTTTTGACTTAACTCTCAAAGTAAATCTTGGTTCAACTAATACACCTTTAACAGAGAAAGTAGAGGCATAAATTTCATCGTTATAACTAAATGCTTCTGGTGCTTTACCCGTGTCATACTGTACAGTACAGCTTATGTCATAACCTTTAGCACGAATGTATTTATATCTTCTTTCATTGGGGTCTTCCGTCTTCACTTCTTCAGTTCGTGTTAAATATCCATGGTAGTCCGTTATAATCTGTTCGTCTGAAGTTATATAATGAACGTGGTTTTTATCTGCTTTTTCGGCTAATTTCTCTTCTATCTCATTTATTTCAAGTTCATGCCTACCACCACCTCCCGAAGAAGTATTTTTCTTCAGCTCTTGAAGAACGTCCACTTCGCCATCTTTGGTGTCAATAATGAGACTTTGTGTTAAAACCTTTCCTGTCTTAATGGATGTTTGTAAAACTTCTTCTTCACCGTGTTCGGGGTCATGGTCGTCATCATATCTTGTGAAATCAGAGATGTTGTCATACATTAAGCATATCTGTCTCAAAAGTTCTGCTATTTGAAACTGGAACGAAAGATATACAGAACTTTCATCATCTCCTAAAGTCAAGTCTGCTTTCTTAAGTATTTCTTGAATGTATGCAATGAGAACAGAGTACCTTGGAAAATATTCGAACAATATTTCATTAGCTGTTGGTTTGGTGGTTCCTCTGGAGTTTCTGTTGTTTCAGTTCCTTCTGTAGGTTCTGTTGGAGTTTCTGCATCTCTTGACTTCAATGCTCTTGCTCTCAAAGACCTAAATGTTAGAGCACCGGGTTTTACAAAGGACTTTATAAATGCTTTAATAGTTCCTGGTAAGTTATTGTTAGCATTAAGTAAGTTCCTTATGCTTCCATCATGTACGTCCATAGCACTATGTAAAAAATCTATACTTTTCTTGTAGTCAGCAATAGACTGACTGTGATTTTTTAAAGATTTGTCAATACCTTTAAGCCAATCTTCATGCATGTCTGATACTGAGCCAAGAATATCATTTGCTTCCTTTAGTGTATTTTGTGCTTTTCGTAAAGTATCCAATCCCGTACGTGCATTGTTTGCTATACGTCTTACAGTATCTATTTGACTCCTTGTTTCTTGCATCCAACCAGATAAAGTTTTAATAGTATCCGAACCATTTGAAATGAAGTTCAAAGCATTTTTAACGTCATCTAAAGCTTCTTCACCAAGTACTGCCCATATCTTTCCGATTTGGTATTGAAGAACTCCATATGAAGCAGCTGTTAAACCAGTATTTATAAGGTCCCATATCCATGATTTAGCAGTTTTTCCATCCTTTCCATCCTTTCCATCCAAACCGTTTTCGCCTTGAGGTCCTTGTATTCCTTGTATTCCTTGTATTCCTTGTGGTCCTTGTGGTCCGGTGTCACCCTTCTCTCCTTTCAGTTCATCTTTATGTTCGTTATAATATTCTAATGTCATAAGGTGTACATCATTACTGCTACCAGCAACGCCGAGAATTTGTTTCTCATTCATGACTAAATTCTTTAGGCATTTAATGTTGTCGTCAAATCGAAAGCTCTTTAACAATTCAATGAGAACATTCAGTACTTTCACTAATGAAGCATCTACTGTTGAATTTATATATTGCACCGTTCCATCATTTATGATGGGAACCTTGCTTGTTGTAATGAATGGGTCATAAGTGTTAAAAGTATCGAAATCAATGACTTTTTTAGTTTTTCCATCGTCAATGACTAAATCATTGCCTTCAATGGTTAAAGTTGAGTTTTCGTTTACTAGTTCATGTGCTCTTCTTGCTTCATTTGTTTCATACGCATATGCAGCAATAGTCATATTTTAATGAGAATAAAATGTTGTTCTATTTGCAAAGTACAGACCCAAACGAATACGGGACAGTAAAGCTACAAACAAACTTAGGTCTTCAGAATGAAGCGCTTGCTTTCAGAGTTGTTGACTTCAATACTATCGCAACTTTTGTCATAACAAATGAAACAGATTTCATAGAGATTGAAATAGATGACAAAAGAAGTTTTATAACATTTCCTAACAGAGCAGAGTATAGAATAGATAAAATTGCTGGAGTCATAGATACTCTCATAAATGAAGAAACTATTAACAACATAGATGTCGAACTCTCTTCTGAGGGAACATTGAAGTTCAGTAGCAAGAAAGAGTTCAAGATAACACGAATGAGTCATAGAGTACAACTTCTTTTGGGAGCATACCATATGACATTTCCTTTGAAAAGTGTTGACAAAACGATTGAGATGAAATCTGTTCCATACGTATGTTATGGTAATTGTTTGTACATTGAGTCTAAAATAGCTAATGTCACAGGCATTTCAGAAGTTAATAGTAAAGGTTCAGTAGAATATAAATCCTTCTGTTATGCAGTCAATTCAATGTTCATTCCAAACGTTCCTGTCATAGCAACTCATTTAGGTAAATGGGTTCGCATTAGTCCTCATAATTTGAAGACATGCAATTCAGACTAGTTGACTTTCAAGGAGAGCCTGTAGAACTGAAGGCACCAGTGCGAATGACTGTTGAAGTTGACTTTTTAGAAAATATTAAATGCAACAGCTTACAAGAGAACTCAGAGCAAAATATAAAGTATGAATGTTATGTATTAGGTCATGAACTTTGGTTGTTGCTGTTTGATGAAACAAATGAATTAGTTATGTCAGTCAAGAGAACAGAAAAAGGCGTCAAAGGCGCCGAGCGCAAAGCGCTATATTGTGTTAGTGAAAACTGCACCAAGTCAATAAGATTAGGTTTTGCATTATGAAGATGAGTTCGATACTGTTGAAGAAGTTTTGGATAGATATTACAAATTGCTTTAATTTACTAAAACATATTTCAAGCAAAGTTTATATTCTGTTGAAAGTTTTGTATACTCGTTCGAATATTTATACTTAAACTCAACTCCTGGAGTACCTGGTATTTCAATGATGCGGATGTTACCTATTTTCATGAATGGTGGCGTTTGACCACAGCATTCGATTTCAGGGTCGAGATAGTCAATGAACACATTGTTTCCCTGTTATTCGTGAGATAACATTTTCAAGGTCCTCCTTTGTTTTAGAATTATTTGGTTCTTACTTATAAGATTTGTCAAATAGCTTCTTATCGTCTTGAGTAAAATTGTTTGGTATAACTGAAGAAGGTAATGGTCTACGTTATCTGAAGGATTTGTTTGAACATTTGTGTAAGGGTTGTCGTTGGCTTCTCTTGAAAGAATTTGGTCCAGTGGTGGATACTCTAACTTAACATCTGATGTAGCGTTAGCGTTTGAAGCTGTGTTTAAATTCACGGATTTCAGCTCTGGTTCTGGCTCTTTCAAACACTCTGAACTATAGTTCTTTATGACAATATTGTTTGTCGTTCGTGAGTCAACATTTGATGTTGGTTCAATTGGAACATTAACGGCACCAGCTAAGATGGATTTGCTTCTCATTTCATATAGAATAAAAACCTTTTATATGTATGAAATGAACAATATACTCGACAAGGGTTTGAATGTAAAGCTAACGAATGAAAATATTGTTGAATTCACCGAGACAGGTGTTGTGTATAAAGATGTAGAACTACTGAACAAAAGAGCAAAGGGAAGAAGCAGGAATATGAACAAAGGGTGGAAACCTATAAAAATTTATGTCAATGATGGCTCAGGAGGTTCAAACATAAAGTATGCAGAAAGTTATAGAGTTTATGCTCTCAAAGGTGAAAAGCCTTCATTTAAGAACAGCTATTCTAACGCATATCCTCAAAAGCTAACGGATGGGGAAGTGGATGATATGAATGACAGCAAAAATATTAACAGAAATGGCGACAGAGATGCATGGAATTTGTTTACCATCAGTCAATTGAAGGTTAAACTTTAAAACAATGTTGGTCGTTCCCATGGAATATTTTTGACTTTAATGGTATTAGTCATGATATGAATCTCAAGGTATGAACGAGGAGAGATGAGAGACTTATATGCTTCCCAAATTTCTTCAAAAGGTAATGTTATACCTGACTGTTTCCAAATGAGTTCAATATCATAACGTGAGAAACCTTGAAAGATAACGAAGTCAGTTATGAGACGTTTTATGTTTAAAGCAAGGAAACGCCATGTTTGCATAAGTATTGCTACAGTTAAATGGTAATGTCTGACTTTAGTTATGATGTTAGCTAATGGTGAGTCAGGCTTTGACACTAAACCTTTTCCGGCGAAGTCGTCACAAACGAGCAGAGTATTTGAAGGATACTTTTTGAAGGGGTATTTTGAAAGTTTTGACAGAATGTAGTTTGTCAGTCGTTTCATATCGTAAACTTCTGAGTACTGACGTAAGTGGTGTTTGTCAATAATTCTTTCCATCTCTTCTGAAGTCTTTTGCATTCCTGACTGTATAAATTCAACGATGGCATAATATTTTCTCTTACGTCGAATGTAACGTTGAAGAAATTCAATGAGTTCACTGTCTGGAACTTTAACGACAGAGGCTTGAACTTTTGACATAAATGTTTTCGCTGTTGAGTCCATAGAGTCTGAAGTTGCTGATATAATGATTTGGTCATAGTAAGAGTCGTTTCCTAAACGTTCTGTTATAAGAATATGACGAATGAGGTTAAATGTCTTACCTGAACCCATCTTTCCACAATAGAAATAAACACCATTTGAACAGAATTCATAATCTTTGCTGAAAGGAAGAATAAGAGAAGAGTTAAGTTTGTCTGTAGTTTCATTCATGTCTTCATCTACATCATGTATTAAATGCTTCATTTTATCTCCATTAAAAATGCAAGTCAGAAATATTCAGAACATAGCACCGAGTCTAACTGACAAGAGTATAAAGATATACTATGAACATGTTATGATGAAACCAACCAAAATTCAAGAAAGTCAGTAACTTATGAATATCCAAGACACTGGGTAGAGTATGTAGGAGGTGAGAAAGCTATTGAAATAAGACAAGTTAGAAGTATTCCAGCAGGAAGAACAATATTATTGAAGAACTTTAATGTTTTGAGATATAATGATGAAACAAAGAAGCAAGATAGTTTTCCTGTTGCTGTGTATGTGAACTTAGATACAGGAGATGACATGAAAGTTTTTAATACAAAGCTTCAAACGGTAGTGAGAGAACAACTTACTGCGGAAGGACATCCATTACCTTCAGAAGTTACCATAGCATATAATTTTGAAACAAACTCAATAGATTTTAAAGTCGTCTCTGCAAAGAAGTCAGGTTTTACATTTAATGAAGCAGATGTATATTCGAATGAAAACTTCAAAGCTATTGCATGGTTAGATAATGACGATTGTTTTAAGAAAATATTTAAATACAGTGACTCAACGATGTCAATAGATGACCTTCGTGGAATGTTACCATCGACGTTTACAGTAGAAGGTTCAGCAGGATTGCTTACAAGATTGTCAATTGGTGGTATTTGGTCTCGTGAGAACATTGTTATAAAATCCAGTATAAGTGAATTTGCTGAAGAATCTATATTATGTCTTTCAAACTACATGTATTCGCCGCCGAAGCATTATAGTATAACAAACTTTGTCAGTAAGTTTAACATAAGACTTGTCGAACCTTCTTCAATGAAAGATGTTGTGCTACCTAAAGACGGAAAGGATGGACTCATTATTGAGATGATTTTAATAGCATATTAAATGAGCTTGTTCTTAAAGGTCGTTCATGATGAAATAACTGTTGTAGAAGATGTTAGCAATTGTTCAGACATTTTGAAGCGTATAGATGATATAAGAAATAAGTTAGATAGACCGCAAAGCGGTGAGGGCGAAGCACGTGAGAATGTTTATGTTTCATTGACTTTCTCCAGTAACGAGAACTTTTATGAGATAATATTGAAGAGAGATGATTTTAATATGGGGTAAATGGTAGCTTGGGCAGCTTTAGGCGCAATGGGAACAAAAGCATTAGCATTTGGAGCAAAAGCACTTGGAGCTTATGACGCAGTAAATAAAATGAGTGGAGGAAGGGTTTCAAAGACATTAGATGCAAATAAAGGAAAGATTGGAGGCTGGGTTGCAAAGAAGTTAAGATTAAATAAAATAGGGCTCATAAATAAAGCATCCAATTTGGTTGCGACTGAGTCAGAAAATGCTTTAGGAAAGGACGATGAGTTTGCAAAACACGCAAAAGACTTTAATGACCAGATGAAAGGTGAAACAATGCATTTAAATAGATTCGATGGAACTAAAGAAAATGTTTCTTCTCCACCAGCGGTTTATCCATACGGACCTTATGGAATGTATGGAAACCCTTACGAAAGACCATTTGACCCATTGACTGGTGGAAGTAACTGGTATCATTACGGACGAAGAAGAAAGACAGTTAAGCTGGAGACAGACGTGAAGAAAGCAACTAAAAAGAAACCAAGGAAGAGAGTTATAAAGCAATGAATTCAACGGGTGAAAAAAGAGGTGAGATTTCACCACTTCACCTAAACATTATTTTTGGACTATGTTTTCATACGTGTGAGGGTGGTGATATCATTAATTTTTATTTTATTTTTATATAAATGACGAAAACTATTGAGATAACAAACTACAACGGTCATGAGTTCAAGAATTTGTTCTTCGTTCCTCGTGAAAATACATTCTATCAGATACGAGGGAGAAAGGGTAAAGTTAGTTTGAGCGTTTATGAAGGAATGAAGAATGGAAAGTTTATACAAGCATACGATACAAACGGTAAACGTGTTTCATTAGCTTTGTCAAAACTTACTAACATTCATTTTGACAGTGACTTTGACCTATATGAAGAAGAAAGTGAGTCAGAAGATTATGAGCTGTTATGTGAAGCACAGCAATGGGAGGAGTTGCAATACTTTTGTAAGTGAGAACGTTTATTTTTACATTAATGAAGTCGTTTGTGAAAACGTTAGTGAAGTCGTTAGTGAAGTCGTTAGTGTTGTAAAATATACGTTAACGGTTTTGTAAAGTGTCAAATTCACATATAATGGGTAAGGAGGCGCGCAGTGCCTCAGTACACGAGATATGTATACTAACTACTTTCTAGAAGGAATTGCAGGGTAAGAGGTATATATTCATACTATGTACTCTTACCCCTGCAATTCCTTCTTAAATGGGAGAAACTTTGTCCGAATGTTAAACTATTCGGACAAAGTTTCTCCCATTTGTAGTGGAGATGGAAGGCTTTGAGGTATATTATATTAATATGTACCCCAAAGCCTTCCATCTTTATTGTACAATTTAAAAATTCAGGAAAAATGTAATATGATTTTTATAAAAATTAAGCGTTTATTCGTAATTGTGTATTCAATGGTTCGGTATTTCTTTGATTTCGAAGTGTCCATCAATCATAACTCTCCAAAATGGCGTTTCACCCTGTTTCCAATGTGGTGTCTCATTGTAACACTCTTCTGGAGTCATGGGGCGAAAACCCTTTTTGGGAAGGGTTTTATGTGGTACTGAGTTGTAATTTTTCCTGAATTTATCAAGAAATTCTTGAATTTGTTTTGCATTTGAAGACCGGCCGACATTTCTTTCAAGAGACGGCCAGAGCCTTTCAATCTTGCCGTTCTGGCGCGGCATATGGGGGAGAGTGTGGCGGATTTGAATGTTGTTTCGCATGAGCCAATTATAAAATTGGCCCATATTCTCTCCCCCGTTGTCGGACCAGAAACAAAATGGCTTTTGATATAAGCCAATCGTTTCTTCGGCAACTCTTGTTGTAGATTCGGAAGATTTATTTGGCAAAATTTTTAAAGCCAACAAAAACCGAGATTTATCGTCTATTATACCATAAACAGGTAACCTCTGTGAACCGTATAAAAAATGAACATCTACATGCCATATGGTATCAGGTTTTGTTGCTTCATATGGCGTATAATATTTTTGAGGGGGCCTGTCACTTTTTGGTTCTTTGATCTCCAAAATACTGTAAATTCTTCTGAGTTTATTGTAGGAAACTGAATAAACATTTTGATCCATGTTTAAACGCCAAAACATCTTTTGGATTCCGCACTTATATTCCTGAAATTTTTGGAGAACATATTGCAAATTTTCAGGAGTAATATCATCTGGTGCCGGACCAGGTTTAACGTTTGGGGGCGTTAAATTTGCATTTGTGTATGCTGCTTTAAGTGTGTTTTTCGAAATTGATCTAAATTCACACTTCATTTCATCCTCGTATGGAACTCGCTTACACGCAATTAAATAATTGAGTTCGCGAGATTCAAGTTTTTCGCGTGTTTGAATTAACCACCAAGAAGGAATGGTTGGTCTACTCATAATAAAAAATGAAAAGCCAAATTCTCTCAAAAAGTTAAGTAGGACCAATTTTTTATAAAAAAAATCCAATTCCATTATGAATGTTAATTAATTTATATAATTATTGAATAAAAAATTTTCTTTGAGATTATGAAAAGTTCTTTGAAAAGTTATTTTTTCTCATTTTTAAATATTGTATTAGCCTATTTATTTATAATCCAAATTAAATAACTTTAAATTCAATATTTAAAGAATAATTTTGAAGGAATTGAGTTACTTTCCCCGACGATAAAATTGAGAGGTTTACATTTTGACCGAACTTAGCATGCAACAGTATTGTCATTTCATTCGACAGATATAGAATATTCTGAAAGAAATTATTAAAAATATCATTGTATTTGAAATCGCAATCCAATATTTATTTATTTCATTATTAGCTTTGTTCTATTAAAACCATACTTTATAGAATGAGTACAGGTAATATTTACAATGTAATCATCACTATCCTAAATAAAAAAAATTTTCCAAATCAATTCTCTTTTCAATGGAAAAGCATGATTGATTACTTTTAAAAGCGTTTAGTTCGAGTGAAGAGCTTAAGTTATTTGATTAATTTTTTGAGGAATAAAAAATACAATATTGGAGCCAAATAATTATGAACTAACTTACTCATAATTTTTGAAGTTGTATTCTATAAATTTGCTTATAATTCGAAAAATAATATAATTTTGTTTTGTAGGATATAGACTTACAACTATGCTTGCTATCCATTGTGTGAAAAAAATTCAAAGAAAACATTGATATTACAAAATAATTATTAAAAAAAAAAATTAGAAGAAAATTTAAAATAATAATAAAAAAATTACATTTATTGTTTCTGAGCTTTTTCAAGCAAGGCATTTCTCTTAGCGATGAGTTCATTTCTTTGATTCATCAATCTTTCAGCAGATTCCATTGTTTCCTCAAGAAATCTTCTTTGTGAGGACACATTTGGCTTTGAATCATTAAACGCGAGTTCTCTTGAGTGTCTCAAGAAGTTCTTAAGCTGTGCATTTGGATTTCCAACAATTCCTTTGTCCAATTTCCTCTTTAAGTTCTGGATACTTGTTTGTGTCTCCTGTATCTGTCTCTTGATTGCATCCGTTTCTTCCTTTCCCAGTGTATGTGTCTGGACATTTCTGATTTCGTCACTTTTTATGAGTAACATGTCCAATTGGTCCTCGTGGGACATTACGCCGCGTTGCATTTTGGTCAGTTCGTCTAGTAATCTCTCGTTTTCGGCTGAAACTTTTTCGAACATTTGAGATAATTCTGCGGAATCATCAGGAAGGGTCAATTTTGGTCTTGTTACTTCTCTAAGGATTCTTTTAACAGCTTCTACTTGTGGACTTCTTTCTCCAGTGCCGTTATACTTCTCTGCGATCATTTTCATTCTTTCTACTTCTTTTTCAAGGGATTTTACTTCGATTTTTAGCAATTCTCCCTCGATATTGAGACAACTGGCTTCTACTTGTAATTTATCCAGCTGTTGGAAGCTGTCATATGGTGGACTTGATACTTTAAATCCATCTCCAAGTAATTCGTTGTATTGTTTGACCAAATGTGATAATTCTCCAATCAGCTGTTTGGTCTCATCATTTATAGCTTGTGTCTTCTTATCCAATTCTTCGATTTCGGGGTCATCTTTTTTGGTATGTTTCTGAATTATCTGTTTGATCTTGTTTATGAGGCTATCGATACGTGGATCTGATGAATACTCTCTTAAACTCTTCAAAAATGTCAGGGAATTGCTAAATAATTGTGGAATTTGACAAATATCTTCGTAAGGGACTTTGTAGTCATTGTAATCGAGTTCTATGTTGAAATACGTCGATGACAACATGGATATCATCGTAATAAGTGATGCTTCGCTCGCTGTTGACAAATTCAACTTGAAATTCGAAAGATCTCCATCAACTCCATTAGAAAGATTAAGATTGTTAAAGTCCATCTTCTTGATACAAGCTTGGAAGTACAAAATATCGATTCTGCTGCCAGATCTCAAACCATCATCAATTTCCGTGGCGATTTTTGAGATTTCCTTCATAATCTTGATGATATTCTTGGAGCTAAGAAGGAATGGAGAGGAGGCGTAACCAGCAACTGTATACAAAAACCGAGTCATTGAATCATAAAGTTTCACAGGCGAAACTATGTCATCAATCGTCATAAATGTGGAGACTAATGATTTCATGAGTTCATCTACTTTCTCGGATTTGCAATCTAAAAGGTATTTCAGGTCATTTGAATCAAAATCAACAAATTTGTCGATAATTTCTTGGTTTTTGTCGGCCAAATTTATATCTTTGATTACGGAGAATGAAGATGAAACACCTAGAATGAGGTTACTCTTGAAAATGTTGAAGATTTGTTCGGAATTTTCGGAAATACCGGCAATTTTAAGGATTTTCTGGAGAATACTAGTGATGCCGAGTATCGAAACAATTGGCCGGTTAATTTTAAGTAGTTCTGGAACCCAATCGTAAGCAATTTTCTTCAAATTTTCGAAAGTTGCGGACATTGTTGACAAAACATCGCTTGGCTGGCCATGTAATGAAAGGATATAGTCAAAGAACTTGATTTGAAGTGATAAAGTATTAGATAACAACTGATGATAATCAAAATTCGTTTGATCTACCCTTAGAACAGGCTGTACGATGTTCTGGACAACGGCAACTAGGCTGCAGCACTTTAATGTACTCTCCATTAATAGATTTGAGTAGTCTATGAATGGAATTGTTCTGAAAATTTCCGAAAAATCAACTTTTTCTTCAGTCATTGCCATTGTAACCAACGAAATCCATGATTTCATGAATTCCTCTGTGATGTCAACGCGGATTTGGCTCTGTAAAAGTGATAAAAGACAAGATGTCAAATTAATTACAGTTTTGTCATGGTTTTTAGCGACTTCTTTCTGTGGATTACTTCCTAACTCGGCAAGAAAAGACTCGTGTAACCCAAAGAATTCCATGAAATCAACTGCATGACGAAGATTTATATTTAATGACTGGAGAGCATCAATAGGACGGGCCAAATCCACTGATATCGAAGCCGCCTCATTCTGATTGATCACATCTTCCTCAGAAAGCTTCGATTGCATCAGCTGATTTGAATTTGTATTCGCAATCAAGACAATTAACTCATTTGCCTGAGATTCTAGCTCTGCAATGTTAAGTACTTTGGATACGGACTCTCTTGATGGCAAATTCTCTGCAAGAATCGGATGTAAAACTGGATAAAATTTTTTGGTGTCAGGAAGTAACAAAATATAGACCAAATATTCGTACAATGTAATGAAATCATCATTCTCCTTGCAAAACTTTGTTATCGTCCTTATTTTCCTAAGAGATGACAATAATTTGACCAAAATCGACGGCTGTTGCTGGGATTTGGCCAATTTGTAGAGTATAGGAAGTTGGTTGGCTATATATGTCAAAGAAGCCTTTCTGATGTCAGAATCTTCTGATGATAAACTTGATTTGAATTCTGAGCTTGGATCTGGGTTTTCTTCACTTGATGGTGTTGTAAGTTTAACCTCTGATATCTTTGTCATCAGTTCTGTGTAATCTAAACCTGGATTTTGGATCATTTGAGCTAAATCTCCAGGAAACGATGAAAATTCATCGGTTTGTATGAGAATTCTCGATACTGATGTAAAGAAGTTTGTAAGGTCGAACTTTTGGAACGTAAAATCTGGATTTACTGAAGAATTTGAATCTTCTGTCAAATATTTGATGATTTCGTTTGCAATCTTTGTGATATTGGATAATCTTGACTCTGTAAGTATCGAATGTTCGATTGATTTGAGATTACTCGAAAAACCAAGATATTTCAACTTGATTTCTTGATTTTGATAAATCTGTTGTAAGAATGGGATTATGTTGGCCCTAAAACTCGAAATAGAAATGTTAAGTTGTTTGATTGATTTTTCATTTTTCGAATCTTTCGTTTCTTTTATTGATTTCAGTAATTCTTCGACTAGATCTGTAGCTTTAGAGAATTGTTCGTCAGGTTTTATAGCTTCAAGGAACGTTTGTAATGAAATTATGTTTTGATCGATATTTAATTTGAAAACATTTGGTAATTTCGTAGTTAGACACTGGTGGAATGTGAAAAACAGTGTGTTAATGGAGTTATCGAGGCCATTATCGAAGTCTGTTCCAACATTTGTTTGAAAATAAAAAATTAACAAAGGAATGTATGAAGCAACCAAAGGAATCTGAACATCAAGCTTCAAAATATTTGATGAAATGAGTTGTGTAGTGTCTGTAATCAACTTATTATATAAATGATCAAAATTTGCTTGTGGATTTGGATGTTTATATATGTTTTCGATTGGTTTGAATATGTCAACTATGGATTGAATGACATTTTGGCAAGGTTGAATCAATTCTTTCGAAAAAACAATTGGTTGATTTTTGAGATCAGTAAATTTCATTTTTAATTCAACAAGTAAAGGCTTTAGTTGAGTTAAATTTGATTGAAGCGAGATGAGAGCTGAATTTAACTGTTCATTGGTTCTGTCAGGTTCAATCATATTTTTCGAAAAAGTGACACTTTGCAATGTAAAAACATGATATTTGAAAGCATTACTCACTCCAATGATCTTATACTAGGCAGCAAAATTAAATTTCCCTAATAAAAATCCTGAATTTAGCAAAACAAATGATTTTAAAGTTGAATATTACTTTAAATTTACTGGAATCATAATAAAGCTCGTCAAATCCAACAATGTAATGTATTTATTTTGTGAAGAGCAAGGCTTTTCATCCATCTTAATCCATAACAAAGTCGATATATGATTTTTACCATATATAACAACAATATTAATGGAAACAACGTGTTTAAAATCTAGATATATAATAAACAATGATTAATTTTTGAAGATTGTAATCATTTGATCGAGCAAAACACAATTAATAACAATCTTTTTAATTTCAGTGCATACATGGATGTTTTTAGGCATAATCTTCACTATATGGCTGTATTCGATGAAGAATTTTGATTTTGACCACGGAATGCGATGTTATTTTTGAATTTTGATGGTTTTATTTGGAGTCCTTATTAATGGGGTTAAAAATACAATAATAAAAAATAACTTTCACACCCATTCAAATTCTTCTCAATTTCAATGGTCGTCACTTTTATTTTCTATCGGGCATTTGTATAAAAAAACAATAAATAAAAAATAATGATAGGAATTAGTTTCTCACTTTATCCATAAAGGATATAAATTTTTTGATCGATGATTTTCAATTCAAATTTATAATGTCTGAAATACCTCTCACTATGGAGGAGCTGCAGACTCCTCTTGCTGAGCCTGCTACAACCGGGGAAGTCCCAAATGAACCTCCGGAAAATAAAATCCTTCCATCCGCTTTCCTGAATGCAAATGAAGTTGTTCCAGACACAATTCTTTACAAAGTTCCATCTGCGAGACCGAAAATCTCTGAAATTCGTAGAACTTCAATCATGGAAGGAACGCCTGGCTCCCAACAAACATTTGAAATTCAAAAGCCTGAAAATAAGAAGAGATTCAAATTTAAATCATTATCATTTGGTTTGATGTTGGGTTTTTATCTTCCAACAGTCGTAAACTTGATTTGCATTACTTATAGCGTTGATATTGCAAAAACAATCGAAAATTTCGGTTTAGGATACGGTTTAATCATTTTCTTCACATACACACTTATAGCATACGGAACTCTTACTAGTATTTCAGCTTTAGCCACAAATGGTGAGATGCAAAAAGGCGGCTGTTATTATTTGATTTCTAGATCATTCGGAACCAACTACGCCGCAGCAATTGGCTTTCTAATCATCTTAGGCCACGCTTCATCCATCAGTTCTAACTTTTTCAACATAGGACACGTTTGTTCAAATTTATATTCTCCAAAACTTATGACGAAGTCGAGATACGGTGATTCGATACTTATACAGTTCATTGCCTGTTCAGTTGTTCTACTTTTCCAATTCTTTGGTGTCAAATTTTTAGTTATATTAATTTGTATTTTGGCTGCAGGGCTTGCATTAGGTGTTTGCTTCCTTTATGCAGGTTTCTTTGTACAAAAACCATCAGCCGATGGATTTTACCAAGGATTTTCCAAAGCATTATTCAAACAAAACTGGAAACCGGCCGGAGCAAAGTTTGATTTAGAATTATTCTATCTTTTCTCATCAGTGAATGGTGTTATCACTATTGCTGACTATTCAGGGTCCTTAAGTCCAGCAAAACAAGCAATTCCTATTGGCGGATATTCCGCTTTAGTTACAGCAACTGTTTTCTTTTTATTGATGTTGTTTTTGATTTCAGGAAGTGCTAATTTTGAAAATCTTCCTGATTCTGTTGCATCTTTCATGACAATTTCCAGTCATCCATTGATTTCTTACATCGGATTCATTTGCGCGGGATTTGGAAGTGCAATAACAATGACAATGGGTGGATCTAGAACTGTTACACAAATGGTGAAAGATGGATTATTACCTAAATTCATCAATGCTAAAATGATCAATAATGAATCAGTTATTGCTAATGTAACAATTGTCCTCATTGGATTTTTGTTTTCTTTTGTAAATACAAGAGAAATGATTCAATCATTGACAAATGTTTTCTTCCTTATTCCTTTAGCTTTGTTGAATCTCAGTTTGTATTTAACTGCTTCTCAACATAACCCTGGATTTAGACCTGTTTTCAAGGTTTATAACAAATGGTTTTCTTTGTTTTTAGTTTTAGTTTGTTTAGTAAGAGCATGCTTAGTTAATTGGATTATTTTCATTGTTACTGTTGTTGTCATGGGATCTGTTATATTAATATATGATAGATTTGTTAAGATACATGATTCATGGGGAAGTGTTTTAAGTAACCATGTTTTCTATTCAACAATGAAAGAAGCCTTGAGATTATATAATGTTCAACCTCATGTTAAAACTTACAGATCAAATATGATTTTTGTGACACAAAAGAAACCAAATGATTGCATGCACGCAATTGATTTCATCAACCAATTGTTAAATGGTCATGGAATGGCAGCTGTCGGAAGAGTTGTTGTTACTAATGAACCTCCAAACATCAAGAAACTCATTGAAGAAAGAGCAGAATCTTTCATAACAGCAGATGATTCTTACCATGTTTTCTATGATATAGCTTGTGCTCCTACTTTCCATGAAGGAGTAAGAGATTTCTTGTTGACTGCTGGTATAGGAACATTAAGACCAAATACTTTGTGTCTTGAGTTCCCTGATGATTGGAGAAATGATGATTCTTCCGAATTCTTTACTACTTTGGAAACAGCTTTCGATGCCAATTTCAGTGTAACTGTTTTAAGACACTTGAACAGATTCAAAGAGGTCGACAGGAACGGAACAATTGATGTTTGGTGGCTCGCTGATGATGGTGGATTGACATTGTTGTTGCCTTATTTGTTGAGCCGCGAAAAACAATGGAAGAACGCAAAATTGAGGATAATGACTTTGAGCTTTTTGGATGAAAATCAAGATTTCCAAGAGACACAAGAAAGAATGGAACATTTGCTTTACAAGTTCAGAATCAAAGCTGAAGTCATTTGTATCGAAGTCTCTGTAAATAATGAAGAACCTTCCCTTCTCGCAAAGCAAAAATGGCAAAGTTTAGTTGGAAATTCAATTCCTGAAAACGAACATCATAATATTTTAACAACAAGGTATCTTTTGTTGTCTGATTTGATCAGGAATTACTCGGCCATGTCTTCTTTTATTTGTTTGACAATGTTAGTTCCAAGAGAAACAACAATCCCGAATATATATATCAGCTGGCTTGATATATTGTCTTTCCTTGATGTGCCGTTCTTGTTTGTTAGAGGTAATGGTGAAAATACCCTATCCTGGCACATCTAAATTTTATTATAATTTATCGTAAATTCTTTTTTATATTCTTTCGTTATATCCTAGATTTTTCTAACTATTTGTTATTGAACAAAGTTTGAAAATGAATATGCAATCTAATATGAAATCAAAATAACATTACAAATATCACAATAAAAAGTACTGAGTATTGTACCTCAGCTGATCTTCATTTAACTGAAAGAAATTTAATTTGGAAGATATTATGTATGAATTTGTTATATTTGTTATGCAAAATGATATACAATGAATTGATGCGATAAAGCACAAGTTTTCATTGAATTTAACACGAAATTTTTGACAACTGGCTTGAAGCTTCATTGAAAATTGTAATATCTAAAAATATCCTCTAAATTAATTAGCCTGTACTGTGAGTCTGTCTTGTATTTTATGTAATAATCTTTGAAATCGAATATTGATATTGTTTGATCAATCTCACTCAAATTTATTTGAACGAACTCATGTCCTATAAACAATATATGTTTACTTTGTCGAAGGTGGCATGCTTACCCTTTGGGCAAGCGGAGTTGCCTGAGGCCATAGATTATATTATTACAAATTTGTTTTTTTTTGGAATAAAGAATCATGATAAGTTTTTATATTCACACTACAGATCACAAAACTTTATTTAACTCTTTTGGACGAAAAGAAACCTGATATGCCTGTATAATATAAGCATCCGGATGATAATCCTATTGTCCTAGACTTTTCTATTGTTGTTATGTCTTTCCTTATCAATAAACTTAATCAAAATTCATGATTTATATCCGAAATCTTTGTTGTCGTTGTTTTCCACATGTATAACATAGGATTTTTTTCTTCTAGTAAATTTAAGTATTACGCCATATGGTAAAACGCAAATATGTCCTTTATAAAAATTATTAATGTCCGATCAAGACGTTCACCCAATCAAGTACAGTGAATTGCGAAGTAAGTACAAATACTACATTGATATATTCAATGCGTTGTATCAGTTGAAAACGGAAAAGGAAGAAGAATTAAACTCTATTTACAAAAATATTAAAACAGTATTGATTGACTCAAATAAACATCCTCCCCAAAACATAATAAGAGACATTTTAAATCTCATTCCGTTTAAAAATCGCTATTCAAAGTCATATTTATCTCTTGCCAAACTTATATCTGATGAATATCATGTCAAAGAGGTCAGCAATGTCACAGAAGTTTCACAATTCATGTTTTATAAAGAATATGGAATTAAATTAGGCAATTTTGATGATTTCATAGAAAAAAACAAAACTGAAAATCTGGAAATTCTTACGGAAAATACAATATACAGATCGATTATGAATAATGACCTCGAAAGATTCATCTTTTTTACGGAGAGAGAAGGATTTGATAAAGATCAAATACTTAAAAGCGATTTATATCCATTATCTACGAAAGAAGGATATTCATTACTTGAATTATGTTGTTACTATGGAGCAATTGATTGTTTCAAGTTTTTAAGAACGAAATTTAACTCAGAAATAACTCTAAAATGTCTAGAATTATCATTTTTAGGAGGAAATCAAGAGATTATGAATGAATGTTTGAAATATCAAAAACCATATAGTTGTTGCATGTATTATGCAATAATTTCACACAACATTGATTTTGTTACTTTCTTGATGAATGAGTACAATATAGAGATCTATTTAGAAAATTGTGGAGTTTACAATAATCTTGAGTCCTTTTTAGTTTGTTTCGATCAAACTAATGATTTTGATGAATGCTTTTTTATTCACCGATGTTTAATATTCCATCCATTATCGAATACTTCCCTTCACATGGTGTAAGCAAAAATAAAAAATATCATTATGGAAAAACCGCACTTCATAATGCAGCCCGTTATAATAGCAACTTAACTGTCGAAGTTCTCATTTCACATGGTGCGAATATCAATGAAAAAGACATAAAAGGAAAAACCGCACTTCATATTGCAGTAAAATATAATAGTAAAGAAACTGCTGAAGTTCTCATTTCACATGGTGCGAATATCAATGAAAAGGATAAAAATGGAGAAACCGCACTTCATTTTGCAGCAATAAATAATAGTAAAGAAACTGCTGAAGTTCTCATTTCACATGGTGCGAATATCAATGAAAAGGATAAAAATGGAGAAACCGCACTTCATATTGCAGCAAAATATAATAGTAAAGAAACTGCTGAAGTTCTCATTTCACATGGTGCGAATATCAATGAAAAAAATGAAGATGGAGAAACCCCACTTGATATTGCAGCATTGATGAATAATGAAGAAGAAAATTCTTTTTCTGATACTTTCGAGGATGAATTTTATTATTAGAAATAAAAAAATTGCTATTCCGTAATTTTTATTGGATCTTAAATAAAACGCATGGCAAAATTTTGTATTACTCTCGACTTTTTGATGTACAATTAATTATTTGACTTGAGTATAACTTTGACATAATATTGTGCTTTTTTTTTGTTTGTTTGTTTGTTTGTTTTTGTTTTGTTTTGTTTCATTAAGGGTGCACTTACGCCCCTATGTCATGGCCTTCAATTAAAGTCATTTGAGCGTAAGTGCAGCCTTTTAACATTAATATCCCAAAATTTTTTCCTAAAAAATCTCCAAGCTAAAAAAAGCGGTTTTTTCCATCAAAAAGTGGATATTATGGGAGATATTGAGATCGCCGCTTTCCAACATGTTCAGTTTTTTGACACTCAAATGTCAAAACAGAAATTTTGACTCTATAGTGAGATTGATTCCGGACATCTATATGAGTATTTGTATTAGAAAGATGATTCTGTGCTTGCCCATATAACTTGGTCGGAATCTTGTTAATATACATCATGGTTTACTTATCTAGAAATAAAAGCAGATGCGTATGATGTGGATATATAAGTATAGTGTAAAAAATTATCACTCATGCAAGCTTTATTTTGAACTTTATAGAAATCCTTATTCAAACAGGTTTGATATTCTAATAATGACATTGTGTTAATGAATGAAGATTTTCCTAATAGATTTGTATTAAATTTGTTAGATGGACTACCCTGAGTGTCAAATCCGGTTGAATCACAATCTATAGCGCACTTTATAAGTGTTAAAGAAGAAATTTTAATTATATAGAAATAAACAGAACTTTCGTGTTGTAAAATGGCGCAATTTGTTAATGTAACCTGAGAATTAAAAAGGTAAATTACTCTTTGAATATTTGTCAATTTACATTTTACAACATTACAACTATTCAAAGTTTCTCTTGACCAATCTATTGCCATCGTGTGATAAGATGACGTTGAATTTTCGAATTCACAGAACTTTACTTGTGCCTCTATTGCATTATCTACTTGATAAAAAGGATCAGTCGAGGCTAAATTTCGACTTTCATTTGTATCGCTTAGAGTTACGTTTCCGTTTACAAAACCAATCATATTATTTCCAGAATTTGATACGCCACAATTAAATATTGTGCTCAAATCAATTAAATTTATAGGAGAATCTTCTTTAGACACTTCTTGATACGAAAAAATTCCTCCATTATCTGAACCTGTATTTAATGCTTCTGTAGCACATACTTTTATTAAGGCGCATGCACCTCTTGTTCCAAAATATATCGATCCTCCCTTATAAGAGGAATAACTACATTTGGTAAAGGTGCACTGATGAGAAAGTAGTCGCGTTTGGTATGAGTCCGATGATATACAAATTGCGCGATTATGAAGATCGAAGAACTCGGAATTATGAATATTATAATCTGCAGGTGAGGTTTTTCCTACATAACTCGATGTTTTGTAATCTTCTGTTGGAAAGTAATAGTTTTGCATTAATACTACCACTTTTAAATTTTATTTTGAGCAAAATTTAATGTCCATGAAAAAAAAGGGTAAATTAGATTTCATATCCATTCAATTTTAACTTGCTTAACTTTGATTCAATTTTGTTCGATTGCACTAACAGTATTTAACTTCAATGATACGTTGGTAGAATGATTTGAAAACAGTAAAGTTAAAATTTTGAAAATTTGAATATCAATAGTTTCTGTGGGTCTGAAAACATGATAATTGTTATATCAAAGAGGTATATTAAAATAAATTTAAAAAAAGTAGTATATGAGTGCGGGTTGTGTGACTTTTTTTGTAAACGTAAGAATTCATACAATATTGAACGATTTTGTATCATTTTTTTTACATATGAAGTAAAAAATGTATGATTCTTACGGTTTTTATTCTTACGTTTTTGAATAAATCAAGATTTAAAAATGTTCAAAATTGTAAGACATTTACACTCAACCCATACATAATGAAATAAACACATTAAAAAAATTAACATTAATTTTAAAATAATTTATTTTTCATCATTTATAAAAGAAGCTATATATATAGATGATGTCAGATATTCCGCGATTAATTAAACATTGTTTAAATCATGAATGGAATCAATGGAGTCATAATCAAAGACCTCATAAACTTTAAAAATTCATGTCTTACATTTTTGAATAATTTATTTTTATTTTATAATAAATGAGTATAACAACTAATTCATTGAAATCTTTAAAGTTCACTAATTCAGAATTAGAAAATATTTTAGAAAATTTTGGAGACGGTTCTTATCCAACATATATGCAGAATGTGAAAGAGTTTTCCAGATTGTTGAATGAATTTAAATATAACGGGCCAATTACTAAAAAGGCTATAATGAGATATTTATATCCCAAAAAAATTGAAAAACAGAAGAATATTCCTCTTTATGGTCCAGAGGACCTGGGCTCAGAGAGCCTTGAAACACCTCCTGAATATTTTGAAGAAAAAATTAAACAAGATGAATATTATAACGATGAGATTGAGAAATTGGAACAATTAAGAAATGAAATAGATGAAAAAATTAAGGAATTGAGAAATGCTGAGAATGAAGTAGAGGGTTTAATGAATATCCCAGCTTCAGAATCAGAAGTTCAAAAATCACATGAGGAAAGATATAAAAATTACTTTTTGGAATCTACTAAAAATTTATTAGATGGTGATATTGACGAAACACTTTCAGAAGAAGGCACAAAATTTATTCATAAACATAAGCTTCAGTTTATTGATGATGGAGATTATCCATGTATATTACTTTCACCTCCTCTTGATTCTGAAAAATTCAAAAAAGCACTGAAAAATGTAACATATGCAACAAATACGATTAAGAAAGAAGACCATGATATTTACACAAATTATTATTTAAATAAATGTACAGGTGTTGATAAAGTTTTTGATTTATTAGATAAAATATCAAAAGAAACCATTGGAACCTATAAAATTTTATGCGATTGTGGTTTCATTATTGAAGATACCAATAATGTTTCATATGAAAGAACAGCACCGAAGGAAGACGAAGTGGAAAGGTCTATACCATTCGTTATTAAGAACATAAAAGATATGAAAACTTATAAACATTATATTTATTCATTTATTTCAGAAAAAATGGAAGCAGCCCATAAAACATCATCTCATCATTTTATAGCTATTCATACATTCCTTTTCAAAGTTGTGAAATTAAATAAGACAGGAATTAGATTTAATGTATCAGGGTACGCATTCTTGAGTAAATTAAAATGTATTCGTCACGTCGCAGATGATAAAAATTTATGTGTTCTTAATTCATTTTATGGACTTTAGCCCTGGACTCTCTGAGTCTCGGACTTTAAAAAATAAACTTTATTTTTATTTATTTTTTTAATTTTTATTCTTACATAAATGAACAAAAATGGAACAGCTAAAATGAATGATAATCAAATAAGAGCCGAAGGTAGAAGGTTATTTAAACGCTTCTATAACATTCCCGATGGTGTTAATCCTAAAACTCGTAGAAGTTATTTAAATGAAGCCATAGATGCATATGAAGGATTTGACATTTCATCAGAAAGTGAGAGGTTAGCAAGAATGTTAAACGTTAATATTGATTTCTATTATTGTGACCCTCAACCAGAAGACGTAGACATTAACAAGGTAGACTTTCCATTAGTGGAATCAATAATGATAGATCCAGAATTTGAAACAGTAAATATTTTATTAACACAGAGTCCATGTGGAAAACTTCACGCTGACAGAATTACAGACGTTGAAGCACTCACAGGATATAAAGTTTGCCCCTTTTGCAAAGAAGAAGTATATTCTATCCGTGATGATCCAGAAAGGAAAAACCAAAGAAGATTTTTAAAACATTGTGAGAAATGTAAAGAAAATAATGGAAGATTAATTCAAGACGTTCAATTGCAAAAGACCCAGCAACCATATACACCACATATTACGAAACAGAAGATATATCAGTGGTTATTAGCTCACAATTTGCAGGAATATTATCAACCGACAAGATATTATATTACTTTTGACTTCGAAACATTAGAGACTAAAGAAGAATTACAACTTTCTGAGTGTGCAACTTTGAACGCTTACTTAAAACCATTCATGGTATCATCAACGGTTAAATTAAAGCCGCAAAGCGGCGAGGTCGTAGACCGTGATAAAACATATACGAGGAATTTTTGCTTAACTTCAAGTGATTCTTTTATTTCTGATTGGATTGAGTTTTTATTTTCAACCTGTTCATTAGTTGCTAAATCAAATATTGAACAATATGAAGAATTAATGAAGTCGCAAACGGACCAAACGGCGGGGACTTTGTCTCATACATTAAATGAAAAACAGAAGGAAGCATTTAAAGAACTTCTAGATGAGGAATTCAATAAAGTGAATATCATAGGTTTTAATTCGGGAAAGTTTGATTTAAATTTAATTCTTCGTGATTTAAACACTGCAAAATGGAAAATAAAATCAATGCTGGGTTCATCTTCACAATTTAAGCAAATCATTGTAAAGAAAACAAACGTTCCATATGAATTGAGATTTATTGACATCAGAAATTATATAGCGGGTGGGACATTAGACCAATTCACTCAAGATTTCGGAAACAATAAATCACGTGTTAAATCCTTTTTCCCTTATCAATTTATCACATGGGAGAATTACGAAGAAGAATTATAAAAGTGGAACCATTCACAAGATTCATTTTATTCAGCATTAACCAAGAAACTATATCAGATAGTGATTATCAAATATATCTCAATGATGCTAAAAATTTTAAGAATAGATTAGAATATTTTATTCATTATTGCAATAAAGATGTTGAAATTATGATTGACCCAATTGATAAAATTATGAAGAAACATTTGTTTATAAAATTGACATGCTTCATAATCTTTCTTTATCATCGAATGCATCAATGATTCGTTACGCGTTAGCATATAAGAACTTCAATCCTAACGAAACATATCCAGAAGAAGAAAATGTGGAATCAAGTTTTGAATTAACGAAAAAGTATTGGAAATATAAAATTGAATCATATAAGAAACAAGATGAAAAAGCAGAAAGAGATACTAAAAATAATGTTTCAATGGATGATTTTCAATACTATCACGATTTAATCCTTTCATCTAAATGCAAAATGTGTGGTAAAGCGTTTACATATGCAAATAAACCAACATTGGATAGAATCGATAATGAAAAACCACATACCAAAGAAAATTGTCAGTTAATGTGTTGTTATTGCAATGTCGTAAAATCAAATAAAGATGAAGATGTTCAACGTTTAAGAATCAATTTAAGAAATTATGCATTAAAAAATAATTTACCAATGACTTTAGATTCAGTTGAAGCTTATCACATTCTCCGTAATGGAATTACTGGTGGTCTATCAAATGTTCAACATCGTGTTAATCTTAAAGGAATCACACACATTAATAAACTTTCATATAATCCAGAAACTAAAACTGTATCAAATGAGGACACCACCAACATTATGACTCATTTCGTTGGTGTTGACTTTAATTCATTATATCCTTCATCATTTTCATCTAATCCTCATGATTTCATTCAATATACTGACCATAAAATGTATATGCCGGGAAGATTGAATGGTGTTATCATTTGTGATACAGCAACAAAGAAAGCAAAAGCACTGGGAATTATTAAGAAGAAAAATACTTTATTCGTGGCTGAAGTAAAGGGTCACATTGATGAAAAATACATTAATGATTACATAAACTTTTTACCGATAATAAGAAACTTAGATATTATCACAGATGAAAAAACAATTGGCGGTTTTATGTATAATTACATGGAATCAAACAATCTACCAGTTGACCAGAAACAGAGAAAATTAACTCAGTTAGCATCAACACACAACCAATATCAACCATTTTCTTCTTATTATCTTTGGTATCTAATAGACAAATTTCATTTTATCATCGATGACATTCAATCAATTTTAACATTTACTAAAAACACTTGTTTTAATGAATTTGCGAACAAATTTATGAACGAAAGACAAAAGGCTGAATTAGAAGGAAATAAAGGAAAAAGTTTATTTTGCAAGATTTCACTTAATGGATCATATGGTTACGATGCAATGAATACACAAAATTACGCAAAGACTAAAATAATGAATGCACAGAAGTCACGCGTTGCATGTATGTCAAATAAGTTTAAAAACATAAGAGAAATAGGAGAGGATACATATCAAGTGATGCTTAAAGATAGATTTTATAGATGTGATACATGTTTACAAGAGGCATTCTTCACTTTAGATAATGCTAAATACTGGTATTTGGTTTTCATTTATGATTTTATGTATAAATGCATGAATGTTAATCGTTTTCATTTCATTGAAGGTGATACTGATTCATCTTATTGGGCAATCGCTGGCGACCCAAATCTTCCTAACACTCAAGCATTTCAAGCAATTGTTACCGATAAACAATTTTATGATAAAAACATTTTCAAATTCGCACCTTTTGATTTCTTCTGTTTTGATGAGAAATTTAAACCTAAATTAAAGAATAAAGCTGAAGAAAAAGCACATGAGAAGAAGTTATTGGGTTTAGCAATTGAGAAACAAGGTGATAACATGGTTGCTTTATGTCCTAAGTGTTATACATCATTCAACGGTTCAATTGATGGAAGTGATTTTAAAAAGATTGCACAAAAAATGAAAGGTGTTAGTTTAAGACAAAATAAACAATTAACACCTAAAAATTATTTGGATATAATAAATGATAAATTGATATTTGATGGTCAGAATATTAATTTACAACTTAAAAACGGGTCAATGACTCGCTTAACAATCGGTAAGACTGCATTAACAGGAGCACACACTAAGGCTGTATGTTGTGAAAATGGATGTTGTATGCCATTTATTTAATACAATTATTTATTTAATGAAATGCCACAGAAGAGACAAAGAGGTGGGCACCCTTAAAACATTGATTTTATTTTTATATAAATGAATAACATACATTTAAAAAATTTAATTGATGATTTAATATTTAATCAAAATTTTCTTGATTATTATGATTTAAAAGCATATCTCCAAAAATATGATAACAATATAACGGGTGATGATATGGAATATTATTATCCATATTATAAAAATGAAATTTTGAAATATCATGATAAAATAATTTCTAAAATTAAAGACAAAATTAAAAATAATGAATATGCAAAGGGAAAAACTAAATCCAACTTAAACATTGAAAGATTTCAAAAATAAAGTATTAACAGAAGAAGATATTGATGAATTATATAAATTATATAATCCTGAGCCGCAAAAAACAAAGGTGCAAAACGCCCAGGTCTTCAGACCATAAATGAAGCACAAGCTTTAATTTATGATTCATTAGTTAAACCATATTCAGCCCGACTTTTAAATGAAGATCAACTTTTGGAATTCATCCTTCAACATAAACTCGAAGCGGGAAAGTATATCAAACCTTTATATACAGCATATTTAAAACAAATGAATAGAATACATCCAGAATTAATGAAGGAGGAATGAAATAAAATCCAAAATCAAAGCAGATAAAATTAAACCACTTGCAACACCAAAACCTCCAACGACAGTACCTCCTCCTTCAGTTAATCCTTCATCATTCACTTTATTATATCCATTTCAAACATTAAAGAAGCAAAAAGATTTTAAAAAGGATTTCAAGATATTAAATAAACCAATTGACCCAAAAATTCAACCGTTAAAGGAAAAATTTAGTCGCCCTTCATTTGCACCATATCCATATTCATACGAAATCGATCATCTGGAATATTCAAAAGGAAACGTTACTTATTTATTTGCCATTAACATTAACACTAGATATTTATATTGCATTCCAGTGAAAGGGAAAACAGAACAGGAAACAAGAAGAGCTATTCAATACTTACTAGATCATGAAAGAGTAGATAATATCAGGGGTGATGGTGATAAAGGATTTCAGGCAGCTATGGCTCATTATTTCCCACAAATTAATTTTTACTTTTCATCCTCTCCATATACGTTTCATAATAAAATAGTTGATGCGGTAATGAGAACTCTTAGAGATGCGTTAGGGGTTAACGGTCAGATATACTGGGATGGAAATCATGACTCCATCATACAGCAGTTAGTATATTATTACAATAATACATGGCATAGAACAATAAACATGAAACCGGTGGAAATGAAAAATGATATTTCAAAAGAATGGGAATATATTAGAAAGCAAATGGAAAAGTTAAATGATGTTAAACGTGAACAAATTAATTCGGGGCTCATGAATTTTAAACAAGGGAATAAAGTTTTGATTCATCTCGATTATGGAAAAACTGATAAATCAATGACAAAAAGAAGACGAAGATTTGACACAATAGCTGAATTTGTTAGATATATTAACGGCAATGCATTAGTTGAAGTTGACAATAAATTAATAGAAATTCCGATTTATTTTATTACTCCATTATATTTAAATATTATTTAATTTTTTTATTTCGTAAGAAATGAGTGACAACGAAGCAGTCAAGAGTCCAGACAATGAATATAAAAAGAAACTAAACAAAATTAAATCAAAAATATGCTATTACAAAAAGAAGCCACAATGCGGTGGGGTTGAAAACGATAAAGAGAGGAAAGAAATAATCGAAAAATTAGAAACTTACCGTTCAATCCTTAAACTGAGTGAAGCAAAAATAAAAGAATTTAATAGAATAAATAAATTGATTGGAAGAGATGAATTTAATAAAGATGAATTTTTAAACTCAATCCAAATTTAATTTTTATTCCTCTTCGACAACGTCTCTCTTTCCATCATTACTGCATAACCGCATTTTCTCAATTTTAGTGGTTTGTTATTTTTAGCAAGTTCTTGCATCATTTTTATCATTTCCTCCCTTGTTATGATTCGTGGTAAATTTTGAGCTTGTGGGGTATCCATTTATGATAAAAATAAAAATTTGTTATCACTTATTTTATCGTTAATGTTTTTAGGTTATTCAATAATTATTTATTTTTGAATAACTGAAGGGGTCACCGGGTCACCAGGTGGTCACCAGGTAATTTAACTTCTATGAAAAAATGAGACAACATGACATTTTGACAACATCATGGGTTATTCAATAATTATTTATTTTTGAATAACTGAAGGGGTCACCGGGTCACCAGGTGGTCACCAGGTAATTTAACTTCTATGAAAAAATGAGACAACATGACATTTTGACAACATCATGGGTTATTCAATAATTTTTATTTTTGAATAACTGAAGGGGTCACCGGGTCACCAGGTGGTCACCAGGTAATTTAACTTCTATGAAAAAATGAGACAACATGACATTTTGACAACATCATGGGTTATTCAATAATTATTATTTTTGAATAACTGAAGGGGTCACCGGGTCACCAGGTGGTCACCAGGTAATTTAACTTCTATGAAAAAATGAGACAACATGACATTTTGACAACATCATGGGTTATTCAATAATTATTTATTTTTGAATAACTGAAGGGGTCACCGGGTCACCAGGTGGTCACCAGGTAATTTAACTTCTATGAAAAAATGAGACAACATGACATTTTGACAACATCATGGGTTATTCAATAATTATTATTTTTGAATAACTGAAGGGGTCACCGGGTCACCAGGTGGTCACCAGGTAATTTAACTTCTATGAAAAAATGAGACAACATGACATTTTGACAACATCACAGGAGGAAGGCAAAAATAAATTCCAGTCATACTTTATAAAGCTTCATTCACAGGTATTTCATCGTCAGTAAATGATTCCTCATTATCGTTTGGTTCAATTTGTTTATATAATCCTTTCATTTCTTCTTTCAAAACATAATACCATGTTTGTTTACCATCTATTTTTCTTTGTTTCCTTTCACATTTATCCTTAATGCTCATTTGGAAATTCTTGTCTTTCATGTCTGATGGTTTGCAGAATAGAGCATTTTTACACGTCATACCTGCACATAATTCATCATAATGTGTATTTATCCATACATCTAAAGGATTTGTTGATAATTCAATTAAATCTTGTTTGGCTTCAGTCATCGGTATGATTCGTACATTAAATGATGAAAGGTCATATTGCATAAAATATGTTAAAAGGTTATCATAAAATTCCTTTGTGCATGAATCCATTAAATTCTTGAAGTAATCAAATTGACCCTTGAATTTACCATTAACTCTTAAAACTACGTATCTTCTGTCTCCAACTTCAATTTTGACAGGGTAACGTTATTAGTTACGAAAATGAAGTTTGCAACGTTCTGAGCAGTTCTTCTGGGTTGATTCTTTTCATTAATTCTAATCTCATTATCCGTAATAATTGATTTCAAAGCGTTGAAGTTTGCGAGTCTGTCTTCACCTACATTCTTGAGTTCATTAAGTACAAGAAACATTTTATTCTCAACTACTGAGTTGAAATTACCCGTTAGCTCACTTATTTCAGTAATGTTTTTACATGAATAACCAGCGAGGAGTTCAGAAATAATGTCTGTGAATCTGTTTTTACCTGTTCCCTGAAGTCCTTTCAAAATAATTGCTGTTTCATTCTTGATTCCAGGATGTTGAATCATTGATGCAATCCAGCCGAGAATGTATTTATACACTTCATCGTTATTATCACAAATGGCTTCTTTAATGAAATCCATAAACATCTCAATTTTTGAGTAATCAGGCTTTTCAAGAATGTTGTATTTATAACCTTGAAACGTTGAGAAAACATCTGGGGAATCAGATTTAAAGCAAACACCCTTAACGGTTAATGAGACAATTGATTTAGTAGTACATCCCATGCTGTTATGGTTTTACCTTCTTCTTTAAATAATTTAATCATTTTGAGTGACTCTTTCATGTTTGATTGAAGAACGAATGATATTTGATTCATTTTGTCGTGGATATTGTAGTCCTTTTGAATGAAATATTTGTTTCCACAATCTACAAAACGGATTACACGTGATAAATCCTCAATTACTTCAGAACTGTTTTTATACTGATGATTTTCAGCCTTACGTCTAATATCTGTTATCAAAAACGAGTCATCAAGTTTTATATCAAATGTTATTTTTGGCTTACGTAATAAAGGTAAAACATATTCATCATAATATTCCTTTTGATATAGTTTTAGAATCTTCACCAAAACAAATGGAGAAGTCATTAAATATGCATATCTACTACGTGCTTTTTCAAAATTACTTTTTGCATTTTCTGTTAAGCTGCAGAAATTATAAACGTTATCGTATGCTTCATTAATTAAATGATTAGGTAACGAATTAATAGCTTGAAACAGTGTGAATAATGTAACTTCTTTTTCTAAATTCATGTTTCCACCGTCATTATGTACTTCAAAATCACAGATGCCATCAACTATGCTCTGAGCAAGTTTATCGTCAATGTTTACATCTTTGTTTTCATTCATGATATTCTTTATTTCTTCATTCTTCTGTTCAACTCTTACCTTAATATTCAAATCATTTAATATATCATTCACTGTTCTAGTTAATGTTGAATCATAACTTCCACGAATGAATGAGTATGTATTGATTGGTTCTGATGCATTCTTGCGAACTCTTGAATCAGCCATAACTACTAATGAACGCTTTGATTCATCAATAGAAGTCATGATATCGATATCATAATCATTGCAGGAATAACATTTAATCATTCTGTTCGAAACTGCATAGAAGAAATTAGTGTTGCAATAAATGTGAAGACCTCCTGATGCGGTTTTAACGATAACATCTTTATCCGAAAGTTTTGATAAAATGTCTTTTCTAACTGTTTCTTTAAGTTCATCATTGTATGATTTATTGATATCGACATCTATAATCGTTAAATTCGAAATTTTATTTACTAATAAAGCTGTACCAGTTTTCCTTCCTCTTCCTCCATCATGTTTGAGGTAGTTATGTAAATCAATCATGTTTTCACCAATTCTTTCGTTGAGGGTTTTAGTTTCTGCCACAACTAATTCCTCAACTAATGAATCAATAACTTTTTCATCAGAAACGATAAAGTTGCTGTTGTTGTTTGTTGCTGTCATTTATATAGGAATAAAAAAATAAAAATAATTTTAAAACTAACTTTATTTTTGGGTTGCATTATATTTCCCCCTATGTTGTCAAAATGTCATGTTGTCTCATTTTTTCAGAGAAGTTAAATTACCTGGTGACCTGGTGACCTGGTGACCCCTTCAGTTATTCAAAAATAAGTCATAAATACCTTCCTCATTAATCCCCCTATGTTGTCAAAATGTCATGTTGTCTCATTTTTTCAGAGAAGTTAAATTACCTGGTGACCTGGTGACCTGGTGACCCCTTCAGTTATTCAAAAATAAGTCATAAATACCTTCCTCATTAATCCCCCTATGTTGTCAAAATGTCATGTTGTCTCATTTTTTCAGAGAAGTTAAATTACCTGGTGACCTGGTGACCTGGTGACCCCTTCAGTTATTCAAAAATAAGTCATAAATACCTTCCTCATTAATCCCCCTATGTTGTCAAAATGTCATGTTGTCTCATTTTTTCAGAGAAGTTAAATTACCTGGTGACCTGGTGACCTGGTGACCCCTTCAGTTATTCAAAAATAAGTCATAAATACCTTCCTCATTAATCCCCCTATGTTGTCAAAATGTCATGTTGTCTCATTTTTTCAGAGAAGTTAAATTACCTGGTGACCTGGTGACCTGGTGACCCCTTCAGTTATTCAAAAATAAATAATTATTGAATAACCTAAAAACATTAACGTAAACATTAACGATAAAAATAAATGGTTCATTTACTCACAATATTTTTTTACAAAACGACCCCAAACTTTTAACTTCTTTTCTGCAGCTTCAAATGCTATCTTAGCGAGTTCATATTCTCTAAATTCTCTCTTTAAATCTTCTTGTTCCCATTGGTCTAGTTCGTATGAAGAATCTCTATAACCATAACATATCTCGCGTTCATGTTCTAATTGTTTTTCACACATTTTTCCAACTTCTTCTTCAAACAAAGGTTTAGCATTCTCTACTGTATCTTCGAGTTCTTCTTCATCTAATTTCTCATGAACTTTCTTGTCTATGGAGTCCATAATTTTTCCAACTGCTATGCAATATTTTGGAGAAGCCCACATTGCTATATAGTTTATAAGTCTTGGGTCTACATACGTTCCTCTAACCTGTTTGATTTCATCAGGAATTCCTGCATGAATTTTGTATAAAAAGCAACCGTCGGAATTCCGGCGGTTGCTATATTCTTCACAAAATGCCTTATAATACTCTTCCCAGGACTTATTTTCCAACAGCTTTCTAAAGTCTTTCTTAAACTGCTGACACATCTTTGTTGCATTAATGTAACCATCCTTGTCTCTACGTAAGACTTCAATACCATTATAAGTGCCTTTTGTGAATGTTTCGCCATTTGATTTGTTCGTGAATGTTTTTGCTTCGACTGACATTTCTGTTCTTACATACAAGATAAAAAGTTAGAAAAAAATAATTTTAAAACTAACTTAATTTTTGGGTTGCATCATATTTCCCACTATGTTGTCAAAATGTCATGTTGTCTCATTTTTTCATAGAAGTTAAATGACCTGGTAGCACATGGTAACATGGTAGCACCTTCAGTTCTTCAAAAATAAGTCATAACTGCCTTCCTCCTGTGTTGTTGTCAAAATGTCATGTTGTCACACTTTTTCAGAGAAGTTAAATGACCTGGTAGCACATGGTAACATGGTAGCACCTTCAGTTCTTCAAAAATAAGTCATTATTGAATAACCTGTAAACATTAACGTAAACATTTATTTCTGCAGTTCATTCATTACTTCATTACCTAATTAATTACAGACATAAAATATATTTAGTTCATTCAATGAACGCGGTAAGCCTGCAAAGTAGGCTCAAGCACATTCAATAAATGCGGTACCATGCGAATACAGTCATAAATGGTGGCATATAATCTTTACCCAAGCCTGTTGGATTTGTTGTGAAAGTATGTGAATGATTTCCTCCTGGTTCAGTTGGTCGAAAAGTCTTTTTTGCTGAATGGTTATAATCTGGAGATAAAACGTCATTGCCAGCATAATATTCTGAGTTGTATAATGGATGGTCTCTTATTGAATGTGTATGATTACCTGATGTGTTTGTAGTTCCTGTATGAGTGTGCGGTGGAAGGTTTGCTTCAGTAATTTTCTTTGAACCACCCGTTTGCTTTGAAGAGTTTGCACAATACAAAAACCTGTCAACTATTTGTTCCCATGCACCAACACCAAACATTACTTGAGGACCTCTTGCATCCATAGATGTATAAATAGAACCCACTGGGTTCATTAAATCAAACATATGAGATATTATAGGATTGTCTCTTTTGAACTTAAGATATAGTGTAACTATTTCGGGTTTCTTCTGGTTTGTGTCAGAATATTTTTTATAATATAATCTTATGTTTTCAGGGTAGGTAAAATCTTGACTATAATATTTATTTCTGTCATCTGTATAATAATATACTATTCTCGTTTTTTCTATTGCATTATATCTTTTATATCTATAATAATCTAAATATAATGTTAACTTTTGTTCATCTACATGTGGTGTTCTGACATCATCTCCATAGTCATAATAATATGGTGCTGGAGCCGGGTCAGGCAATGTCATATCTGCCATTTCATAAACTCTTAAATATTTCTTTTGTTCGTCTCCATATAAGTTTAAGTAACAGTTGTTGTCTAATGGAACTTTAACTTGTGTGTCATCATTCTTTATATAACTTACATACATTTCATTGTTATTTTTCGGAATGAGTTTACACCGTATACCATTTTTTAAGGAGTGTACAAACTCCCATCTAAAATATTTATTTTCTTCATAGACAGAAACATCCCCAACAATAGTTTCAATATTTTTTGTTCCTATCAAACTTTGGTATATTTCGTTAACATAAGTTTTATCCGCCTTCTTCTCTAACTCATCGTTAACATATGTTTTATCCGCCTTCTTCTCTAACTCATCGTTAACATATGTTTTATCCGCCTTCTTCTCTAACTCATCGTTAACATAAGTTTTATCCGCTTTAAGGTCTAAACATTCTGAAACCCATCCTGTATCGGCTTTAGTTTTTAAAATCTTTGATGTCCATTCATGATACCATTCAACCATTTCTTTAATTTCATTATCTTTTTCGTTAACATATTCCTTATCTGCTTTCTTCATTAATTCACTAGCCATAAGTCCCTTATCTACCTTCTCCTCTAACTCACTAACCACATATTCTTTATCTGCTTTCTTCATTATGTCATTTAGGAAACCTTTTATGAATTCCTCATTTAAATTAAATCTTCCAATCTTCAAAACTTTAGGAAATGCATTTAATGCGTAATATCTCTGTTCTTCTGGTGGAATTGATGTTATATCATCCGTTATACCTTTAATTTTTGAATTCATAAATAAAATTTCTTTTATATTTGATATCACTGCACCACCTTTGCAAACGAATTCGAAATGGTCATTTTTCAATACTATCTCCAAATCTCCATATTTCAACCTTTGCGTTTGTTCTGCCGTCTTTGAATTATATGCATATGTGGCGTATGTAATGGTCTGTGCCTTAAGTTGCTGTGGTTGCTGTTGTTTAATCATTTATTATGATTTAAAAATAAATATTTAATCTGTTATCTCATCAGCTATTTTTTCTATTTGAAATTGCCATAATATTTCATTCATGAATTCTAAATCACAATCAAATAGGTCAGTTACTCTAAATTTAATATTTGATAAATCTTTTGAATGAAGAATAAATGAATTCCCGGATAATTGAAACGGATATGATAAAGAAAATATGTTTAAGTTGATGGATAAAATGTTTTGTATTGATGGGTAAGAGTTATGGTCTAATGTTTGATGTGAAAATCTCATTGGGGTATTAACTTTATCACATTTGATTAAAATGAAATTGGAACCAGTGTCAGAATACAAAACATCCCCAACATCTTTTTCAAAATTTAATATCCCCAACAATGAACGAAGATGAGGAGTACAAAATTTAATTTTCAGCGGAAATTTAATAAGGTTATTTATTTCATCAAGTTCAAAAAGTTTATCGGGTTTTGATTTAAAATTTTCTTCATACCATACGATAAATGATTCATTTAAATAACTTAAAATCGTGTTAATATCCCATTTCGTTATCACATTATTTATATACATATCATACGTTTTTTCATGGTCATCTTTAATAAATGATATATAATCTGAAGGGTCTAAAAGAATGGGATTAAATTTACCACTCACAGAAACGAGAGTAACATTATAAATTCCGCTAACTGTTAAATTTAATTCACAGTTATTATTCGAAATAATATTGATAATTGACATTTTTATTACGATTAAAAATATGGTAAAGCGTTATTTTCCAGTGATAAATAAAACTAGAATAAGATTACCTCAAGAATTCATAAATTCAACGAATAAGAAATTCATTCATGTTATAAATTTTAGTGTTTTCAGAAAATATGAGTCAATGTCATATTCATCATCAGGTTATATTTCACTTCATTCAAATTTAGTTCAATCAAACCCATATAATGACCATTTCATAAGATTTTCAGATGGTATTAAAAATGTAATTGATAGATTAAAATATGAACAGATTGACAATATCGAATTTTTGGAATTTTGGTTTAAATATCCTGATGGAAAAAAGATTGAAGTTAAAGATAAAGCTGATACTATAACAAAAACAATTACAATGACCGATCCAGATAGTGGGGAACAAAAAGAAATAAAACAAACGATAGAAACTGGTGAAAGGTCAATTATTATTGATTATGATTCAAAGGATTATTATTCAATAATGTTAATGCTTGAATATTAAATAGCCTTAACAAAGAATTTTTCAAGTGATATTTTATATTCATCAACTATTTTATTATAAATATCATTATAAGTTAAATGAAGTTCAGTTGTTGTTCCGTTCTTTGATATCTTAATTGTGCTAATATCCTTTATAGGATTTATTTTTGCAACTGTTCCGCAGCATGAAACCTCATCATCTATGAAAAATTGAATCTTAACGTCTGAATCTTGAACATCACAAAGAATGGCGATAATGTGAATTAATGATTCATAAGGTAAAATAATTAAACCAGATTGGTCAATTAAATTTATTATTGAATCATAATTATTAATTATTATATCACGGTAAATTTTCATTAATTCAGAATTAATGTCTATTTTATATGGCGCATTGCGACTGGAATCGTAGATTCCTGGGTTCTCGATGTTTGATGAAAGAGGTGGAGGGTATGTTGGATATGTGGGGATTTCAACGGGTTCTTTACCGGGTTCAGATAAAATGATTGGGTCTCCATCTTCTTTATTTTGCTCCTCCTCCTTTTTCGGTAAGTCACGAGTTAATAAATTTGGTTGAGTTGCTGACCTTGTTAATTCAGGACTAACATTAACTTTAACATTTTGAATAATTCGTGATTTATCATCATTTACGTTATAACCAACCGTAATCTCTGCTTTTGCGTTAGTGTTCTTTTGACTTGTGAAACGTCTTCTCATTTTTAATTGAATAAAAAAAAGAAAAATATATTTAAAGTTTTATTTAGTTGTTACGGTAATATCCCAAGGTTCATCATTGTTTGCTTATACTTTCTTTGTAACTGCACCAATTATGTTATTGATATTGCTTTGAGTTTCTTCCAGTCTTATTTTATCATTTACAATATCTTTAATCATTTCATTACATGCATTCTTAAAACCATCTGATTTTTCTAATTTACGTCTATCACTTTCTTTAATTAAATCAAAGTTATAACCTTGTTGAGAATAAAGTGGTTTCTTTATCAATTCCTTGAACGCTTCTGAAAGTGAAGATGAAGAAATTCTTGCCACTTGAATTGGTTTAAATTCTGCTTTCATTGCTTCTTTCTGTTCATTGAACACTGGATCGAATAAAGCAACTTAAAGAATTTCTTAGCTGGAATTTCAGGTCTCAAATTTGCATATTGACCATCAAACTGATTAACATATCGTGGTAATCCATCCGGTCCCTCTTCAATAGCATTTAATTCTTCATTGAAATAAGAATATGGATTATACGGTATGAATTAATTGGACCATTTTCACCTTCTCCAATGTATTGTTTAACAGCTTTTCCATTTTCATCAAATTGCATAGGATAACGTTCATTATATGCTTTACGTTTAGGATAATCAGATACAGTTAATTTATAACCATTTATGACTTTAATATTACCTTGACCATCAGTAACGAAAACTTCATTTATACCATCAGGTTTTCCATTTGGTCCTGTAATGTCTGCTTCGTGTGCTTCCCAATTTGGTCCATGACGTTTGGCATATGCTTGAGCTTCTGGTAATGTTAAAACGTTTCTCATTTGTTTAACATCTTTTTGAAGACCGCAACAATATGAACTAATTCTTTCATTCCATCGGAACTTTCATAGTTCTATTATATGCACCCTTTTTGTTTGTCCCTTGTTTTAATGGAACCTGTAGAAGATTTGCTATTTCTGTCATGTTTAATTATAAATAAAAAATAAAAATTAATTATAAAAAGTTAATCAAATTTAACACTTCCTTTATTTAAATCAACTATTATTTTTCCATGTTCACCTAATTGCTGATATTGTGTGTAAAGTTCATTAATGCTCATTGGTAAATTCACTTGATAAAGCATAACGTTCAACTGTTGACGACTAAAACCACTGAAAATGAAAAGTGTTGATAGATTTGATTTAATGTTTGTGCTTAATGCTTTGAAGTATTGAACAGCCATGAAGAATGAACACTGAATGTGTCGACATTGAGTTAATAATGATTAAAATATGATTTCTCATTTGTTATTAGTTTTGATTTCACGCATCATCTAGAAAAATTAGTGAATGCAAAAATTCTCTATCAAAATTTGAAATAGAAAGTGTTTCAAATAATTCATCCCGTTGTTTATCAATAATTTTATCCTCTAATCCTTGCTTCTTGATTGTATTATATAATTCTTTATACATTAAAAAGTTTTTTAAATAATCTTCTGCTTCTTCTTGTGATAAATAAATAATTGGAATTTTGATTAAATGCTTTAAAGATTCAAATGTATCATCTGAAGGTGAACCTGAACGGTTGATATAAATTAACACATGTGAATGGGGGAAGTGTTAGCAATAATGATAATTTGTTTTAATATCGTTAATGTTTTACCTTTATTTTGTTTACCAATTGCTGCAGTGATTGAATTTAAGTAACATTCAGAATATGGAATTTTCATTAATTTTTCCTTAGATAGAGCATTTCTATTATCACTCAATGCTTCATTAATCATATCATCTACGTATGTATTATATACTCTGCTAATTCTTCAGAATTGAAATCCATTTAATCAAAAATAAATTTATAATTTTAAACATTTCTATTCATCAATATTTCATCATATGAACTTCTATACTGTGGTGGTGTACCTGTTGGATGATATTTCAAACCTTCATCCGGTGTCCATGTCCAATACGTAGTCCTAGTAAACCAAACCTGAGGAGGATTTGTCACCTTTGAACAGTAAGTGTCATTTTCACCCTGAATGATTGGATAAGCTTTCACTTGTACTGTAACTTGTGAGTTGAAAGTTTCTAATCCATCAAAGAATATACCCGCTCCATCACGTTGAACTGGAATAGTGCATAAGAATGAAGTTTGGTCTTTCCATGTTCTAGCTAATGGCGTGCCATCATCATCATTCAGTGGTCTAGTTAATGAGTCCTCGTATTCTTCCGTGCATTCATTCACTCCATCTAAATCAGAAGCTTGAAGCATACGTGTAAAGAATATGTCACCCACTGTGGTCATCGCTTGATCGGGGAAGTTTCTGGAATCTATAGTGACCTGAAGACCTCGAAGCATTGGATTTTCTAAAACTGTTCTTTGCATTGCATTCTTCGGAAATGTTAACACAACATCTGTAACATTATGAAGAGCGTATGAGAAATCTGAGCTAATACCTTCAGGAGTGATGCAACCTCCATTTAGTGAACGAACGTCAATATGTTGAGCTGGAATCATGAATGGATCTTCCTTACTGAATAAACGTGGTATTGCTTTAACTGATTCTTCAATTAAACCGTATCCTGGTGTAATGCATTTATCCTCTAAAACTTCCATCTTTGTGCATGAAATAATAACGTCATCAACTGTTGCGTCAGCAGATGTAGCGGCTAAGCTTGTAATTAATTTGGCAGGAAGTCCGATTTGTTGGAATTTGCGATCATATTTATAAACATGATTCATAATCTTTTCATAATTTTCATCAGTTATCTTTTCATAAACGTAATTTTGTAAATCAGCAACTCTTAACGGGTCAACCTGACAAAATACTAAAGTATCCCTGAAAACATAATATTTAAGAATGATTTCACCAAATGATTTAGGATAATCATCGAACGCCTGAAATGCTAACAAATCATTTACCGGAATAATCATATCAAAAGTGATATCAACTTCTTCATTTGCTTTCTTGAAAACTTCTGAAGGGTCAATATATTTACCACATACTGAGTTATCATATTTTTGAACATTATTATATAACGAATGAACAAACTTTTTAACTTTCCTTTCTGATTTTGGTTTATATGTTGCAAATGCGAAAGATTCACGGGCGCAATCCATCTGAAGATAACCGGCATCACCTCTTTCGGTTTCTACTTCTAATTGTTTAAAGCTTTGATTTGATGATTTGTAACCAACGAATAAACGCATGCATTTAAAAGCGGCATCACATGTGAAAGCTTTATTTGAAACTAGAGTTGCTTTAACTTTGCGTTTAATATATGTGTCACCTAATTGGTTCACATCATGAGCCGGATTTGTAATTCTTAAATGAGTTTGTTTATCATCAAAATATGGAGCATCAGAGTCATAGCATGAACTTTCAAGTTCTCTATAATATCTTCTACCATCATTCTTTGCGAATATTTCATTTATCTTTTCGAATGAATGAAACACATTTCCATTAATCGGTTTAGTGTTTGGCACCAAATAGTTAGTCGTCATTTATTATTAAATAAAAAATCAAAATTAAAAGATGAAAATGAATTTTTAATTTTAATGAAATAATCAACTATGGCTGCAGGTATATTTAAGAAACTGTGGGATAAAGTAAAAAGAGGAGCGCATAAAGTTTGGGAAACAATGAAGAAAGGAGCAAATTGGATATTTAAGAATAAAGAAGCAATTAGTGACATTGCTGAATCAATAACGCCAAAAGCTGCCCCAATAAGAGAAATTTTAAATAAAGGAGAAAAAGTTTATCAAAGACTTCAACCGATACTAAGATAAAAATAATTTTAAAATAATTTATTTTTCCACTATTTACCTCCTATTTTATTAAGTATTCCTTCAGCAATTCCACCAATTGCGTTACCTGCTTGTGCTCCCATCGCCGGGTTACCTGCTTTAGTACCTAATACTCCACCTATGATAGTTCCTGCCGTTTTCGCTACTGGTGCCAAAAAGTTTGCAACGGGTTTAATAATCTTTTTATAAACCCAACCCGCAGCTTTCTTAATTCCATCCCATAATTTTTTAAAGAATCCTGCCGCCATTTCTGATTTAATATTAATTAAAAAATATATTTCATCACTTATATTCTAATTTTTATTTAATGATAAATGAAACCAATTTTAAAAATAAATGAAACAGAGGAGGAAGAAATAAATGAAAGTGAAAATGTTCAACAAAAAATAAACGTTGTTAAACCAATTACTGAAATAAAAATTTTTTCATCTGTTGAAGAATTTAATGACTATTATGCTAATAATAAAAAATTATTTGAAGAATTGACAACATGTAAATTGAATAAAATGTTTAAAGTTGATGGATTCAAAATTTCAAAAATAAAAGGAGTGGTTAGTTTGAAATCTATTCCTCAATCAAGAATCACCTTATTAATGAAAATAGATGATTTAACAAAAAGAATAGAAATTATTGAAGAAAGAATGAATCAAATTATTGATTTCATAAATTCAAATAATCATTAGTTTTTAATTTATTTTTAAAGTTTATGAGGTCTTTGATTATGACTCCATTGATTCCATTCATGATTTAAACAATGTTTAATTAATCGCGGAATATCTGACATCATCTATATATATAGCTTCTTTTATAAATGATGAAAAATAAATTATTTTAAAATTAATGTTAATTTTTTTAATGTGTTTATTTCATTATGTATGGGTTGAGTGTAAATGTCTTACAATTTTGAACATTTTTAAATCTTGATTTATTCAAAAACGTAAGAATAAAAACCGTAAGAATCATACATTTTTTACTTCATATGTAAAAAAAAATGATACAAAATCGTTCAATATTGTATGAATTCTTACGTTTACAAAAAAAGTCACACAACCCGCACTCATATACTACTAAAAAAAAATCATTATACAAAATGATTAAGCTATCCGTGCGATTCCATAAAGAAGGCAACAAATGTATCTCAAATGGTCAAATATTATAAAATATCTGTTCAAAATAATCGCAAAATTCAGAAGAAAGGGCAAAGCATAGTGAAGCATTCTCATACCATAAGAATTTTTCGTATTATTTACCTACATAATGATTAATACTCCTTTCAAATAAACATTTTTATACAATTTCACATTTTTTATATTTCCTTGAGATTACTTCATAGGTGGATTATATTTACTCCATAAATATTTGAGAAATCTTTGTTTTAAGATTCCAAAAAAAAATTCAAAAAATTTAAAATCAGAATCAAAATTTTACTGTTTATCTTCAAAAAACTAATTTATGAAAAAATTTGGAGAATGAAAACGTATAAAAATATGCATGGTTTATAAATTATTGAAAAAATATATCCAAATTGCATTAAATTTTGAATATTACAATTAAACCTTAGAATTTTATGATAATTTCGAATAATTCATCATAATTAAGATTAGGTATCTATAACATATAGTTAAATTAAAAACATTTTATAATTATAAAATAAAGTAAACATTTACAAAAATTAACTACTTGTAATATAGATCAAAAGACAATAAATTAGAAGTTAAGAAGTAAGTTGCACGAAAATTGGATCCAGTTCAGTAATGCGAGAATATGGATATCATAAGTTTTAATTCATGCTAAATTGTGGTTGAGTTTCTAATTTGCTAATGAAGTTATTGGTTAGCGTGATGAAAACAACCGTAGTTTTTATGTTTTTTTTTTTTGAGAATTGCAATATATTTTGAGAAAGTAAGATATTTGTAATGGCTCATATATATCTATAATATAACTAGATTAGGAGGATTTTTGTCGAGCCATTTTGGAGTCGATAATTCTGACCCAATCAAGCTAACTCTTGATAGCATAAGCCTAAGGACCATACGATAATAGGAATCTTCTCTAGTTTATACTGAAATTCATGATGTCGAGATAATTTTAAATAATTTTGGGAGTAGATTTTAATTTTGGTCAAAATTAGACAATGGAGATTCTAGAGTCATGAGTATAGAAACAAATTACATCAATTCCATAGTCGATGATTTATCACTAAGACCAGAGCAAAGTGATAAAGAGGCATATGAAAATGAAACATTGGTGTCATTTTTTTACAAATAATATTTTTTTTCATAAATGGATCCTCGGGGGTCAAAACAATATAATAGGATGCAACCACCTCCTCCACCACCTAATGCACAAGGTCCTCAGAATGGATGTTTTCCGGGTCAAGTTTTTCAAGAAATTTTAAAAGAAATAGTCCCAGATGCATCTTTTTCAGCAGATTCTCTTAAACTTCTAGATTGGATGACAGCATTTATTACAAGTAATTACATGTACCGTCTCAAAAGAAGTCCAGTAATTACAGAAGAACTAATATTATCAGTTTCAGACTTTATTGCAGCCCGACTGAATCAAGGAGTTGACAAAGTTCCTTTACCACCAGAAATGCCTCTAAATTCTGGTATGGGACAATATAACCAAATACAAATGCAAACAATGCCTCAAATGAATCAAATGCCATACGGAATGCAACCAAATCAGATGCCTATGTGTCAAATGGGATATGGAATGCAAATGAATCAGGTGCAGATGCCTCAAAATCAATACGGCATGCCAATGCAACAGCCAATGCCACAAGTTAATCAAAGGCATAGCCAAAGACTGAACGCAATTAAAAGATTCAAAGAAAGTCAAGAAAATCAATAATATCCATTTTAATGTCTATTTCGAATTAATTCACAAATAACGACTACTCCAAGAAAAAATACACCGAATTTTACCTTTAATTAATACAATTATTTGAAAAATATTATATTGTCTGTTATTTTTTTTATATTTGTTAAAATGTTAATATTTCACCATAAATTGCAAGCTAGAGCTTATCATTTTTTGATCATTAATTGAATTTATAAGATTCAAAAATTATTTTTTCTTTTAAACACATAAAATGATCTGATTATATGAAATCCTGATGCTATATATTTATCCTGAGTTATTGCTTTGAGATCGCGGCAATGATTTATATTTTTTTTATTCGCAAATTGCTTATATATCTACACAATTCTTATATCACATGCAGTATCACATGTAAAACCTATATTTATGCAAAAAATCCGAAAATCTAATTAAGAAAGTCTCCGAAAAGCATCCTGCCACTCAATGATGTGTTCACTTTTTGTCCGGATTTTAAATTTAAAAATTTTCAATGTCAGCACCAGCAGATCAAGGCGTCCCTGTTACATCTCTTAATATTCAGCAGATTATGAACCTCAAGAAGCAATTTGAGGAAGAACTTACACAATTACAAGCTACAATTACACTTACAAATGAAACAGTACTTAAGACACAGCAAGCAAAGAACGAATTAAAGCAGTTTACAGCCGTTGAGACAGGAAAGACAATGCTTGTCCCAATTACTGAAAGTCTTTATGTTACAGGAACAGTTTCATCACAAAAGAGACCAATTATCGAACTTGGTACTGGCTACTTTGCTGAAACAAGTGTAGAAAAGGCAGAAGCATTCTTCAACCGTAGATTGAAGAGATTAAATGCACAACAAGAAAATCTTAGAAATTCATTCAAGGAAAAGCAACAACAATATCAAATGGTTGTTCAAGTTGCAAACCAAAAGATCCAAGCTACACAGCAAAAGCATTAAATGATATTGTTTATACTAAAATATATCATTTTTTTTTTACTTGTACGAATTAACATATTAGTTTGTAGGTTAATTAACACAATAAACGAAATAATTTTATTCTTTAACTCTAATCTCTTTCATCATCTGCAAGTGATTTAAGAATTTCGTCTTTAGGTCTGAGCAACTTAATTAAGAAATCACCAGTGTTGTTATCAGTCTTTTCAATATTAATATCATTAGTATTTGCAAGCATTAATGATGAATAAAATACTCTGGAGACTTCATGAGTTAAAAGTCCAGATGTTAAGTTTGAAAGTGTGGCTTCACCACCTTTGGCATCAACCATTGTAACAATCCACTTTCTTGTTTCTGTAATATCGAATTTTCTTCTTTTGGATTCATTTTCAAGAACTGGAGAGATCTTCTTCTCCCATTCGCTGAGTTTCTTAACAGATTCACTTGCAATTGTTTGTTTCTTGCCGTCTTCGATCATTTGAAGAACGGCCGTTCTGCAAATTTCTGAATAATTGGAAATAGGATCATGTGTTTCCTCAAGAAGCATTGGTGGAACAGGAAGCTCTTCTTCGCTGTCCTCCATGGCCGGTGGTGGAGCTTCTGTGTAAATTTCAAGATCTTGTTCAATATGAGCGCGGCCATTTTCAACAGGAATGGCTTCTAAAGCACGCATATCTTGTTCGTGCTCCAACTTTTCGCGGTAATTTTTGACTTTTTCGAAGAGTTCATCAAAGATATCAAGATTAAATGGTCTTGTGAACGAAGTTGGCTGCTGTGGGATATCATCGAATGATGTAGGGATATGGACCTTTGAAAGTGGCTTAAATGGATGAGAAGTGAACGAAAGATTTGTTGCATCAGGATCAAGAAGTTTGTATTCTTGTCTCTCTTTCTTTTTCTTCTCTCTCTTCTTTGGCTGCTCTTTCTCTGCGGCTGCTGTTTCAACGTCTGCTGATACTTGGCCTGCTGATTCTGTTGTTTCCCCTGCAGGAACTGATTCATCTGGTGGAGGAGGAAGATCATCGTCATCGGGCATAGGTGGAGCTCCGATATCAACGTCATCAGGTTGGGGAAGGGAGTCTTCTGCTGGTGGTTCTGGCGGCTTATTCGTTGGATCATCTTCTAAATCCGGTGCCATGAATTCAACATGAGGTTCTTGTGGTGTAAAATCGGTAAATTTTTGAGATCCATCAAGGATAATAACACCATTTTCTTGGTTTGGAACATTATAAATTCTATAATTATTTTCTCCAGTTTGAGTCTTTGCATCAAGAGAGTGTAAGAGGCAGAATGGAATCTTTGGCATAGTGGTGATTTCCAACCTTGGATCTTCTGTGTCTAAAACTGTTGTATCACAAGTATCTGGATCTTCAATTGGTGCCAATTTATCATCAATAACCCAATCAATTGTTTTACGAGTTCTCTTCTTATTTTGCTTTTCACCTTCCTCGGTTTCTGGTAATGTAACGGAATTTGTAACTAAATCGTATAAATGTTTGACTTTTTTAGCATAAATGTGTGTTGTACCTTGGATAAGAAGACCTGCTTGAGAAAAGTTTAATATATCTGGATTAAATTCTTGCGAGAGATCAATATGAGAAATATTTTCGAGATATGTATCCAAAACATCACCAAGTTGAATATTCCAAACGGCAGAAAGTTCTCTTATAGGGCGAAGAAGTTCTTGAAAACGTTCGGGATCAATTGCCTGGCTCTGTGATGTAACCTGGCTTAATCCTTCCGTCATTATTAAAATTTTAATAAACGTTCACCAGTGAACTATTCACCGTTTGTGAAACTTGGAAGGCTGCTTTTCCAATGAGATATCTATTGTATTTGTTTACATATTCTCCGTTTCTACATCTTCAGGAACTGTCCAAACCCTTGATTTGAATTCTCAATAGTAATCTCTAAATGAACACTATGTAGTTAGATTTTCCCCTATTGTACGAATGGATCATTCAGTTTGTTATCCTTGCTTCAGAACTTTGGAAAAAATTAAGTATTATCTTTGAAACAAACGAAGCACTGTCTTACATTTGAAATCATTTTTCTTTTTCAAATAGTATTTGAAAGAATCTTCGAGTGCAACATCATTATATCTGCTTCTCTGCTTTAATATTGAACATAAAATGGAGTACAATTAGGAATATGACTGAAAATGAGATTTATATTGTTCTAAATTGAAATTTATGACATTTAGAATTAAAGAATCAAAAACAATAAATTTGAAAATTTACCAAACTAAATTTTTGAGTTGAAGGAGATTTTGACTCAAGCGAGGTCTTTTGTAAAATGCAATTATATGACTTTTAAAATTTTTCATGTCTGATCAAGACAACCTTCCAATCAAATACAGTGAATTGCGAAGTAAGTATAAATACTACATCGATTCATATAATGCGCTGTATAAGTTAACAACGAAAAGTGAAGAAAAATTAAACTCGATTTACAAAATGATCAAAACAGATTTGATTGATTCAAAGAAACATCTCCCCACAATTATCATAAGAGACATTTTAGATATTATTCAGTATAATAATCGCTATACAAAGTCATATTTATCACTCGTCAAACGCGTTTATGATGATTATCATATCAGAGAGGTCAACAAAATTTCAACCATTTCCAACTACCTTTTTTATAAAGAATACGGAATTAAATTAAACAAAAATGATGATTTCGAAAAAATCAAATTTAACAATCTGGACATTCTTACAGAAAATACAATTTTCAGATCAATTATGAATAATGACCTAGAAAGGTTCATCTTTTTTACGGAGGTAGAAGGATTTGATAAAGATCAAATACTTAAAAGCGATTTATTTCTCATATATAACAAAGGATTTTCATTACTTGAATTATGTTGTTATTATGGTGCTGTTGATTGTTTCAAGTTATTAAGATCGAAATTCAGCTCAGAAATAACTCAAAAATGTCTATACTTTTCATTTTTAGGAGGAAATCCGGAGATCATGAGTGAATGTTTGAAATATCAAAAATCAAATCAATATGAATATTGCATGACATATGCAATTATTTCACACAACATTGATTTTGTTACATTCTTGATGAATGAATACAGTTTAAAGATCAATTTAAATTACTGCGGATGGCATCATAATCTTGAATCATTTTTGGTTTATTTTGATCAAACGAATGATATTAACCAATGCTTTGTTGTTTCTGTGAGATTCAATATTCCATCTTTATGCGAATATTTTATTTCGCATGGGGCAAATATCAATGAAAAAAATTATTTAAACGAAACCGCTCTTCATGATGCAGCACGTAATAATAGTGTAGAAATAGCAGAGCTTCTAATTTCACATGGTATAAATATCAATGATAAAAGTATATATGGAATAACCGCTCTTCATTATGCAGCAGAATTTAATAGTAAAGAAACAGCAGAATTTCTTATTTCATATGGTGCAAATGTTAATGAAAAAAGTAGTTATTCAAGGAACCCTCTTCATTATGCAACAGAGTTTAATAATAAAGAAATAGCGGAACTTCTTATTTCACATGGTGCAAATATCAATGAAAAAGATAAAGATAGAAAAACAGCTCTTCATATTGCAGCACATAATAATAGCAAAGAAACAGCTGAACTTCTTATTTCACATGGTATAAATATCAATGAAAAAGATAATATTGGAAGGACATCTCTTTATATTGCAGCAGAAAATAATAGTAAAGAATTAGTTGAACTCCTTCTTTTACATGGCGCAAATGCCAATGAAAAAACTGCATTCCGAAAAACAGCTCTTCATTATGCATCAGAAAGAAATTATATAGATATTGCGCAACTTCTCCTTTCATATGGTGCAACTGTCAATGATAAAGACGATTATGAAAATACAGCTCTCCATTATGCTGCATGGAAGAATAGTAAAGAAATTGCGGAACTTCTTGTTTCATACGGTGCAAACGTAAATGAAAAAGACGGGAACAGAGAAACCGCTCTTCATAATGCAGCATTTTTTAATAATAAAGAAATAGTTGAACTTCTTATATCACATGGTGCAAAAATCAATGAAAAAAATAAAGATGGAAAAACCGCTCTTCATATGGCAGCAGATAATAATAGTAAAGATGCAGCCGAAGTTCTTATTTCGCATGGTGCAAATATCAATGAAAAAAATAAAGATGGAAAAACCGCTCTTCATATGGCAGCAGATAATAATAGTAAAGATGCAGCCGAAGTTCTTATTTCGCATGGTGCAAATATCAATGAAAAAAATAAAGATGGAAAAACCGCTCTTCATATGGCAGCAGATAATAATAGTAAAGATGCAGCCGAAGTTCTTATTTCGCATGGTGCAAATATCAATGAAAAAAATAAAGATGGAAAAACCGCTCTTCATATGGCAGCAGATAATAATAGTAAAGATGCAGCCGAAGTTCTTATTTCGCATGGTGCAAATATCAATGAAAAAAATAAAGATGGAAAAACCGCTCTTCATATGGCAGCAGATAATAATAGTAAAGATACGGCCGAAGTTCTTATTTCGCATGGTGCAAATATCAATGAAAAAGATAATGAAAGCGCAATTGCTCTCCATTCTGCAACATTGGGAAAAGGTAAAGAAGTAGTTGAACTACTTATTTCACATGGTGTAAATATCAATGAAAAAGATAAATCCGGAAAAACTGCTCTCCATAAAGCAGCAATTTTTAATTATAAAATAATAACCGAACTACTTATTTCACATGGTGCGAATATTAATGAAAAAGATAATGTTGGAAAAACCGCTCATCATTATACAGCGGATAATAATAGCATAGAAACAGCTCAACTTCTTGTTACCCATGGCGCAAATGTCCATGAAAAAGATAACGATGGAAGAACAGCTCTTCATATTGCAGCATTGAAAGATAATAATTAAATAGCCGAACTTCTTATTTTACATGGTGTAAATATCAATGAAAAAGATGAAGATGGGAAAACCGCTCTTCATTATACAGCGGATAATAATAGCATAGAAACAGCCGAACTTCTTGTTACCCATGGCGCAAATGTCCATGAAAAAGATAACGATGGAAGAACAGCTCTTCATATTGCAGCATTGAAAGATAATAATTAAATAGCCGAACTTCTTATTTTACATGGTGCAAATATTAATGAAAAAGATAATGATGGGAAAACCGCTCTTCATTATACAGCGGATAATAATAGCATAGAAACAGCCGAACTTCTTGTTACCCATGGCGCAAATGCCCATGAAAAAGATAACGATGGAAGAACAGCTCTTCATATTGCAGCATTGAAAGATAATAATTAAATAGCCGAACTTCTTATTTTACATGGTGTAAATATCAATGAAAAAGATGAAGATGGGAAAACCGCTCTTCATTATACAGCGGATAATAATAGCATAGAAACGGCAAAACTTCTTATTTCATATGATGCAAAACTCAGTGAAAATGATAAGAATCGATTAAGCAGCACTTTGTTGTGCAGTATTTCATAATAGCAATGAAATAACTAGACTCCTAATTTCAAAAGATGTCTCTCTTTCTTTTCTGATTTCTTTGAATGAATTTTATTCGAAATAAAAAATTATTTTCATAATTATTCTTTATGAAAATAGAATACATCAAATTCATATAACCCATAAAAGCAACAGCAGATTTTGCGCTTTCGGATAATTTCATAATCTTCATCGACACAATTTTGCCAAAATATGTTGTAACCCCCTTGACTGGAAGCTTGTAGATTGATCGAACTAATAGAATGAAATCACTAAATGTACTATCATCATATCATTATTTTATTTAGGGGGATATCTCAAAATTAATTGGGTATCAACGATAATGACGATTATTTTTTAAAAAAATGAGTGGAAGACTTGCAAAACTAGAGGAAGCAGAAGATCTTGTTATTGCAGTTCTTAATTATGCAGCCCAGGCCATCAAAGAATTGAAAGAAATTCAGGCAAATACAACAGAAAAGAAGGAAGAATTTTTCCGTAATTCATATAAATACTATATCGAACTTCAAAAAGTCCAAGAAATACTTAAATCAGAACTTGACACAATTTCAAACGCTCAAACTCCAAGTAGAAGACCTGGAGTTGATCAGTTAGCAATTGCTTCGTGGGAGGCTAAAGTTATAGCTGAAAACTTACACGATCTTTTAGAGTAAATTGTTACAATTGTTATGCTTTTAAATATTATATATACTTTTCTATATATCTTTATGTTATATTATAATTCCGATTCATACTGAGATAACCTACATCTTAAAATGATATCAGTAAAAATTCATACTTATTTAATATTAAATTAAAATACAAGATTTTACTATCAATAGAAAAATAAACAAATTAATCGGAAACAAGCTTTGTTTCAATAGCATCGGCCGTAGGGACTCCATAGCGGAATCTGTAGAAGCGAGTGGAATAATTGTTAAGTTTAATAACGCCAATTATTCCGCCAATTAGTGCGCAAAAGTGAATTATTGCCATTGCGCTCATTGCTATATAATCGAACGCCGTACGTGAATCTACGAAGAACATCCATAAAATATCGATAACTATTGTCGGAATTAGAGTTAAAACAATGAAGATGATAAAGAATTGAACATTTCCGGATCTGTATTGTGTAAATAATGCCATACGAATAATTTCTAATACTGAAAATAGGACATACATTGCAATAAATTTTTCATCTGAAGTTCGTGTTGGAACTAAACATAAAAATAGTAGGATAACTAATATTGAATAATATTTGTTAATGCTAAGTATGGTCTCTACATATACAAGTCGTGGATCGCCACCAAAGAGTTGCATCGATCCGTTTATAATCACTTATTTCAATTGGTGAGTGACCCTGAATTAAGTTTATTAACGAGATTATTTTCTAGTATTCTTAGAATAATCTCAACATGAGGGATATTTAATGGATTCTGAATAAAATGTTAGTTATTTTGAGAATAGCAATGTTTCATTTTTATCAAACACTGCTCCAAGACAGCTTCTATAATGAAAACATTAGTCATATCATTTGTCCAAATGATGATAGTATTGGATGATTGACAAGTGCAAAAATTACAATTCAAATACCACAAAATTTTCCCTCAAGGTATTAAAACAAGAATTTTACTAGAACTTTACCTTACTTAGGCTTATGCGCATGATAAATAATGCAATAATGAATTATTTTTAATGGCCACAGTAAATTATTTCATTACATAAGACCAATTTCGAGTGATAGGTCTGTAGTAGTAAAAGTAATGCTTGTAGTTATGGCAAAATCTTTAGAGAAATTATTTATTTCTTCTTAGCAATCTTGTCGGAGTAGAAAGCGAGTTCCTCACCCTCAAGGATGTAGCCATCAGCGCGGCCGCACTGACCTGGGCGGGATGTGATGACAGCAAGAAGACGACCCTGGTCGAATTCAGCGACAAGTTCTGGGGCGACAACACCACCATCCTTGTTAGCAGCCCAGCGCTGTGTCATCTTGTCTGTGACCTTCTCTGGCTTGACGTATTGGGACTTGCCGAGGGCCTTGCCGAATTGGCGTTCGTACCACTGCTTGAATGGGGCAGCATCGATGGAAACGACGGAGCCACGAGCAAGTGTGTTTGTGCGGACAAGATCGTTGTCAGCTGGGTGGTATGTAACGTTAAGGATACGTGTCTTGCGTGTGCAGTTCTCAGAAGCCCAAGCGAATGTGCCTGTTTCGAGACGGAGGGCACGCATCTTGAGGTTGCCACCACGTACACGGACGGCGTGGATTCTCTTCTCGCCGATACGTGTCTGAGCAGATGGACGGCCGGCAAGGAAGTTACGTTTCTTACGCCATGCGACCTGGCGGGCGCCGGACTTTGTGTGCTTAAGGTCTCCCATACGTGTGATACCCATTTGGAAAAAGGACGGCCAACATCCAATAACCGCTTTTTGCTCTCAATTTAGGCACAATCATTTAGGGGCCAAAACCTTGAGAATTATAGCTCCTATACTTTAAGGATAAACTAATTTTAGAAAGAAAATGTCTCGATCTAATATTGAACCATTGATTTATCTTACATTATATTTTTTTTGTCATGTAAATTTTTCCTGACATGACCAATACTAAAATTTTGTAAACTATTCAATCCAAATTTTGTGCTTTTTCGATGTCTTCCCCGATAAACGAAATTGCTGAATCTATTTCAAAGTTTGGTGGTGAAATTCTTAATAAGAAAGTCGGAGAGGCTCCGAAAATACCACAATTAAATCTCCAACCAGCAGATATCATTGCTTTATTCAAATTACTCAAAGGTGACACCTCATCTGAATATGATGTTGGATTCTACAACATCATTGACACATATATTGCTCAATCATGGGCCAATTTCACTAATGAACAGAAAGAAGAAATCAAGAAACTTCTTATTAACTCTGCCAAGACACAAATCAACAAGCACTCTCTCAACAGATTTGCCAACATCTGTGTTGCTGTCTATGATCTCACAGACAAGAAATGGACCGAATTATTCAATTTTGTCCTTGAATCAACACCATCAGATGTTACTGCAAAGATTCTTATTAGATTCTTAGCTTCTGCATCCGAAGAATTCCTTACAACCAATTTCGCAAAGATTGTTCACTTCATTACTGTTTCTTTCTCCACAGTATCCAATTCATTGAAGGAGAACTACTTTACAGTACTTTCCAGTCTCAACAGTGAAGAAGCCTTCCAAATTGAGCCAACATTATTAGATATCTTCATGACAAACCTCATCCAGCTCATCAAAGAAGATCCAGAACGCCAAGAATTCGTTGTACAGACTGCCATTGAAGTTCTTGTCCAAGCTCCAAAGGCAGATTCAATTGTTCCAAAAGCAATAACTGAGGCCATCCAATCTATCGTCGATACCGAGTCAGCCCTTCCTGTTCTCAGTATCTTCCCTGTTTTGAACTCAAATTCCGTTGTTGCCCTTTTGAACAGATTAATTTCCGTTACAGAGACATACATCAAGGAGAAAGGAGCTCTTCCACTCGAACTCCTTGATTCCATCGAAGACTCTCCAATTGAAGACCTTTCCGAGGATGTTTTGGAGACATTGGCAAAATATTTCTCAGGATTACTCGAGAAACCAGGAAATACAGCTGCCATTGCCATATTCGCACCACTCTGTGCACAAGTAGCTGATGTTTATGAGGACAAGAAGATGAATTCCATTATCGATATTTGTTTCCAAGGAAATGGTCTTTCATTGTGTGCTGCTTTACTTATCTATCAGTACATAATCGAATACGAAGAGAATTTGTCTTATAAAATCCCTCAAACCGCCATCATCAGAATTTTCAATTTGATGACTTCACCTGATGAAAAAGTTCGTCAATCTGCTGTCAAATCAGCCAGAGAAGTCATCAACAATGGCTTCAAACTCACTGCTGACTCCGCCGCCCATCTCTTCAAAGTTTATTCTGTTTTCCCTGCAGCAGAAAAATCGAAATTCTTCAAATTATTGAGAGATATTTTGAGATCAGAAGTAAACGCAGAACTGATTTCAGAACAAGCGTTTAACTTTGCTTTTGACAATCTCAAGACAGAGACAGACGCATACATACAATCAGAGTATCTTTCTATCCTTCTTCTTGACGCTGATTACGTTCAAGATCTTTTTACTGAAGAAGCAAATTCTATAATTTGTGACAAATGCATTGAAATGATGAAGAGCGATGATGAGAAAACATGGAAGTTTGCTTCAAGGTGCATGATTGTTATGGCACAAGATGAAGAATGCCAGAAGAAGATTGTTGCAGTTCTTCCAAGATTCAAACAAATTTTATCCCAAAATTCAAATGTTTCCGATAAAACACGTGGAAACATTGCAGCTTCATACGGATCATTAGTTTTCAGCTGTGATTTGAAGAAGGAATATGATAATCTTGTTGATGTAGCTACAAGATTCATCCAATCCGAGAATTCCCATTTAATTTCCGCTGGTGCTTTATTATGTGAAATGGGAGCAGCGAATATGAGCCCTTCTGTCATCAGAAAACTCTTTGAAACAGAAGCAACAGTTTCCATGACTATCAAAGAGGAAGAACAACTCAATGACTTATTACATTCAATGATCGAATGCTTCGACAAATTCCGTGTTGAATCACAACAAGTCACTGAATTGTTCAAGAGTTTGTCATCAGGAAATCATCCTGTTTACAAAGGCAAACATTTCTCTTCATTTGTTGACAAGGACACAGTTATCTTCAAATTCCTTAAGACATGCATTTCCAAGTTCAAAGAACTCACACCAATGTTAGTTACACCAATGGTTCAGTGGTTCTCTTCTGCTCCTTCTCAAATGTTTGATTCTATTTTGGATATCATCACTACATTAGTTGACATGAAACAAGTCAATGGTGATGATGCTTATTTACTTGGAGAAACACTTTTCAATCGTATTGGGGCTGTTCACGATGAAGGACTTGATGAAATCATGCTTGGAACATTGACCGATTTGATTATGGTCAAACCAGATTGCATTGATTCTGTTAGATTCTGTGCGAAATTAGTCAATTTGTACGAGAAATTGGATGAAGAAGAACAACCATCATTGAAGGGTTCTGTCAGTGCAACAATCCTTTCTTTGTGCTCTACAAGCGATGTTCATGATATAGTTGGCGATGAACTACTTAAGGATATCCTTTTGGCATTCCCTGGTGAACAAGGAGATGGAAACGCTGATGTAATGGGAACAGCACTTGTTAAGATGGTCGATTCATCTGAGAAATGGGCAGATATGAAGCCATTCATTGCTACAACATTGATCAGAGTGTTGATGCTTCCAAATGAAGAGTTGAAGAAATTCGAATTTAGAAATCCAACAATTAATAATATGAAGAGAGTTACAAAGCAGATTTTGGCATCCAACCCTGAAATAGAAAAAGCTGTAATCAAAGACTTTAACAAGAATAGATCAATGCTCAATAGATTTAAGAAATTATTCCAGTGATCATGAAAAAAATTTATATATATTTATTTTCATTTTAGAGATACAACTAAAAATCAATTTATTATATTGTGTTACATAATTCTTTTTTTATTGATTTTAAGGGTGCACTTATGTCCTCATGAAATGGGCTTCAATTCAGATGTTTAAGGGTAATTTTGAATGACGCTACACGCCAGTTGTCAAAAATTTGAATTAAAGTCAGATTGGGGTAAGTGTAGCCTTAAACAATGAAAATATATTCGCTACATCTATTAATCAATACTGGTTAATATTTCTAAAGACAATTTCCTCTTAAGCTCCTAGGATAACAAGATAGAGATACCTAAAGTCTCATATAAAATGAATGCAAATATTTAAATTTTGTTATACAATCTCTAAACAAAACCATTTTCCCTTGATTTTATACTCATTAATATCTTATTAAAGTAATTATAATCGAAATATCAGTTATTCGAAGGGACGACGATAATGCAAGTTTGGCCTTATTACACCCTTAAATTTTTTTTTGCATGTCTGATGATGAAATTTATCCAGATCAATACAGCGAATTAAGAAATATCTGCAAAGACTACATTGATCTATATAATTCGTTGTATCAACTCAAAACTAAAAATGAAGACGAATTAAACTCGATTTTCGAAAAGATCAAAGTAGTTCTGATTGATTCAAAGCAACGTCATCCAGAAAATATTATAGAAGATATTTTCAATATCATTCCGTATAACAACCGCTATACAAAGTCATACTTGAAACTTGCAAAACTTATTTCTGATGAATATAATGTAGAAAGAGTCAATAATCTTCCTGACATACTTACTTTCCTATTTCATAATGAATATGATGTTCAATTGTGCGATTATAAAGATTTTGAAAAAAATAATGAAGACACTGAATTTATTTCGAATATATTAATCTCGGAAAATCCTGATATTCATACAACAAATTCAATTTATAAATTAATTATGGATAACGACCTAAAAAATTTCATCTTATTCACAGAAAGAAAAGAATTTAATAAAAATCAAAAACTTGAATGCAAATTATATCCGGATTATTTTAGAGATTATACATTACTTGAATTATGTTGTTACTACGGATCAGTTGATTGCTTCAAGTTCTTAAGAACGGAATTCCACTCAGAAATAACTCAAAAATGTCTATACTTTTCATTTTTAGGAGGAAATCCGGAGATCATGAGTGAATGTTTGAAATATCAAAAATCAAATCAATATGAATATTGCATGACATATGCAATTATTTCACACAACATTGATTTTGTTACATTCTTGATGAATGAATTCAGTCTGAAGATTGATTTAGTTAACTGTATTAGATTTAATAACCTTGAAGCATTTTTAGTTTATTTCGACCAAACTAATGATTTTAACAGATGTCTAGATGCTTCAATGAAGTTTAAAATCACTTCACTTTGCATATTTTTTTCACATTGTGCTAATGTAGATCCTGTTCTTCATATTGCCACAAGAAATCATGATAAAGAACTAGTCGAACTTCTTCTTTCACATGGTGTAAATTTAAATGAAAAAGATAAAGACGGAGATACTGCTCTTAATATTGCTGCATGTAATGGTTATAAAGATATAGCTGAACTTCTTCTTTCACATGGTGCTAATATACATGAAAAAGATAAATACGGAAATATGGCTCTTCATATTGCCACATATCATAAAGATAAAGAAATAGTTGAACTTCTTCTTTCACATGGTGCTAATATAAATGAAAAAGATATATGTGGAGAAACTGCTCTTCATATTGCCCTAGATCGTTATGATAAAGAAATTATCGAACTTCTTCTTTCATATGGTGCAAATATAAATGAAAAAAATAGATATGGAAAAACTCCTCTTCAAATTGCCACAAATCATAATAATAAAGAAATAGTTGAACTTTTTCTTTCATATGGTGAAAATATCAATAAAAAAGATGATGATAGGGAAGAATACAATTCAGGCTGCAGAATTTTTTAAAAAGTCAAGAAATCGCCGAATTTCTTCTTTCAGATGGTGCAAATATCAATGCATAAAGACAGGATATTCAGAGATTTTAAAGTTCATAAAATGCTTTTAAGTGAGCAATTCATTTAAACAGCTTGTAAAAACTTGCATGTGATATAAAATTTATTGCTAATTAATCATGCGAATGACATATTATGACTTAAATACTCTGGTAGTTATTGGTTATTTTAATATAATAAATCACTTTATAGATAAGCAATGCCCAAAGAGGGGAGCATTTTATCAATAGTAACTTAAATAGTCGACATGCGTCTTTGCCATAAAACTATTCGGAATAGTGTAATTCTCTAGTATATGATTATTTTTGCTTTTAATACCGAACACCATTTGAATCAAAAACAATCGTATGCTCGTGAATTACCATTTTATGCCAGAATGTTTTTATGAGTTCTCTCAAACGTTAATTTCGTAATTTTCATTTTTATTATTAAATCACATATGCAATACATATTTCAAAATCTTATCAACCTAACTCAATATTCAATTTGAGGCTGAAATACTTCTGTAGCCGGCCATTTAATGAATAATCGATAAAATTTATCGAAAAATCCAGAAAATATGAAGTGGTTTCTGATATGAAACACATTTATGATCAAAAAATCGATTTTGTCAAAAATCATCAGAATTTTTGGGCGGCCATTTTTATAGTCAAAATTTTGAGAAGTGTTAAGAGAAAGAAATTCTAATTCATTTTTAAATAATGTCTGCTATTGGTATTGATCTTGGTACAACATACTCATGTGTCGGTGTATTCCGTCACAATCGTGTTGATATTCTTGCCAATGATATGGGTAACAGAACAACTCCATCATACGTTGCTTTCACAGATGATGAAAGACTTGTTGGTGATGCAGCTAAGAACCAGGCTGCAATGAACCCACAGAACACAGTTTTCGATGCTAAGCGTATGATCGGCCGTAAATTCTCAGATCCAGTTGTCCAGAAGGATATGAAGCACTGGCCATTCAAAGTAGTTCGTGGCGAAGGTGATCGTCCAAAGATTGAAGTACAATTCAAGGGCGAAACAAAGCAATTCTTCCCAGAAGAAATTTCAGCCATGGTCCTCGGCAAGATGAAAGAAACAGCTGAGAACATGCTTTCAGAAAAGATTACAGATGCTGTCGTTACAGTTCCAGCTTATTTCAACGATGGCCAACGTCAGGCTACAAAGGATGCTGGTGTCATCGCTGGCCTCAACGTTCTTCGTATCATCAACGAGCCTACAGCCGCTGCTATCGCTTTCGGTCTCAACGAGAAGTCCGATAAGGAACGCCACGTTCTCATCTTCGATCTCGGTGGTGGCACATTCGATGTTTCCCTTCTTGATATCGATGGTGGCATGTTCGAAGTTCGTGCTACAGCTGGTGATACACACCTTGGTGGTGAAGACTTCGATTCACGCCTTGTCGATTACTTCGCTGATCGTTTCCAGAAGAAGTTCAAGTGCGATCTCCGCGAATCACCACGTGCTTTGAGAACACTCAGAACAGCTTGCGAGCGTGCTAAGCGTACAATCTCTACGGCTGCTAACGCATCCATCCTTTGTGAGTCTCTCTACCAGGGCCACGATTTCCAGGATACAATTTCTCGTGCTATGTTCGAGAACTTGAACGATGAACTCTTCAGATCCACACTTGGCCCAGTTGCCCAGGTTCTCAAGGATGCAAAGATGTCAAAGTCCGATGTCACAGATATCGTTCTTGTCGGTGGTTCCTCACGTATTCCACGTGTCCAGCAGCTCCTCCAGGAGTTCTTCAACGGCAAGCAGCCATGCCGTGGTGTCGACCCAGATGAGGCCGTCGCTTACGGTGCTGCAGTCCAGGCCGCCATCATCAAGGGCGATAACTCCGAGGCAGTCAAGGATATCTTACTTCTCGATGTCGCTCCACTTTCTCTTGGTATTGAGACAGCTGGCGAAATCATGACAGTTTTGATCCCACGTAACACAACAATTCCAGCCAAGAAGTCAAACATCTTCACAACATTCGCTGATAACCAGCCAGCAGTTACAATCAAGGTCTACGAAGGTGAGCGTACAAGAACACGCGACAACAACCTTCTCGGTACATTCGATCTCACAGGCATTCCACCAGCACCACGTGGTGTTCCACAGATCGAAGTCACATTCGATGTCAACGCTGATGGTATCATGAACGTTTCTGCTCAGGATAAGTCCACAGGTAATGTCAAGAAGATCACAATCAAGAACGACAAGGGCCGTCTTTCCCAGGCAGATATCGACCGTATGGTTTCTGATGCTGAGAAGTACAAGGCTCAGGATGAAGAAGCCAAGAAGAAGATCGAGGCAAAGAACGGTCTCGAAGGTTACTGCTTCGGTGTCCGTAACTCTGTCAACGGCGAACTCGGCTCTAAGATTGCTCAGGCTGACAAGGATGCCATTCTCAAGATTGTCAATGACACACTCGCTTGGATCGAATCCAACCAGGGCGCTTCCACAGCTGACTACGAAGCAAAGCAGAAGGAAGTCGAAGGCCAGTTGATGCCACTCATGCAGAAGGCCTACCAGTCCGCTGCTGGTGGCGCCGGCGGAATGCCAGGTGGTGTTGACCCATCTATGTTCCAGAACATGGGTGGCGCTGGTGGTGCTGCTCCAGGTGCAGGCGCTGCTCATCCATCCTCTGGCTCTGGCCCACGTGTCGAGGAAGTTGACTAAGAATCCAATTAATTTTTATCTCTTGTAAACATTCTTTCTTTATGCAATTAAAAAAAGTTTTTTATTTAATATTCATGGTAAATTGGAGAGGAAAGAATAATAATAATAATAATTTACTCAATAAAATATTTTGGCTATCATTCTTTGAAGGGGACTTAGCCAATTGAATAATTATTAAAATGTATATTATAAGACATTAGATTATCAGATATTCATTAAAAAAGGATATTTTTTAGTATTTTGAAAAACTTAGTTTAAAACATGATATAATGAAGTAAATAATATATAAATAGACAGATTTATTTTTAAAAAACAAACAAAAGTTGATATTTTTTAGAAAACAGTTCGATATGATCTTGGTAAATTCATTGTTAATGTTTCTATTTGTTGTGCATGCTCATTAGATCCGGTGAAAATTTCTCTTGTAAGAGACTCTTCGAAGATAGAAATTGAAATATTAAACATAATTGTCAAAGAAAAGAAGGCCCAAATGCTCATGTAGAAGAATAGAACCCACCATGGCAAATCCGCTCTATCCATAACACTGTCATAAAGATCTTGAATGGAATCTCCGTGAATAATCGCAATTAAAACAACAGCTCCTTGTGTGAACGTAGCAAAGTTGATACAGTAAGTTCCGAACAATGAGCAGCCAAGAACTAAGTATCCTGCAAAGATAACAAGGCATCCGATCAAGAATTGAAGAAATGTGACGCCACCTGCGAAAATTACGTTGACAATGATCATCGTTGAGGGTTTCTGTCTCAAGTATCTGATGAGAAGGAAGCAGTGGAGCATGGAAGAGATCGCCATGAGCGTATTCGTGAAGGGAAGTTGATCTTCGTAATCTAGACCGTAAATTATGTATAATGTACATGATATAACGGTAATTGTATGACAAATAAATGAAAAGAAACACCATTTGTCGTATTTCTCCCAGAAAATGTCCATTGTTTTTTGGAAATTTCTTTCTGCCTTTTCTTTTGAGAACATATAGACTTCGTATGTGTAGATACTATTAAGGATGATTGCGATTCCGCCAAAAACACAAACGGCAGCTGGGAATATAATCACAGATCCATGTAGAAACGTTCCACTTGATTTTGAGTTCGTAATTCGTGTATGGTAAAAGTCTACAAATACAATATCACTATCGGTATCCCTTGTAAATTCTCCGATGACTTCAAGTTCAAGGCGATTATCTTTCGTCAGTTCGCTTTCTTGAAGATCGTACTTCATAGACATGATGATTTGGGAAAAAGAGTCCATAAACGCGTTAATAAATGGTGTTACCAATGAGATATTCGATTGTCTGAAATTTACGTCAATAACTTGGCCTCCGATTGTAACAACAGTGACTTGCATGCTTTCTGCTGGAAAGAAGGGATGTGTTAATGGTAATTCCTTCGAGAAATCAAAGAAGCGTTGGCCGGTTGATTGAGTAACTTCTAGAAGTTTTTGTTTAAAATAAATAATACCTACCCAGCTGTTGGACATTTCTGGAGGGTCATCGAAGTCATAATCAGAAAGGAAATATTCATCGACAGTTTTAGTAAAATCTATTGTAAAATCATTAATTGAGAGTTGATTTGTGTATCCAATAAGAACATATATAATCATCATTGATATCTCAATGAAGCAAAGCCATGGAAGTCGATAGTCTAGAGTCCAATTTCTAAATACGCGATGTGGTTTATATCTTGAGTTGTATCTCTTTTTATAGTGAACTAATGCATGAAATCTAGAATTCCCTTCCATAGAAATAAGACTTAATCCGCTGGAAGGACTATGATTCATTGATTTTAAATTTTTTTGTATAAAAAAATTGACAAATATAAACTCTTTAGATGAGAGTATAAGCTCTATGTAAAAACATTAAGATCACTGATAAAATTTCGAAAAAATCTTCAATAAGTTCAATATTTGAGTTGAAATCCCATTAAAATGATGATTGTTTCAACGAAAAAATCATCTTGCATATTGTTTGTAAATAATTTTGTGTCTAAAAATACTATATCATTGAATGAAAAGGAATATAAAACATTATTTAGTTAATAAGCAACATCATCTACAATATAATCATGGTTAACATTCACAAGTCTGACAAAATCGGAGAATAGCGTGTTTCCTGTTATTGTTGATTTTGCCGCAAGTTCTTGAACAATGCTTGCGACATTTGAGTGGAATTTATCATAGCAATTCTTCACAGGACTTATAAGAGATCTCTTCTGATTATCTGTTACAGCTGCTTTTGAAACAGAAATTGCGTATTTCTTATATTGAGAAACAAAATTGAATGAGTTTTGGGCGATTGTGATAAGTTTGTGCATTGTTTCCTTTGAAGAAATAAAGAGTCCATTGAGGGCTTCATCTAAAGCTTCATCATGAGCTTTGAATAAAGCGTCAATTGATGAAGATGTCTCCATTTGATCCAAGAGTGATGCCCAAAGTGGATGAATGACATCAATAGCAGCATATCCCAAGAAAGAAGAACAGAAATGATGAACTGCATGTCTCATTCCATCGACTTCTGGGAGAACTGCCATTGTTCTACTTGAAATTCGCCAACATTCGCCTAGAAGTGATTCAAGATGTTTCCAAGTGAACAATGTTCTGAAAAGTAATTGATATTTTGTGACAACAATGTGATTAAACACAAGAGAAATTGGCCATCTAACATCTGGCTTAATATCGAAGTAATCCCAACTGTAATCAAGACCAAAAATAACTTTGGCTGAGGAAGGAGCAACTCCTTGAGGATTTTCACGCGAAACAGAGTGGAATGTTTGAACTTGAGTACTAAGAGTGTCTTGTTCTAAGAATGCAGAAAAGTATTTGGAGTAGTCAGATGGAAGAGATGCAGCAAAGTTTGCATCAATTGCAGGAATGTGAGCTTTATCTCTGGAAACTGACATTGTCTGGGCTGCCAAATGATTAAACTTAGCTACCCAATCACCTCTGCCGCATAGGAACACTGATCTGAACATTTTTGCGTATTTCAATAAATCATATTTTTCTCGAAGAACAGAGACTAATCTCAATGAAGCAGACAAGAACGCAGAATCGATAATTGTCTCTCTTTGAAGCGCTTCAAGATTCAGCTTTGGAGGATTTGGCATTTGAAGACCACAAATTGTAAGAACTGAAATGCATTTTCCTGCTGAGAGAATAGATTTAAGAGCTGCAGCAGAAATAAAGTGAGGGAGTCTTGATGTATTAAGCTCATATTTAGAGCTCCAAAAATTAGATTCATATTCTGAGCCAAGAACATCTGCTGTGATATTGCTATCTTCTGTAATAAAGAATTCATCGAAAGGATCATCAACAATTCCCATATATATCCACTTCTGAATAAAGTCGAGAAGAGGAACTGAAGCTGTTTGAAATAGATATGTGAAGAGCTGTCTAATTTTTGGCGAACCTCTGAAACTGGCTAATCTCTTCTGGATTTCAGATAAAATCGGTACGCCACGCTTATCTGTAAGTGCTAATATTAATGTTGAAAGTGCATGAAGCATTTCAGCAGGATTTTGTAAATTTCCAAGAAGTAAAGATGGAGTTAATCTGCGTGCATTTTCGAATTTAGCAATTGTTTGCTGATATTCGGATGTAACTGTTCTTAATGCAGAACAAAGAGCATGCATAATACGTCCATGATGAAAAGCAAAGTGTCCTTCTGCATATTTTCGTATTATACAAAAGTCATTGCAAATTGGAATTATTTTTTCAACAAAACTTGAAATTGAATCATGAATTTTGCATCTAATTTCGTATTTTTGATTATCTACAAGTCTGATATATGATCCTTCTGCACCAATCAAGCAATACAATAAATCTTTTACAATTGTTTGTTCTTCAATATCTGGTGGCATTGAAGTTAGGTCAGGAAGATCATTTTGCACTTCTTCCTCCTGACCAATAAGAGTTGCTTCTCCACTTTCAAGCCAGGAAGGAAGTTCAAGTGTCGACATTTTATTTTTAAACGTTCACTTTTGCAAAAATAACATCTGAATTTAGACGTTTTGGGCTCTAATTTCATCATTTTGATTGTGAGTATCAATATGCAATATACTTGAGAATACTATATATTCCACTTTTAAATGAATTTTCATTGTGAATCATATGAATTGATTTGATTCGGGACTAAAAGGTATAAAAATAAGAAGAACTCATTATCCATATTGCAGCTAACATAATAATATTTGGATTCAAATGAAATATTCCTTATGTTAATCATATATTTGCTAAAAATTGTAAATCATTACAACTATTTATAGCTTTCTTAAAGAAAATTCTTTAAAAATAAACTAAATACCAATTAAAGCATGTGATAATTCTTTAATTTAATCTTACTTTTTTAATTTTATTTTTGACAAATTGATATTAGTTTCGTCGCATGGCAGAAGAACTTTTACAGGAGCTTGATGATCTGTGTTCGAAGCTATTTTCTCCAAAAATAGATGAATTGTCCATGTTACGCTCGTATCAGAACCAAATAATTTATAACTTTGATAATTTCGATTTATTTATTCAACTACTTACAGGACGACAATGTGAAGATCGTGTTATTCTATTTTTAATCGACGCAATTAAGAAACAAGTCAAATTTTATTATTCAAACATTGATATTTCTTCAGTAATCCAAAGTATCATCAATATTCAGGATAAAGATATAATGAATGGCAAGTTTTCAGAAAGTTTTGCTGATCTTATTGCATTTTTAATATTGTTTCAATATAATCTTACTGGAAACTTCATTTTACCAGAAATACATATACTTAACTTCAAATTTCAACTAATGATGAACTTGATAAATTACTTACAGTCCGATTCTTTTAAATTTTGCCCAGAATTACGTTTAATCAATGAAGAAACAAAAAATCTACCGAAATCATTACGAAATCCTGTTAAAAGGGACTACAAATTCGAAATGGCCGACCATTTCCTCAATAATTACATGATTTCTTTTATGGATGATGTTATTTCAATTTTAGATCAAGATTCTGTACTTGGAATTCCTTTATTGAACAAAACATTGCTATTTCAAAACAAACAAGATGAATTCGATGCTTTTATTATACCTCCTGAAATTTTAATAATTTTGAAACAGAGATTAATCTTCCAAGAACTGTATAATGACTTTCTTCGATGTCCTCCTGACTTTTCAAATGAAATACTCAACCTTTGTTGCACTATTTCACGTACTTTGTTTAGTTTTGAAGATGAAGAATTTGTTCAACAGATGTTTCAAGTTTTTCTTACATTTCTCAATTGCGATACATTGTTTGCATCATATATGAGCATTGCTTCGTTCGCAAATTGGATGTCTTCCCTTGAAAATTTAATAAAAGTGATGAATCTTGACGAAATAATGAAAGAACTTATCAATTTCGTATACAAAATGAATAGAATCAATCCAATCTTCTACATTCCATTGCTAAAATCAATGTTTCTCCTTTCATCAAAATCATATCAAATTAAAAATGACAGTTTATCACTAGATTTCATTCAGAACGCTCTTGTTCAACTTGAAATGTCGACAATTGAGTCTATTGGCCAGATCTGGCAAACAGTTTTATCTGAATTGCAAGATAACAAATCCACATTATCTGATACAATTAGCGTTCTCTGGAAGACATCAACAGTTGACTCGTGTAATTATTTGATTGGTTGTTTCAAAGAAATCAATGTTTTTGACAGTTCAGATTCAAATTTTGTTAAATCTTCATTTATTTTGAAGATGTTTTACATTTTTATGGAAAACAAGATCTATATAAAGTCATATGAGCACTTGGGAATCATCATAAACCTGATTTTGTGCTATTCTCAAGCAATATTTCCACAATTAAAAACTTTTAAAGATACAACGGCCAAAACAATTAATGTTGAAATTCTTTTGCAAATTTACGCTCTTTTCTTCAAAAATTATCCAAAATTTTCAGAATTTTCTTTGATATCAAAATTAACATCAATAAATTGCTTTGAAGTAGCTAATATGATGATTAAATTAGCATTAGGATCGATAATTATTGGAATTAATGTCGATTTATCCATTTTTATCATTGAAAATTTTATAACTCAACAAGATTTCAAAAATCTCAATGAAATACCAGCGTTACTACAAAAGTATATTGCAAGTATTAAGTTATCCAACTTAAAGAAGCCAGATTTTACCATTCTGGGCATAATTTACTTGAATTTTCCTAAATTTCAGGACCAAATCAATAATTTGATTCCAAAACTCCAGAAAACAGATCTTCTATCAAAGTCTATTTATTTCGGAATCCGTGGATCAATTTTGTCAACGATTCAAACTCCATCGGACTGGATTAAGTATTGTTCGTCTTTTATCAATGACATTAAGGATATTCCATCTTTGTTTAGTGATTGTGACGAATTTCTGGTTAAAGAATGTCGAATTTTGCTGAGATTTATTAAAATAATTTGTAAAAACATTCCTCAATCGAATGACTGGCCATCAAGGAACAAAATACGTTTCAAATTATTTTCTTACTTCATGTACATGATTTCAGCCATTTTTGATAAAATTTCGCCAAAAATATTAGATGAAAAACACCAAATTAACTCCAAACTGTTTTCTACCATGATCAAATGCATTGAAACAATGAACTGTCTCATTGAGTCACCATTAGGAAACATCGGAGCAATGATTTCTTTCGGAGATCCAACTTTTGTTACTTTTGTTAAGAATTTGGCAGAAACAGTTCTAGATTTACCTATAACTCAGATTAGTTCTTATTTCCGATTCAATTTTAGCTTTATTACCTTTATTTTTTATGTTACAAATTATTGTGGAGGAATTTTGCAATTATTACCTAATGTAACAGTAATATTCCTCAGGTATCTTCAAATACCGTTCCAAATACCTACGCAGGAGCTCATTGACTCTGTTTGTTTGACATTAAATTCATTTCTTCTATATATCGAGCAAAATTTGTTGAACAGCCATTTCATTATGGCATTAAACTCACTGGTGAACCTTAAAGATATAACAAATGCTGCAATTTTTATTACAAATTTTTGTAATCGAGATTCAACTTTTGTTATTGAAATTGCATCCAAATATGCGATGCATTTCAAAGAAAAATCTTATCAGAAAATAGTTAGATCTGTTTTCAACCATTTATTTGAAGGAGATGAAGGAGAAGTTGATGATGACGGGAATTTAGTCCAATTCCTTGCTTTAGAACAATTTGTTATAGGAATGAGAAATATAGGCATGCCGCTGGATGCGATAGACGATCTTTCTCCTTATTTCGAAATATTAAATATCGTTTCACAGCCAAATCAATAATTTTTTGTTATTTAAGTAAACAATACCATGTATTTTTATTTATTTGAGGTTTCTTTCCGATATGCTCTGATCCTCTTAATTTTTCTTCAATATTAATGTATTCAGTTCCTTACTCAGTCTTATTCATGGATCATTACTTATAGAATATCATTGTCTAATCATTTTAGATATTTCTTTAATATTCATGTGGTATTTTTACATACTGAAGTTCTAAAATCGCCTCGAAGATCGATTAAGACTGTTTAGTCGGAAAGGTAGCTTAACACAGTAAGACATAGAATTTACATCAGTTGTCATGTGGGCATAAATGAACTTATAAGTGAAAAACTATTCAATTTTAATAGGATAATCAAAGCTTGCACAACTCAGAATTTTAATCTTTATACACAACGATCAGGCATTTATGATTAAAGAGTAGAGCATGCTTTGGCTAACCTGTTCCTGATGTTCTTCTAATAATTTGTTCGATCCTAATATAGTCCAATCAATCTAAAAACTTTCAGATGAAAGAGACATCTGTGTCAATGATGTTGAAGTGATTAAAGAAAAAGGCCAATAGCTAATTGATATACTATAAATTTGAATGAAAATTATCGTTTTTCAATTCTTTTTCCAAAAAAAAAATGGATAACATTAACGCGCTCATAGCTAATTACTTCGATTCAATAATAATGGAGCGGTTCGACAAATTCATGAATAAAAGAAAATCAAAATCTCCAGAGATCTTTGATTTTGCTCGTTTTTGTATTAAAACATATACAGGTCAAACAATTTCTGTATTCTTTACTGAATATATTAAATCCAAGTTCAATGAAAATGATAGAACCCAGATCAATGAAGATATCAGACAATTTACAAAATCTTGTAATGATAGTTATCGCGCAATAAATACAAATTACCATATTGATGAATTCTTTACAAAGTTATATTTAGAAAGGTCAAATTATCAAGGTAAAAACATTTCTGATTTCAAAAAGCAATTCTTCAGTACAATTAGCTCTTTCAAAAAAGAGTACAAAGAACTTCCACCATATATCCTTGAGAAATTCTACGAGATTATAAATAGCTTTGAAAACATCAAACCAACCCTAAATACACAAACATCAGCAGTTCAGCAAGCAACTATTGATACCAATCCTCCAGTTATATCTAATCCTCAAGACGACACTAATTCTCAAGAAAACGCTAATTCTCAATTTGACGAATCAGATATTCTAGAATATCTACCAGATTTCGATGAAAATGATTCTGATTTCTATAATTTTTAGAATATCATTTATTGATTTGATTTAATGATGTTATTTACCGAAATTCCGCACTTTATATTTAATGGAACTCTTTATCAATCAGGCATAAATATTTCCTTTATTTTATTTTGTTTTGTATTTGCTTTAGAAATTTATAAGACGTCGATACAATTTTTAAAGGGCCATGGAAAGTGAAATGGTCTTATATCTAATTTAGACTATCTACATATGAAAGAAGAAGTTGATTCGTTTCTTTATTATTTGCTGCAAAAGAAGAGATCTTTTACGATATACATCGTTTTTATTGACATTTGCATCAATTGATATAAAAAATTCAAACTTTATAATGCCGCCTAATGAAGAGCTGTTTTTCCATCATTTTTCCTCCCCCTATTTTTATATGATGAGTTGCATCTCTACCTTTATCTAATTCATTTGTTTATTCAATAATATATGATAATTATATATAACCTTCATATTGTAATCTTTTATCAAGAATGTAACAAAATCAATGTTGTGTGAAATAATTTCATGATCCTAGGATTTCTTTCTACAATTGATAGATTAAAGCATGTTTTTGAAAGTTGTAAACAATAATCACTCCATGGGTAAAAACTTAAGGGTGCACTTACCACTTTCTGACACACTCTCAAATTTTGTGTTTAAAATATTTTATTTTCTATGCATATTTACACCCGTATATCTCTTTTTGAGAGTGTGTCAGAAAGTGGTAAGTGCACCCTTAATTCAAATAAAGTCTTTGATATTTATATCCATCATAACTTGGATATATTAATCAAATTTATCTCTTGCGGTGAATGAGATGAATTATTCTAAGTAGTAATTCATAATTACTCTGTAAATTGTACATTAAAAATGACTATCAAGAATATTTGATTGAATGTTTTCGAAATTAGCAGAATTACCTACTTAGTATTGGGAATGATTATTACTGGAATTATTTATTATTGTTAAGTGTGCAGTCATGCGTTTTTATGTTTTCATTTTCAATTTCGAGAAATGTTAGCTTGTAATTTGAGTGTTCTCCAACAAACATAAAATATCAAGAAAAGTTGCTCTTTTAAAAAGTATAGTTCAATAAGCCATGTTCAAATCAAATCATTCTCAAGATTGTCACTTTTTATAAAAATGGGCTCTTTATACGTTTCAAATCTTCCTCAAGCATTTGATGAAAATGAATTTAGGCAATTATTCGTACATTTTGGAGATGTCGAAAGAATTGATATTCCAGATCGCCACGGCGCTACGAACTTAATTGCGTATGTCCATTTTCAGGATCCTAACTCATGCAATACAGCGATTGCTGCATTGAATGGCAAATCATTTGGCGGAAAGAAATTGAAAATTGAAATTTCTAACAAACAAAAAAGAATGCATCAGCCAATTCAAAGGAATATGCTTCCTACTCCAGAGCCTGCACCATACAATATTCGTCCAAGACCACCTTCTTCTCATTATAATAAGGGTAGTTTACTTCCATTCCAAGATGCAGAAAAATACGTTTCACTTTCATGCAAAATGCTTCCAGTGCATAATGGAATAATAGATGGCCCAAATCCACAGATGCCATTAAGCGTCTCTGTTACTTCATTTGAAAGAGAGGGAAATACATATTCACTTGCTACTCCTATTTTAGTTAATAAGCAGCCAACAGACGCATTAGTATTTTTACTTCCACTTCCAAAGAAGGGTGAAGTTCCAGAATTTCAACAGAACTATATGGGAATGCCTCCACAATATCCACCACCAAATCCAGGCTATCCACCTCATCCGCAAGGTCCTCCAAGTCAATATCCTTATCCAAATAATACATACCAGCCACCATATCCTCCATATGGCGCTCCTCCATATCCAAATAATGGAGTTCCTCTTCCACCAGCTGATGGAATGCCTCCAATGGGATATGCACCACCTCCACCACCTCCAGTTGCAGGTATGCCATACGGAGGCCCACATGATCGCTCTCCTCCTCCAATGGGCGAAATGGATCCTCTCATGTGAACGAATTCTGTGATTAATGTTTTTTTTCAGAGTTAACATCTATATTAATGTTTATTACAATGTTATTTTGTATTTCATACCAATATTAATAACTCAGAGATTTTAATAGATAACTGATATCATTTTGTTAGTTTGAGGTAATAAATACACGCTTATATTATTCTTTTCATCCAATAACCCAAAATAAAATTGTTTTTATATTTTTCTTGAAAAAATGAATGTAATCTGATATCGAAATATGAATGCTCTATCAATAAACTTAAAGTATTTCATATGTTCGGCTTAATTTAAATAGTAAAAATTGGAGAAAAAAAAATTCTTGAAAAAATTTATTGAAATATGATATATTTTAATTAATATAATATTTTCATTTCAATAAGACATTTTGGACTCAAATTTGAGAATATCGACAATTTAAATTTCATATTTCTGATCAAGAGATTATATAAACATTTTTTTCTTTACGAAAATCTAAATTTGAAAGAAGGAAGATGTTTTGTGAGCCACTTATTTTGAATGCTTCTCAAATTTTGCCAGAAATAAAACAAATCTACAATGCTGTGTTATTCTGTTCCAATATTAAATATTTTTGAAACAGGATTGTCAATTTTCTATGTTTCTTTGAAACATTCAAAAATCAAAATTATCAAAAAATCAAAATATATCACAAACACAATCGTTTACCGATATTAGTTAAAAACTTTTCAATTTTTCAAATTCAAAAACTCAAAAAAAATTCAATGTCATTTTTTTAAAACCAAATGAAAGTATATAAATAATAATTGTTCATATACTTTATATGTCCATCATTATCAATTTTTCTGAGGATTCATCAATCAATCAAAATGTTTACATTCCTTTTCTCACTTGGCATTTCACACAAATGCATTCATGATGAGAAATATGGCTCATTTCTACAACAGCACCTTTCCAGACGCACGTTAGCTGTAAAAAATCGTGATTTAAAAGACGAAGATTGGAAACCAATACGCATAAAATTCATTACCGACTGGCTTGACGGCACCAAAGATGACCAATACATGTGCAAAGAAGTTGGACAGAATGTTACATTAGGAAGATACACATACACTTGCACATCGGCGGATTTATTAACTCCAGCGAAGATTGAAGTTATCAAAGGAACATTGGTGAACCTACAATCATTTTTGAGCAGGTTAATTAAAGTGGTTCCAAGAACAGAACCGGTTAAAATGCAATACAACAGAGAAAATGATTTTAATTCAGGCGGAGAAGTTACCACAGAAAACGTTGATATGGCCGTTTTTGTTACTGGAAGAACGTTTGGAACACAATTAACCCTTGCATCTGCAGTTGGCTGGATCCCTGACGATTATAATAGACCAACAGCAGGATACATCGATATTAACGTCAGGAAGCTTCCAAAACAGCCTGCAAGTGAAAATGATTGGAACAATGAGTTCTTTTATACATTGGTTCATGAAATGTTCCATGCATTTGGCATTTCAAGGAACCACTTCAACAATTTCCACCCATACAATACAAATGCTCCCCATTCTCAGATCTTTTGTGAGCTTACAAAATATGGCAAGAATTTTAAATTCATGGTTACTCCTTATGCTCATATTTTTGCTAAGAAACGTTTTGGTGACGATAAATTCGTAGGTGATGATGGCAGAGAATGTCCCTCTGGTATTGAAATTGAAGATGGAGGCTCAGCTGCCGGAAGTCATATTGAATTTAGATCTTATTTATCGGAACTCATGGTTGGAACAACAATTTCACAGAATTCTGGTCCATTATCGAGATTAACCGATGCTTCCCTGGCTTTACTTATGGATTCAGGAAATTACAAAGTTGATTGGCTATTGGGCCAACCACTTGTTTGGGGCAACCAAGAATCTGTTGATGGCAAACCAATTCCCAACTTCGCAATTGGTCCTCCACAACTTACTTATCCAAAGGGATATGTTTATATCAGTTACAATTACCCAAGTTTCGATTATAAGTTCTGGGGAGGAACTGCACGAACATTCAAAGATTCAGAAATTACTCCTGCAGACTGTGCTCCAAATTACATTTTTAGTACATATTGTGGCGAAGCACGTTACAAGTTCTATAATCCAAAGAAGTGGTCTGTTTATGAAAGCGAAGTATTTGATTTCATGGCTTTTGTTTTGCCAATGTATACATGTCCAAAGAATAAAGCTCTTTTCCCTGGCGAGTCTGATTATGGAAATACAGGATGCCGAAATTATACTTGCGATTGGTATGATAAATATGATGTTCCTTTCTCAAACACAACTGTAACATGCACAAAGGAAACAATAGGTCAAAAATTCACATATTGGGAATCAAACGTAAAGAAGACAATTACATGTTTAGATCCAGAACGATTCTGCCGAACTATGGCTCTTTATGACATGCATTTCACTAAAGATCCATTTGATCCAAACACAAAACAACTTCCACAGAAAGAAGATCCAATTCAAAATCCAGATGGAACTAGTCCAGATGGAAACAGTACAAATTCATCTACTCCAGCAGAAACAGATGAAAATCCAGATGATCAAAAAGATAAAGATGCAAAGAAGAAGAAAATGATCATCATTGGTGCCGCCGCCGCAGGAGCTGTTGTTTTAATCATTATCATTGTTGTTGCCGTTGTTGTCTCTAAGAAAGGCTGCAACAAAGGAGAAGAACATTCTCCCGACATTGATGAAATGATAGTTTAAGTTTCTTTATATATATATTCAATAAAAGTTTTAAGTATTCTCTCTTTTAGTAGAATGAGAATATATTCTAGAAATTGTCAATAAGTTTTTTATTTACTTGTTAAAATCTAAAAGAAATCAGTGAAATTTATGTTTGTTTTCCCATTTTTGAACTATATGAAAGAAGGAGTTCGTCTGTTTATTTTTCTTTTGTCCATGTGGCCTTAAGATGAACCGTAATTCAATACTAATCTTTTTCACGGATACCTGCACAATATAAATAAGAACATCGACTATTTCATTACCATTCTTATCTGCTGAATAATGAAGAGCAGTTTTTCCATCTTTGTACCAAGTGAAAAGGAGTATTGGCAAACTGAATGAATAAACCATACATTAATATCTTTGGATTGACCGAAAATATGATATTACAATCCGCAATTGAGTATATTGAAAATACTCGTTAACCTAAATGTAACAAAATTAATATTCTGTGAAATAACTACATATTTCATCCATATTTTATGAATTTTGATTGAGTTCAGAGATGTGAAATGAAATAATACCAATTTTCAGAAAAACAAACAAAAACTCAACTCTCTGAAAAGTCAGAAGGTATTTGTTGTCTTTAGTCTTTTAGGTAGTTTCGATGATTGACTTGATTTTACGAGAACCTTAAAATCAAATATTGAAACGAAGCAAAATGCTAAAAAATATATACTAATTTGGCACACTTTTTTATGGGATTATCTAGATTTGAGTGTCTCTCAATTGTTGATGGTTTATATTTTTAAGTAATTTTTATTAATTTACTGTTATATTACTTCATTAAAGTTGTTGTGTTGTAAACAGAAATTCATCAAAAGTGACACCTCAGAAAAGCTAAAATATTGAATTTTTGGAACTTTTGATAGAGCACGTTTTTAAATATTAATTAAAGTAAATGTATATTTTGTACAGATTCTTTTTAATAAAAAATAAAATTTTGAAGAAGAACACAAAATCTTCTGAAAAATAATATCACATAAACTCATATTATTTTCTAATATATAACTATTTTATATAAAAATCAAATTCAATGATCTTAAAAGCGAAGGATAAACCTCAAAATTTACGAATATAATGAGTGGGAATATAATGCTTATCTATCATAAAACCATATGAAATATCAATTTTTGCTTTACGCCTAATTTTTGACGACAATTAGCAAAAAATGTTAAATGTTAACACTCAGTCCATTTGAATATGAAAAATAAAATTGATATTTCATATGGTTTTATGATAGATAAGCATTATATTCCCACTCATTATATTCGTAAATTTTGAGGTTTATCCTTCGCTTTTAAGATCATTGAATTTGATTTTTATATAAAATAGTTATATATTAGAAAATAATATGAGTTTATGTGATATTATTTTTCAGAAGATTTCATTCTATATGCCTATGAAAAGTACTCTCAAAACTAACTTGAAAGAGCTTTACAAACGATTCCCGGTTATCCTTACGCGATTTGGACGGATAACGGGAAAGAGAATTTCGGAGAATTCTCGAAACTTTGCAAAAAACACTCAATTACACAAATTTTCATTAAGCCTGGAAATCCACAGGCTAATGGAAAGATAGAAAAGTGGTGGCCCAATGCAGAAAAAAATTGCAGATGTAATGAAGATATTCCAAAAGTAATACATTTTTACAATAATATGCCTCACGCGAGCCTGCCGATTAATCCAATCACAGGCGTACACTTTACTCCAACAGATTTTGAAGATCACGAAAAAGATTTACATTGGTACCTCGATCAAAATCAAGAAGCATATTGGGAGGTTGATGGCCAGGTCATCAGCCTCAAAGAAAGCATAGAAAATTTCACGACAAAAGAATAATGATAAAATTCCAAAACAAAATCTTCATTTTAGAGCCATACGTAATCAAAAGCCAATTATTTACGAATAAAAACCTCGATTTTCTTTACTTTATTTCACTATTTTTCTTGTTTTTAAATTCAAAATTTGATGCAAACTACAAAGATTCGCGCGAACAAGAGTTTAAATTACTGGAGCCAAAAAAATGATACTATGGGATTTTCAGGTCAAAAGAAAACAAATAATCATACTATCTTAAACTATTCCTAGAAATTTCCAAAATTAACCGAAATATAACTGTACAGAATTACTATTTTCGAGATAAAATTCATATGGAAATACTAATTCACAACGCTTTATGTTATATAAAATTTAATTTATAAAAATTTCAAAATAAATCAAATTTAACACAATGAATATAACTGCAATCGAGGTTTTTGACGATTGATTCTTACGTGAAGTTTTCCAAACTTTGAGTTAATGTCTTGACATTAACTCAAAGTTTGGAAGTCTAATAAGGGGAATTGTAGGCTATGAGGTACTGATTATATATCAGTGCCTCATAGCCTACAATTTCCATTTCTACTTAGAATGAAAGGGCAAGAGGTATATAGGTACACTATATATCTCTTGCCCTTTCCTTCTTACCTAAAGACTTCCAATCTTATTTTTTCCCCAATTTTTCCCCTAAATTTAAATCTTATATAATATAAATAAAATGCATAATATCAATCACAAAAATTCATGTTTATTTTTTTAATTAAAATTGCTGCGCAATTTAAGGTTTTCTGTCACTTTTTTGTTAGCCATTTCGGTACGAAACAATATTAGATAAAAATATCTCTTACGAGTACATATGCTGAACATTTGCAGGCATTGGTTCATCTTCATATTCTCTGTACTTTTCTGCCACGTCAAATAAATAAATGACACAATGGAAAAAACCTAAAACAAGTAGTCCTATTTCAAACCACATTTACTTACTAATAAAATTTCTTTATTGTGACACTTTCTCCAGTTTATAGGACCTCTCTCATATTCTATCTTGTCATATATAAACTCATAGTCATGTATGTCCTCTAACCATCTCATAACGGTTTCCAAACCACTTTTATCGGATGTAAAGTAAAAGCATGGATGGTTATGTATAACGTCTAAAGTTTCTAAAGAGTCTCTCAAAGTCCAGTCTACTTGGTATTGAAAATCCCATGTGTTATAGAACGGTGGGTCCACTATAAAGAAAACATTTTCCTTGTCTTTATATTTTTCATACAACTCTGTTCAATGACATCTCACAAACTCTATACCCTCAATATATTTTTCTATGTCCTCTTTGAAAACATTTGTATAGTTAAGATATAAAACTTTTGACATAAGTGTTTCAATGTCATGAACTCTTATAGCACCACTATATAATAGTCTAGCAGATATACTATCCCAGTCTATATATTCTGCTTTTTTCAAAACCTCTCTCACAATATTTTTCTTATCTAATGGTATACGTTCCATCTTACCTATAGGTATCTTTTCTTTTAACTCTTTCAATATATTGTTTGTGTCTGGAATATGTTTGAGACGGTCCATATAGTTGTCGAAGTCATTGCATATAATCTTTGAGTCAGGAAATACGGTATGACATAAATGGGATATATAGAAATTTCCACCGAACAAATCTACAAATGTTAGACCATTCGGTAGTTTCTTAAGTTCTCTCAATATAATATCTTTACATCTACTCTTATTTCCAAAGAACGGTAACGGTGGTTTTGTAAAATTCATTTATATATAATAATAAAAATGTTTTTACCTGAAAAGTGACAGAAAAGTGACAAAACATGAAAACATATATAATTTGTGAAAAGCGACACAAAAAGTGACATTTAAAAAGTGACACCATTAATATGATATAAATAACAACGGTTTTGGTTTTGTCACCGGCTGGTCGGCTGGGGTTCGGTCCTCCTCTTGGGTCTTGGGCAAAATTTCTTATGGGCTAGAGGGCGCAACGCGCCTGGAAGCCCCACCTACCTGACCTTAACTGTTATGGCTACTACATTCTAAATCTTCTTTGAGGCTCTTTTCAGTGATTTCATAATCTTTTCCCCTTTTTGTTTTGAATAATTAGAATAATTATATGAGTAATTTCTAATTCGCATATTTCCTTTCTCCTTTTAGTAGAAGATTAAGCATTACAATAAATGCTACGTGAAACTATCATAAATTTAAAAAATGAGATTTTAATGCATTATTTAATTATTGTTTTAATGTTTAATAACAACTAGCCACATAATGAGAAACATATTTACATTGTCCAATTTCTTATATAATGCAAATTTGATTTTTGATTTTTCCAAACCTTTTTCGTTGCATTATTTTCTTTGGTGGAATTGGCAGAAATACAAAAATTAGCAATCCGATACCAACAAAACCGAATTCCACGAAAATTTTACAAAACAAAAGTGACCGCTTAAAATCCTATGGCAGACGTAGGTTCCGCTACCAAGGATATTACTCAAGCAATCGAGCAAGCCAACAAATATCTTGAGTTTGTATGGTCCTCGATTGCTTCCACAGCAAAAGAAATGGGATCGAAGAGTATAACAAATCTTGCGATCCGTAGAACTCTATCCTACAATCCACAAAATCAGAAAATCTTCGAAACAGCACCCAGAATTAAAGAAGGCTCTCAAAAATTGTGCGATATCATATCGCGCGACTTACAAGATCTTCAAAACAATCCAAATAATTATCAAGCGTGGATTCAAGTTGGTAAAGCATATTTAGCACTTAGTGACTTCACTAATGCATATTGTTCATTTACACATGTTCTTCGCATTAATCCACAAATTCAAGATCCATATTTCTGGTATGCAATTGCCTGTGTTTACCAGCATTTTCAATATAACGAGGATGCACTGAAATTTTTCAAGAACATAGGAAGCCTTGCAAATTCGAAACAAGACTTTCCTCTTTATTCAGATTATCATTTACGTTTAGGATTGCTATATAGATCATTACGCCAGTATTCACAGTCTTCCGTGGAATTGAATCTCATTCTCAAATGTCCTCCTTTAGGATTAACGGAAGATGATATTAATTTTCAGATAGCTTTCACTCAACTTGCTGGTGGACAACAAGATTTAGCTCTCCGCGAATTCAAGAACCTATGCGATAAATACCCAAAGTCTCATAAAATCGTTCAACAATATACATGGTCGTTATCATTCTGCAACGACGATCAATCATTGAATGAAGCCCAACGCATCATTGACTTACACCCCGAATTAAACGATGATCCGCTCATCAATTTCGTGCTCGCGCGCCTTGCATTAAAGCGTGGCCAAATGGAAGTTGCTTACAAGAAATACTGCGGCTGTATACCTGACTGGTGCGAATCTCCAGTATTTTGGTGCGGACTTGGAGTTCTTTACTTCAAGAATGACCAAAAGCAGGACGCATTAATCGCATTTCAAAGAGCGCTTTACCAAAAGGCAGAAATTGTCGAGGCTTGGCTAAATCTCGGATTTATATTCGAACAGCTTGACAATCCAAGCAACGCGCAAAAGATTTACGAAGCTGGATGCCAAAATTGCAGAAATTCTACAAGACTCGAGGAAAGATTAAATAGACTTAGCAACCCGAATTCTAGGAACCAGGTGAAATTAGATATCGAAGAAATAAAGGATTCTCGGTTCTTTAATCAGATTGGAGACTTACAAGCTCAAATGATACTTAGAATTCCACCTCCTATCCCTGCAAATACAATTATTCCTGACGAGGCGTCAGCCAGAGCTATAGAGGACCTTAGATCACCTTATGAAACACTCTTTTCTAATGATCAATAAAACTTTTTTTATTTTATTCTCATTATATACATTAATAACATTTTTAACTAGAATTAACCAATTTTCGAGATATAAAAATTGCTCACATTTGCTCACATTTTGGCACTTTTTTGTACGTTTGTCAAAAAATTGTGAGGAAGATCTCACAAAAATAGTCAAAATGTGAGCAAATTTTGAGAAGTGCTCACATTTTGACATACGATTATTTTCATACGTTTTTTTGATGAATTCTAATAAAACTTCATTACCACTTTCAGAACGAAGCGTAACTTTTCAGCACGTAACGCTCTATCATGTGTAGTGACATATTATTCAAAAAAACTCAGATTGCTTATCTTATAATAACAATTTCATTAGAAAAAATGCACGATTTCACGCTAAAACTTTGAAGCAATTCTTAAATTCGGATAAAAAATCGATATGTATTACACTTTAAACTTCAAAAAATGGTTCAAAATTTAGACTTAGTTTATCTTAACAATATAGCAGATTTTAAGCCGAACAAGTAGGAGTAATAGAAATAGCTCTTGAAAATAATTACAATTAGTAATATGTAAGTCAAAGTTCGAGTATTCTAATAAATAAACGTTCCGGATTTTCTTTACTACAAGAATCAATACTTAATATATAGAAGCAACAGTAAAAACTTATTAGAGATTCAAAAAGAAAGTTGACTAAAGAGAATCTTTTTATATAAGTAATTTTATTTTTTTGAAATACGAGATCGAATAAACATGTATTTTATTTTATTACTATAATAATACGTTTTTACATAGTAAGAAAGTTTAGAGACTGAAATGAAATTAAAAATTGAGAAAAAAATAAAGCTTTTCTATAAAAATTCATATTAATATATAGTATAATGATATTACAATTTATTGATCAAATAAAAAGAATATTTGTTGAATAATTTCTGTTCAAATTAAAAGTTCTTCAACTTACGGTAAATCTATCTGCCTTAAAAAGTATTACGATATTATGCAAAGTCAATTTTCTCCAAAAAAATATTTGAAGATGATACTTTAAGTATACCAAAAATACAAGAATTTTGAGAGAACTCAATGAATTTTTGTGAAGGTGGAGTTAAATTGAGAAGATTTTTGGTCAGAGAAAAACAAAAATTACTATCTGATAAAATGGTATTAAAATGAAAAAAGTTTAAACAAAGGAAATGAAGAATTTATATTATATTAGAATTTAAAGAGTAAATATAAAAGATTGAAAGAAAGAATAATAATAGGATTCTTGAATGCAACATTTGGAATGATGTTTCCAGTTGTAGATGTGTTAAGCAAAGAGAGATAATGATAGTTTCTTGAGTTTTGAGTTAAGCTTGTTGTAGATGAGAGAGAAATTTTGACGAGACTGAGGAACTTCATTTTGGAATGATGTTTCCAGTTGTAGATGTGTTAAGCAAAGAGAGATAATGATAGTTTCTTGAGTTTTTGCAATTAACCATCCTCAATGACTATTGTTTTAATATAATTTTTAAATTTTTTAAAACTGACATTTTAGTTGTATATTTTTTCTAACAAAGGTACATTCACTAGGCGATAACAGTAAAATGGGATGAAAATATGATAAATAGCATCCCTATATAGTGCCAAACAATATTTATACGGGCCAAAAAAATTGGCTAGAGATTTGGCGAGTTATAAAACTTAGAAAATTGAGAGGGATTTTTATTTTTGAATTTTTTTTGGAAAGTTAAAATTGCGATTAAAAATCGATTTCCAGGAGAACTAAGCATCTCATCATATATTTAAATCGATAAAAATATTAAATAATAGTTGAATAGTATAACAACGTGAAATTATGGCTGAATCTACAGAAAAAATGAACATATTTGACATTTTTGAAAATTCATACGTTAGATGGTGACAGACTCATAAACTATACTTTAGCTAAGATTGATATATGGTTTCAACAACACATGGTTAAAATTGTAAAAATATTTTAGATTTCAAAAAGATATATATGGTAATATAATGGAACAAAGTCAACAAATAGCATGTTAAATATGTTATAATTAACTTTTTATTAGATCCAATAGTAGATATCGAATGGTTTCCAGCTTTATGGTTAAATATTTTCTTTTCGAGCTTCTCTTTAACTGTTGTATTAAGGTTGTAAATTTTTGATGCTAGAAACTATGGAATCTTCTTTGCTGCTGCATTTTTCTTGAGAGTTCTTGCAATTTCGAATAGATCTGCGCATTGTATGAAATTGAGGCTTTAAAATATCTTGAAAACAGAATAGGACTGCTTTTCCAAAGGAATGCTTACTTGTAAATCAGAGAGTTTCAAAATTGAGAGCAAGATTATCATCATAACTTTCGATTTTGCTGCGAAAAAGGAAGACAAGTAATTAACAAATCATTTACTGTTGTTCATTAAAAGAAGAAAACTTTGATAACAACTAATGATGATAAAATCAAGCTATCTTTTAATATTTTAAATTGATAAGACATTCAAAATATTTGAATGGTTTAAAATATTTTCTTTTAATTTCTATAAGATATTATCATGATTATATAATAAAATTTAAATTTTTATTCAAAAAGGCAATATTTCAAACTTTTAATTTCAAAAATCTTAATTCTGCAATAAGTGTATTTAATTGTAGCAAATTTAATGATCCTTCGTCATGCTTAGCAATTTGGAACTCATAAATTAATGATTTCTTCAAGTAAAATTCTGCATTATTTCAAAAGTCAATAATTCTCTAGTAACTTTTCTTCAAACCCTAACCATTATATTATATGTATAATGGAGAATAATTGCAAAGAAAGATAGCCGAATTTACTGGGTAGTTCTTGTGATGCGAAATAATTGCAAATTAACACATAGTTTTAACAGCATCAATCTCTTTTTGCTCTCATTTAAATGCATTCGCACACTTTAATTTTGAAATATAAGAGTTTTGGAAATTATCAAATTTATCTGCTCAAATACTATAGATCTTCATAAGTGTTAATAGAATCACCAGCCTTACATATAGTGTTTAATATAATGATGCACATCATACTGGAATTTATTCCTTATTCATCTAGTTATTATAAGATTTACAACCCCATGAAAATTTAAAATTTTGTCAAAAATAGTGAATGTACCTTTTTTCTAACACAACTATCAATAAATTGTAATATCATTATACTATATATTAATATGAATTTTTATAGAAAAGCTTTATTTTTTTCTCAATTTTTAATTTCATTTCAGTCTCTAAACTTTCTTACTATGTAAAAACGTATTATTATAGTAATAAAATAAAATACATGTTTATTCGATCTCGTATTTCAAAAAAATAAAATTACTTATATAAAAAGATTCTCTTTAGTCAACTTTCTTTTTGAATCTCTAATAAGTTTTTACTGTTGCTTCTATATATTAAGTATTGATTCTTGTAGTAAAGAAAATCCGGAACGTTTATTTATTAGAATACTCGAACTTTGACTTACATATTACTAATTGTAATTATTTTCAAGAGCTATTTCTATTACTCCTACTTGTTCGGCTTAAAATCTGCTATATTGTTAAGATAAACTAAGTCTAAATTTTGAACCATTTTTTGAAGTTTAAAGTGTAATACATATCGATTTTTTATCCGAATTTAAGAATTGCTTCAAAGTTTTAGCGTGAAATCGTGCATTTTTTCTAATGAAATTGTTATTATAAGATAAGCAATCTGAGTTTTTTTGAATAATATGTCACTACACATGATAGAGCGTTACGTGCTGAAAAGTTACGCTTCGTTCTGAAAGTGGTAATGAAGTTTTATTAGAATTCATCAAAAAAACGTATGAAAATAATCGTATGTCAAAATGTGAGCACTTCTCAAAATTTGCTCACATTTTGACTATTTTTGTGAGATCTTCCTCACAATTTTTTAACAAACGTACAAAAAAGTGCCAAAATGTGAGCAAATGTGAGCAATTTTTATATCTCGAATCAGCCAATTTTCTAATGATCCACAAATCTTTTATTATTATTATTATTATTTTATTCTCACTATATATAAACGCATTTTCCTATATAAAGTCTTCCTATCGCTTTTTTGCCTCAATACTGAATGAACCTCTATCAAAAATTTGAATAAGAGACTATACGAAGGAAAAGGAGTTTAGATTAATAACAAATTTTATTTAAATCAGCCAATTTACAAATGATCAGCTATTTCTTTACAATTATAATATACTGCATTATGCAGAGCAGCATTATCTGAGTTATATAAATAAAATTTAAAAGTGATGCTTTTATAACCTGTTTTATTTTCATTAGACACATTAAAAATTATTTAATTTTTTCTACAGGTTATAAAAATATCAAAATTAGCCGGTTTTGAGCAATCATTAAACGCGCATTTTCATAAATTAACCATGTTATTCTTATAAATTTGCATTTTGTTAGGTCACATATCCAGTAAATCACTAATCTATCAACCTTCTATCTTAAAATTGTTAGATAATGAGCACTCTTGATAAAGAGATCGGAATTTAAAAACCAAAAAAAATTTAGGGTAAAAAAAATCATTACAGATTTATGGATCTCAGTGCTTATCATAAGGATATGAAATTGGGTGAAGGCACTTATGGTAGTGTTTTTCGCGCCACACATATTCCTACGGATCAGCCTGTTGTTCTCAAGCTTGTCCGTATGGACCTTGAAGAGGATGGAATCCCACCTTCTTCTGTTCGTGAAGTCTGTATTCTCAAAAGTCTGAATCACCCAAACATTCTCCATTTCCGTGAAGTGATTTGCAAGGATTCAAAGATCATCATGGTTTGTGAGTTTATGGATATGGATCTTAAGAACTTTCTTTCGAAACGAAGAATGAACCCAAATTTACTCAGATCATACGCATTCCAATTACTCTGCGGAACCTACTATTTACACAGAATTGGCATTGTTCATCGCGATATCAAACCAGAAAATATTCTCATCGACAGAGATGGATTACTTAAATTAGGTGATTTTGGCACAGCAGCATATTGCTTCCATCCAATTCCTTACGATATCGAAGAAATCAAAACTCCATGGTATTTAGCTCCAGAAATCTTGATTAATGCCCCAGCTCATGGCACAGAGATTGACATTTGGAGCATCGGCTGCGTCATTGCCGAAATGGCTCGTGGAAACCTTTTCATGGGCGATTCTCAAGTTGATCAGTTGATCAAAATTACCGAAGTCTTAGGAATTCCTAGTGAGGAGGACTACCCAGACTTTTATAAATACAAAATTAACAATATTCCTTGCATGAAAAAGGAAAAACCAGACTTTAATAGTTTCTTCCCGGGAGTTGATCCGGAACTGGTTGATTTAATCAGTAAAATGCTTCAAATGAACCCGGAGCATAGGATCAATGCCCAGAGCGCATTGAATCACCCTTATTTCAAGGATGTTAATGAAAATCTTAAGCATACATGCATGGAATAACATATTAATATAAAAGTTACAGGATATGTTATTAATTTAATCATATCCTAGCAACAAAACAAAAGAAAAAAGAAAATGATAAAAATGTAAATAAAATTATTATCTAATTGAATAACCAATCTTATATTTTTAAAGAGAAGGTGAAAGGAATAAAATGAAATCAAGAATGCGCTATTGATACAGTGATTATTTGGCTCTATTCTGGCAAGAGATCAAGTGTAGAGTTTATGATTGAGAAATGTATGATAATTTCATCCAAAATGCAAAGAACGTTATTCAATACGTTTGAGATTCAAATAAAAAATAGTTTACAATTTTTATACTTCCACATGCTTTGTAACTTCATGAATCGTTAATTTTCTTAATTCATCCTGATTATTCTAAGTGAATTGGAATCAATATATTCCATAAATGTGTTTTCCACTCTCAGAAAGAGAGAATTAATACTAAATGAGGAGATAAATAATTCTCCATCTCACATGATTTTCCAATAAAAGTTTTATTTTCATTTTTATAGCTAAAAATTATATTTTTGCATTGAGAAATTTTCGAAATGTAATTTTTTTGAAGTTTTACTGAATATTAATAACGGTGTATCTTAATTATTTTATGTATTCTATTTGAATGTTAACTTAGTTTTAAGTTTTAAACCACCTTCAAAAATATCTCATTTTCCGATATTATTGGATCCCACTCCATATTTCAATGCAGAAGAAACTATTATGAAATTAATCTAAACCTTTGGTCTTAACAATTTAATTAAATAAATGGAAAAAAATTACCTTATCTGAATTCAAAAATTTCTTATATTAAGCCTAGTTCTGAATATTCAAGACTATATGCACATTTAAAACCCCTTCAAAATTTTGAATCAATTTTCCTCAACATATTTTATCAAGGCCAAGTTGAATGTTCAATAGCAATGACGAAAAATAAAAAGAGATATCAACTTTTTTTGAATCTGAATAATAAGTCAATGGATCTTCTATTTTTCTTTGAAAAAGTGCAATTTTATAAAAAAAGAGGATAATAATTTTTTTCTTTATTAAGGGAGGCTTCCGACCAGAAAGCCTTCTCAATTTTTTGTGATGTTTACACCAAAAGTGAGATTCGTTAAGCGTTTTTCTCGTTGAATATTGAATTTCCCGGATTTTAAGTTATTCATAAAGCTCCTCTATATTATACCCTATCTACTGATATGTAGGGTTGTTAAAAATATCAAAAATTAGCGTTTTGAAGACACCATGGTGTCTTATAATTTTCCCTTCCTTATTGGCGTGTAGAAATAAATGCGCCAATAGATTGAAGAAGAAGAATTGTTTTTCTCTTAATGAACTTTAAGCAAAACGGCTGTTTCAGTCATTAATTCTTAAAAATAAAAAGGGTAAAAACTAAATACAATGGGTAAAATTCAATAGTGTCTGTGCTATCGTTCAATTTGAAGGTGTCTTTTGAAACCGCAAGACACATTGAATTTTTGAATAGTGTATTATGGTTTGACAGACACCAATGAAAAAAATAAAATGATATTTATTTTAAATATATAAGATCCTTATATAAAATATAAATATTTTATCGTTTTATTTTCTTGTTTTAGAAATGTTTTTTATTGAAAAATCAATAAAACTAACTCCAAAATAAAATTTTTGATTTAAAGACACTATGATGACACCAGGCAAATCTTCCAAGACACCTATCGTCGGGAATCTAACAACCCTACTGAAAAAAAAAAAAAAAAAAAAAAAAGGTATTGGGGCTTCCAGGGGCTGCGCCCCTTCTAGCCCTGAAGATGTTTAGTATAAATGAAGTTTTTATTCGGAAAATTGTTAGTCTTCTGGTGTGAATTCGGAGGACTCTTCTTGGATTGAGTCTTGTATTTCCTCCTCCTCTTCTTCCTCCTCCATTGCTTCTGGGAAGAAGTCTTCTTCTGGGTCGAAGACATTATATAATGTGTAATTGAATGACACATTATATCTTTCTTTGAGTTCGCTCCTGACAAAGAACTTAGTTCCAGGAATACAGAAGACTTCTGTGCGTTGGAAAAGCTGATGTCCTGGAACGAATTTGGCAATTAGAGACTTCTTTTTTCCGAATTGTTCAGGAGTTTTCATGACGACAGTAACAACATCTCCATCTGCGAGGTCTTGTTGTTCTTCGGAAAGGTAAAGAGCAATGATATGAATGGTTGCTGCGTTGAATTCGAGAAAGTCGAATTCAAATTGTGTTGTCGTATAACATTCAAACCATTTTGTACAGTTGTCTCCGAACTCGTCCTCGTATTCATCTTTGTCATATCCGTAACTAAAGACTTGGAATTCGGCAATGCTCTTGTCGAATGACCGTTGGATGTTACGAGGAAGATTTTGACGAACTTGGTATAAAGTTCTCAACATTATAAGCTTAGTAAATGTTGGAAAATACTGAACTAAGACATCGCTAAGCTCAATTGGATTTGGAATTGTCTTAGTAAGTTCAATTGAACTAGCAATTGCTTTGTTCAGAACTTCACAGAACTGAGTATTGTATGTAGCGTCTGGTTGTGTGTTTTCTTCGGCGTCTTTGAGATATTTAGAGCAAATTTGTTGAAGAATTTCTCTTAATTCGCTGTTAGACTTTTTGGTGGTTATTCTAACCGCTGTGCCGGTTCTTGGAGGTTGTGGGGCTTTGGCTTTGGTTAGCGGTTGAGAATTGTTTGCGACACTTTTTCTTCCTTCCATTATGAAAAATAAACTCATAGAAAAGTTTAAAATAAACCGTTTTCGTCAACGGAGACCCCCTCTATTTTTTTATTTTATTTAATAGTTACCGTTGGCAAACCGTTCCATCTCAAATATTGAATGAACTATAAACGTTTTTTGTTTTCTATATATACTTTTTTGTCCAACGGTAAAACTTTTTACACAACGGTTTTTGAGAGTCGTCGCCGTTGACTTTTTTTGTAGAGCACTCAAAATAGTATAACTTTGTCCGGACAAGTAAGGTCTATCGTCGCTACAGGAAAAGTTACAGGCGTTCCAAGGAAGTATACTTTGAGAAGCCTTTTTCCCCTTATAGAATGAGATAGGACGGTTATTTTACAAAACTGACAACACTTTGACCGAGTAGTTTTTTGTGCTAAACAAAAAGTGTCATATAAACATCTGTCAAAAACCGCTTTTTAACTTCACTTAAAATGCCACGTAAGCTACGTAAGAATATACGTAAGAGAAGAGAGCATTGAAACATCCAATAGTAAAACTAACACCACAACAACAGTTGCAACAACAAATGCTGAATGACCCCACTATGTTGCAACAAATGTCAAGCAACCCTATGCTTTTAAACCGAGTTATTGGTGCACAGAGTGGAGTTTAAGAGCGGCACTTTTAGCGAAAATGGCAGGCTATGGAGCTGCAGACGGAACAGCTTATAACCCTCAAAGTCAAATGAATTTGAGTTCACTCAAAAATCAAATAACAGATGTCAAAAAGTCAAACATAGACATACAGAAACAAATAAGTGAAAACGAAAAGAAACTAGAATATGACAGACACACAAAGAAACTCAATGAGTTAAACGTAGAGAAAAAGAAGAAAGAAGAACAACTGAAAGAACTAAGTACAGAGGAATATGCGAAAAAAGTGTCAGAAAAAGCAGCAGAAGTAGCAAAAATGGAACAAGATGTTATAAATTTGAAAAACCATACTACTCAATATAAAGTACTGAAAGATGAAAGATAAAACAAAAAGCCCTGAAGACATATATGGATAGCGATGAGTATAAAAAAGAAGTTGAAGCAAATGTAAAGGCAGAAAAACTTTTACAGTTGCAAAACCAAACCGTACAGTATGAAAACTTAGCACAAGAAAGTAAAAATAACGACGCAGCCATGCAAAAGGCAATGAAAAGCGCGGAATATATAAAAGCTAACAATGACTGGTTAGATGCCCAAGCCAACGCTAAAGCAGCCCAGCTTATAGGGTCAATAAGGACAAAAATACAAGCGGATGAAGACAGTTCAAATGAAGCTTTAACGAATGCTGACTTTAAGAACGCCTTCGAAGCTCTTCATAGTAAGGTGAAACAAGTGAACGACTTCTCATCTGGAAAGAAACTGAAGTCTGAAGGTTTCGACAAAGAGTTAAGAGAAGTAGCACAAAATATGACGAAAATAACAGATGCAGCAACGAGACAGGCAGTTCAAAGTGCCTATGACGCCGTTAGAGCAACTGTTGTGAAAAGTCAAGAAAAAGAGTTACAACAGACCAAAACAGACCTAGTAAATGCTTTCTTAAGAACGAAAAGTCAGGTAGGACATTACGCTGCAGATGGAACATATGTGCCAGCTGGTGGAACTTATATACCACAAAACCCTCCAAGAGAAGCACCTGCACCAGGACTACCTAACACATTTACATCGTCACATGGACACAGACACAGGCATGCACCAAAACCAACACAACAACCAACAGTTCAAAACCCTGCACAACAACCAACAGTTCAAAATCCAGCACAACAACAACCACAAACAGAGCAAGGACATAAAAGAAGTAGAGAACAAGGAAACCAAGAATTCTTAAAAATGCTTAAAGAAGAGTGTGGTTTCCCAGATACTGTTGACTTTAGTGACAGATATAAAGAAGCTATTGGAAAGTTCAAGGATGGAAATACTGACCCGAACCTATTTAGCTTTATGGCTCAGCACCAAAACGGATATAATCTCAAACCTGGAAAATACAAGCTCGCTAAGGGATATGATTTAATAGCATATCATCCAAATGACATGGATGAATTTACTCCGAGATATTTGATGTCAGAGCTAAATGACAATTCAACTTTCGTCATGAAACGCGTAAAAAATAGAGACGGAACGAAAGAACAAAAGCTTATGAATGCGGATGACGTAGATAGGGAAATTGTTAAAAACGGTCTCGGAATATATGAAATGTCAGCAGATGAGGTACAAGAAACTCCACAGGAAGAAATAGTTCAGATACAACCAGACATGGAAGAAATAGTTCAGCAACAACAGCTAGAAGAGCCTGAAGGAAACGAACAAGTCACTCCTTTGGAAACTAACTTCACAGAACTAGATGAAGATTTGGAACAGCCGAAAAATCTTGACCCTCAACAAGAGTATGCGGAGAATATGGAATATTTCCAAGAGTCTAAGAAAGATTCGGCTGACATAGTAGAAGAATATCGAAAAATGTTTGCCGACATACAAAAGACTCCAACACCAGATGAAAATATTCAGCATAGAATGAAAGTACTGAAAGAAAATGTACACAAATACAACAACCCTTTTACTTACGAGCATTTAACGTTCAATCTTCGGATGAACTCGGTGAAGATAAAAGGTTAAATTTCAAGAAAACATATAGAAATGAAACATTGTTTAAAGTTCATTCAGAACCTAACCAAGATGGAAACAAACCTACTTTTGTTTCTGCAGACGATGGAACTACAATGAGATGGGGTCATAAAGCTAACCCGGATAGGTGGTTCATAAACTTACAACCTCAATTCCAAGAAGTTGTAGACGCAATGGAAGTCAATGGTGAACCAGATATAGCTGGTATTTTAAGCGCGGCTTTAATGCCATTGAAAGATATGAAACATGCAGATATTTTGGACCAGTATGAAATGAACATGGCTGATGGAAATATAACACCTGACGTTCTAGAACATTTATCTCAAAGAACTACACAGAACCATAGAGATGGTATATTTGGTGAAGAGTTTAGAAAGAAAGTTATGGACAGAGAAGGAAGAGAACCTATTGTACATGACCTTGCAAACGAAAGTTTACAAAATGTCATAAAAACTTACTTTGCAGACAATGAACCGAGAAGGGATGAATATTTAAGAAAAACTCAAATGGACAGTACCAAATGAAATGTTAGTATTGAAAAACATGTTCCTTGACAAAATAAAACCAACTACAGAAATAAATGACGCAAGACTGAAAGATTGGGTAAAAGCTTTCCCATTCACAAAAGATATAGTTGGTAACATGGAAAGAAAACCAGAATGGCTACAAAAAACATATATTTGGAAACGAGCATATTCCATATGGACAGGCACTGTTTGAAGAGCTTGAACCGGAAACTCAGGAAAGAGTCATGCAAACAATACGCAAAGACTCAAATACAAACTATGACAAACTCTTTCTAGGATATAGGTTACCTGAGATGGGCGACCAGAGCCCAAAGGCAAAAAGGGCATGGAAAATTTGCAACATACTAGATGAACATGAGGCAAAGATGCAACAACTTGAAGCAGAGGGCAAGTTACCAAAGCGACACCAAAGAAGAAGAGTAGAACAAAGTGAAAGTAGTGAAGAACAAAGTGAAAGTAGTGGCAATGAAGGAAAAAGAAGAGTTAAAAACTCAGTCAGGAAGAAAGTAAAGCTTGGTCGGAGTGGGTTCTATTATGACATATAAACCCAACTATTCTATATTTTTACCCATATGAAATGTACGCCGCTCAGAATATAACGCCAACAGTTTTGGATGCCATGAATGGAAATGTTTCCGAATGGTATAACGAATGCGACAATGCCATTAGAAGGTCAGAAATAGTTCCTGGAACTTACGAATATACAACTGCTGTTTCTTATGGAAACGTAGGTGAGTTTGGAGAAGGTTCTTCAACAACAGTAGATATTGCTTGCGACAGGTTTCATATAATTTCTATTGACAACTCTTTTCTTATACGTGGAACAAGACATTGAAATAAAACCTTCTGCCAAGTTGTCTGACAAGAAAGGTTGCAATGGAATTTTCTATGTCGGATACCAATATGCTCCAGAAGTTTTCATGGGATATAAGATATATTCTAACTCTGACTTAGTTCAAACAGTAACATGGGCAAACTATGAATGGTTCGCTTTGAGAAACTCAGTACAACCACAAGCTAGAGAACAAACAGACCAGTATGCAAATATTGAGAAAATAAGAAGACTTGACCCTAACGTTCCAGGAGTTTATGTTAACCTTTCTGGTTCAGATGGAAATGCTGCCACTAAAGTAAAACTGAAACTTAGAGTTCCTTTGTCATCTTTCCTCATCTTCAGGTTTTTAAGATACTTACCAAACTGGGCAGGAAAAATTCTATCGAACTTACTCCAAGCAAAATAACTTAGTCATTGCACCAACACAAGACCCATTCACTCTTACAGAAGTAGTGGAACAAATAAAATGTCATTCGCCGACTTTTGCAAAAACAAAGTTGACTTAGACTTTGGTTTCTCAAACTTCAACAATGAAGTAAACTATTATTTCAATGCTGCTGGAGATGCTTGGACCCAGTTAAGTTCACATGCGAAAAATTTGAATGCAAGAGAATAGAAAGCAGACTTGCAGTCTATATGTTGGACCCAGATATTTCAAATGCTTTAGCTGCCAAATATATTGCAGTTCCACTTATGTTCCCTATACACCAAATATCTGTCAAAGACTTTGCAGGTGAAGTTGGAAACCAAAGTGCTGACCCAGGTGCAAGAACAGATATTGCTTTAACAACTGCAATGAAACATGCAGATACTATGTTTGTACTGTTCAGACGAACTATAAATGACTATTCTTGTTTCTACAACCCTGGTATTAAATACCATATAAACATAGATGGCAAATATTATCCAAGAGAAGAATATTCTACAGTTGAGGATATGAGGTCATACAACTTGACATTAGATGCTATGAACTTTAACAACAACTTCACAACAACCATTAACCCTGAAATGCAAAGTTCTATTATGCCATATGTGAAAGTATGGACTCATACAGGAGGTCAAAAAACTCAATATACAAATGGAGACCGTTCAAACTTTTGGCTTGGCATTCCATTTGCTGACTCAGAAGACTTTATGGGTGGTACTTCAACTGTTGGTACTGTACAAATACAATATACTGGTGACAGAGACGGTCCAGATGAACTGAAAGCAAAGAAGTTTACAAAACCAATAGCACTTTTCACGGAAGATGCTCTTTTGAAGATTCGTTCGATGAAACCTGCTGGGGCTCCTCAGATTGGTATAACGACAGCTTCCATCGAGCAGATTTTGGCAGCAGGTCAGTAAGTTGTTCTTGAACTGACTTTTCTCCGTCAAATATTGACAGTACGCCAGTTTTGACATAATATTGTATTATAAACTTTCCTTTAGAAATATCTGTAAGTTTTGAAGTTATATTTTTGTCTGCTTCAAGAACTTTCACCATTTCGGTTATACAACTTTCTTTGCTTTATGAAAATATTTGGTTCAGCAAAGACTGCTATTCTATAACATTTTCCATTGTTTGTATAAAGAACTATTCTGTCAATGTATTTGTATTGTTTGTGTGTGTAAACTTTGTTCTGCTTCAATTCGAAGAGATACTCGAATACGTCCATCTTTTTATTCTAAGTAAAATGTCATTTCCGAAAAATAGAAGCGTGAGTGTTTCAAAAGGTTTAATGGCGATGGCAGATGTGAAGTTAAATTCACCAACTCAAACAAACAGTCAAAGTGTTGTTGTCAATGTCAAAGAAGAGATGTTGAAGTGGGAAACCATACGAAGACGAAGATGGTATAACAATTGTTCCTGTAAAAGAACAACCAACATATCCTGAAGTTAGCAGAGACTTAAGTTCTGTTGCAGATATTCGAAATGACTACATGCAACTTAAAGACAAACTTAAAACTCAGGAGAAGATTTGTCAAGCTTTAGGTATAATGTTAAACTTGGTCGAACACAACCCTGTAAAAGTGAACTCATATGTCATTGCACCTCATGAAGTTTTGAAAGAACTATTGAAACTTTTGACAGAGGCAGACGATATAAACATCAAAGAAATAGAACCCGACATTAGTTGCTGTGGTGTTTCATATAATGTCATTGACAAGATATACGTTATGAAAGGAGGTGAAACGTTGAACTTAAAGTATAGTTTCCCAGACGTCATAAAAATATTTGACGACCACAACATTTCATTAAAATTTATTTGCTAAGTAAATGGCAGAAGACATAATGGTTTATACTATTACGACTAAAAACCCTGAGTCATATAATTTATAACAACAAACTTACAAAGTCCTCAAGGACGATATTGTAAACTAACCTTAAACACAATGACGACTAAAGCCTGTTTTGCTCTTTTGACACCAGAAGACTTTATTGTTGTGAATGGTAAAAAATACTCCTTTGAAGATACTTACTCAGATATACCACCAACAGGTTTGTTGACTTATTTAATACTTTAAGGACGGGTTAACATGTGCTGCAACTAGAGCAGGTTTCATTATGTTTGGATGTCCGACTGAGTTTACTAAAACGATATGAGCTATAATACAAAACTTATTTCTGGTTTTTACTACCAACAGTTTCCTATAACAGGAAAAGGTGTCATACAAGGAATGTCTATTCCATTGACATTAAGCACACCAATCTTATATATTGTTTCAAACTTAGGTTCAAAGTGTTATTCGAATGTCGACAGAAACTATTATGACCAAAAATACTTATGCGTATAAACAATACTTTCTCTGCTGGTTTGCCTATTGTTCATTCGAATGCAGAATTTTCAACCTTAGTGAACTCAAACACTTTGGCAAGTATAACGTTGACATTAGTTGACGCAAACTTTGTTCCTGTAAAACTTTTATGTCCTATGTATTTGTCAATGACGGCAGAAAGTTTCGAATTGGAAGATGCAACTGGTGAAAGTATTGTATTACAAGAACAACAAATGCAACAAATGGAACAAATGCAACAAATGGAACAAATGCAACAACAAAGTCAAGAATAAAAAAAATATTTTTTTTATTTTTATAAAAATGTACAGAATAGATGTTTCAGATTTTTATGACTTCCAAGCATTCAGAAATATGTGTCCATTTCGAGACTATAACAAAGCAGTCGAGAATTTGAAACGTTTAGTCATTTATGTTGACTCTGCCCCAGAATGTTATGTCATGAAAGAATGGGATGTTGTCTTTAACAAACCTAAAGCGACAATAGTTTCAGAACAAGAATGTAGACAGAAACTTAAGAAAATAAAAGTCGTACAAGTTGGCATGAAGATGTTAGATGCTTGGGATATCTTATTGTCAAAGTTAGAAGATTTTTCAGTTCGAGGTATAAAGTTCTATACACCTTCTCCAAACTTCTATTCTATCTTCACTGGATATAAATATGAACAAGTAGAATGGAAAGAAAATATTATAGAAGCTTGGTTAGACCATGTCAAAGAAATTATATGCAATGGAAACGAAAGAGTCTATGAGTATATCTTATGTTGGTTTGCAAACATCTTACAACATCCAAGTGCTAAAAATGAAACTGCTCTCATTATAATTGGAAAACAAGGAACTGGTAAGAACACATTCTTTACAGATATCTTATGCAAACTGTTAGAAGTTATTTCGAACCCTAATATGACAAACTTAGAAAACATCTGCGGTAAATTTAACTCTTCAATTGAGAATATGAAACTTATAGTTTGCAATGAACTTCAAAGTATAGATACAACAAAAGTTTTTGAACTCAGATGCTTTGAAGAGTCTTATAACAGATAAAGTTTGGAGTTGTTGAAAGAAAATATAAAGACCAAAGAGTTTGTGAAAATGTTGCAAACTTCATTATGGTTTCAAACAATTTGTTCCGATGAAGTTAGAAAGTTCTGACAGAAGATATGTAGTTTGTCAGAACGTCAGATTCTCATATGCAAGATACAGAATATTTTGACGACTTAGCAGAAACTTTGACATCTGACTTTTACAACCACTTGTTCTCATATTTCATGACATTAGATATTTCAAAGTTCAATCCAAGACAAATTCCACATACCGAAGAGAGACAAACATTGTTAGAAGCAAACAAGAGTGTATATGAACTGTTCATAGATGAAACTGACTTTGAGTGTTTAGATGAAAGGTCATTGTACGATTCGTATAAACAATATTGTCAAGAATATGGTTATATGGCAGCTTCTAAAACGAACATTCTTGCAAATGTCAAAAGTCTTTTAGATGTTCAGAATGGTGTATATACAAAGAAAAATTTTTCTGAGTAAATTTAAAAAAAAATCTTTTTTTATCCGATAGAAAAGATGGCAAAATTCATCTCAGTAAATAAGTACATGACAGAAGTCAAAGATAAGTTAGCTCCATTCGCATATTGAATGTTTACTCTACAATTTTGAAAAGTCTACATTTGACAAAATTTGGAACATTGCACCAGTTTAAGTTTGCTGTTGTTAGAAAAAAGTGGTGCAACTTTGAAGACTTATACATAGAAGGTTGTTGACATCAAAGAAAATTTTGACAGAAAGTTCTCAAACCTTAAAGAAGGTAAAAGCATACAAACTTGTTATACCTTATGAACCAAAGAAGACAGACGACTATGAATATTATGAGTCTAAGATAGTTGAAGTTCAAGGTAAATTGGGGGTAAAAAGATTTTAGAGTCTAAGCAGTGTTTACTCCTAAAGAGGAAGAGAACATTGACATTGACCCAGAAATGTTCTAAAAATAAAATTTTATTTTTACATGTCAAATTTCTTTTCTCTGGAACTGTTTCAGGTTCTTTCTTCTCTTCTACTTTCTTTTCTTTCTTTCTTTCTTTTCTCTCTTCTTCTTCTTTTCTGGTGGAGTTATGTCAAATTTCTCAGAACCATATTTATGTAAAAGTTCTTTGTCCTTTAATAGCTCTTCTATTCTGTTTTCTATTTCATCTTCAAGAACAGCGCATGTGCCTTCTTTGCATTCTAAGAACTTTTGTTGGACTTCATCTTTCCAATCGGCGTCATCTCTGTCAACAAGTCTGTCATTGACAAATTTTAAGACTGCTCTTTGTAATGTTTTATGGTTCTTGTCATATTCCCAGAAACAGAACTTTAGAACAAATTCACCTTTCTTGTTACACTATGTAAGATTTTATGTCGACAGAAGTTTTAGAGTCGAAAAGCTTGTCTCGAATATAGATAGCGAAATCGCTAGACATTTTCTAAAAGATAAAAATTTAATTTTTCTAAAATATGTTAGAAAAAAAGTTTGCTGACATTGACAAGAAATTTGAGAATGTTTTGAAGAAGAACAAGAAAAGTTAGAAAATGCTCAGATAAAACCTATACATGACAAGTTCTTATTTGCTCAGAATGGTATAACAGGTCTAATTGCACCACCTGGGTCGGTAAGACTTTCACTTATCTTAAAATGGCTGCACAACAACAAGAACTAGATGAGAAGAACCCATTCTATGAGTTAGTTGTTATTTGTTAGTACTTCTGGTCAATTTGACCAAACCGTCAATTCGTTCAAAGATATTATAAAGAAGTCAAGTTATATTGTATAAAAGACTCTGAGTTGTTAGATTGGATAAAGAAGTACCAAAGAAGAGTTTTGAAGTATAATGCTATAAATGAGTATATAAATTCTAAGTTTAAAGACCCAAATGAGGAAATGCAGAGAATATTAGAGAAGAAACACTTCAGAAACAAACAGAAAGAGATAGAATACATTTCGAAGAAATTGCAATCTTACGATTGGAAGACATACCCTCATAGATGTCTTCTTATTTTAGATGACTTTGCTTCTCATCCTTTGTTAAAGAACAGAGAACAAGATATGTGTCGAATTCTTAAGAAGCTCAGACACTTTAACATCTCAGTTGTCATTTGTGTACAGACAGCCAAGAGTTTAAGTAAGGATGTTAAAAGAATACTGACTGACATAATACTTTTCCCTGGATTGTCCGAAGACGATTTCATGGAACTTATGAAAGAGTCCATGGCAGGTAAGTTTGACAGACATGAACTATGGGAGAAGTACAAAGTCATACAAGACCCTCATACTTCTTTCAGAATTCATATCTACGCAAACAAAGTTCAAATTGTAAAAAGTCAAGCTTGAAAAATAAAGAGTTCATTTACTCTGCTTGTTTGAAGTTGTCAAAATACTCTGTTATTTTTCACGATTTTCATAGAGTTTTGGCGACTGGGGTTTCTTCCCTACTCGCTGTGCTTCATGATTTTCATGTGTTTTATGCAAGGCCGATAAAAGTCGGTCTAGAGAAATTTCACTGTTTTCATACGGAATTCAGCAAAAATAATGTTTATGTTAGAATGTTAGATCTAACATGTTTTCTAACATGTTTTCTAACATGGTCTAAAACATACAAAATTCATGAAATTTCATACGGAATTCAATAAAAATAATGTTTATGTTAGAATGTTAGATCTAACATGTTTTCTAACATGTTTTCTAACATAACTATTTACAAGCGTTTTACATGGTATATGTTGCGATGGTTCATGACTCTAAACAATTTCGTAGCTTCTATTTCTTCTGTCAGTATGTCAAAAGTTTTAACGATACCGAAAGTTTCTTTATACTTCTTCTTGACATCAGATAGAAGGAAATCTTCTGCTGTTGGATAGTTTTTGTTCAGAAATGCTAACATGTCCATTTTATCTTCTGCTGGCTTTTCTGCTTCTTTCTTTAAGTCTGCATAGTCGTTTCGCATACGTTCTATCTCTTTGACGGAGTAGTTATATTTCCTCATTGCTGCTTTACATTTTGAACATTGCGGGTTCATTTTTGCGTTATATTCTGAAACCTTACCTGCTAAAACAACCAAGGCGTCAATGGTTTTCTTCATCTCGAACATAGCGGGTTTTATTTGTTCGTTCCATACCTTACCCCTACTATCTTTATCTCTTATTTCCCAAACACATTTTGCAACTAACGAAACAAAGTTGTCGTAGGTCTTAAATTCTTCGGATTTATATATGTCAGAGATGTTCTTATATACCATGTCGCAATCTTTGTCCATAACCTTATGGTTGCAATGAAAACCAAGGAATTCATAATTTACCTTTCGTATGAACTTCTTTATTTCTACTGAGTCAGTTGCTTTGACTTCTATTTCGTCAAATTCGGGAATGGTTAGTTTTTGTTGTTGGATTTCAGGCAATTTGGGTAAATGGTCAATAATGTCCTGCATTTCATAAAGATACTGTTCATTTGTTTCATCTTTCGCACTACAGTCTAAATTACTTGTTAAAAGTTCTTGCTTTATCTTCTGGATTTTTGTTTCGAAAGTATATGAAGAAGGAATGAAGTTTTTCATCTCTACTAACATAGATGTTGGATTCATAACTAGCGAGTTTGGTGCTGTAGTTGTTTGAACTGTTGTTGTGCCGATTGTTGAAATCATGTCTTTTATACAAAATAAAAAAAATAAATAAAATAAAAAATAAAACTAATTTTATTTTTTATTTCGGGAAAATTCATGAAAATTCAAGAGTTTTAGACCATGTTAGAAAACGTGTTAGAAAACATGTTAGATCTAACATTCTAACATAAACATTATTTTTGCTGAATTCAGCAACAAAATTCAAATTGTAAACGGTTTAATAGAAAAAGTGTCATTTTTTCATGTCCGAAGACTCGAAGGTGCAACACTTCCAAAATACCGACGAACTCAGAAGAGCAGCATGGCAGTATGTTCTTGACAACTTCTTTGAGTTCTCCAGGCACACCTTGGAAAATGCTGAAGAACTCCGACACAGAGAATTTGGAGAAATTGCACTCCAATACTACATTGACAAACAAAGGGTAAACAAAGGGTAAAATAAGACTAAAAACTTAAGGTTTAAAAAAGTGACATTTTTATGAGCTCCGAGTCACCGAGAAAACTTGGTCAGATGTTAGCAGCTTACTTCCCTGAGGAGGATGGAAGCGTTACATACGTAAGGTTCAAAAACAACGAACCTGGAATTGCGTACCAAATTCGCAATTACATGACCATGGAAGAGTACGAAAGGTTTCTACAAGAGAAACCAGCTCTAAACAACTCAGAAAAGAAAGAATAAAAAGTTTAACTCGTAATTGTTTATTTTTTTTACTTGTATGGGCAAGCTGCAAGAATGAAGTCGACTATCTCAGTCTTTGTCTTGACCAGTTGGACTGCTCTTGCGAGTACGTCTGTTTTGCGGTCTCCAGCTGGTGTTTGACCTTCGTAATTGCGCATGTTCTTGAGAGCTCCAACTGTAAATGGCTGTAGGATGAAGAGTCTCTCAGACTGCTTGAGGTAGTCTTCACGGTCACGAACCGAATCTGTGGTACGAGTCGAATCGGTCGACCTTAGGGAAGAGACTGAAAGCCTGTCGTCTTCCATAGGAGCTGTAGCATACTCTTTGCGTAAGCGGTTCAGACCTTCTTCGAACTCTTGGTCTCTCTTGGATTGAGATTGGAATTGCTGGGGTGGAGCTTGCTGGAACATCCAAGGGTTGGGGAAGTAAGGCATAGGCTGAGGAGGGTAGTTCGGGAAGCCTTGTAGTGGAAATTGGTAGTAACCTTGAGGTGGAAATTGGTAGTAAATCGGAGGGACTTGCTGGAACTGAGGTGCAGGGGCTGGTGCTTTCGGTTCTTCTGGCTTGGGAATGGGCTCGGTTGGTGGGACGTCGGACATTCGTTTGTGTCCTGTCGGAAGGAAAAACTTTTTCTGTCGGAAGGAAGAACTTTTTCTGTCGGAAGGAAGAACTTTTTCTGTCGGAAGGAAGAACTTTTTCTGTCGGAAGGAAGAACTTTTTCTGTCGGAAGGAAGAACTTTTTCTGCAGTTCGACCAAAAAGTTCTCAATTTTCGAAAATTTGAATGGTTTACGGACGGACAACTGGAAGAGTTCTTCCTGTCGTCGGGAAAAATTTTTCCCTTTGTCCGGAAAATTTTTTCCAGTTGTCGGGAAAATATTTTCCTGTCGGATGGAAGGACTCGGAATGCCAGAAGGATTTGACGAGGCAGTTTACCTTATAGAGATAAATGAAGTTGTTAAGCAGTACTTGCGCAGGGTAATGAAGCCCAAGGTCAAGTTCACCACTATTTCTGGAAGGTCTACACTTCAGCTCGAGACTTCGACTGGAATTCCAATTCAAATACCAGACGGGACAGCCTACGATGGCATAAAGGACGCCAAAAGAGAAGCTCTTGTTAAGTTCCTAAACAAACGTCCTTGGATAAAAATACCAAACAAGGAGAACCCCCTACCCCATATGAAATTGGCAATTCAGTCTCTCCTTCACTTCTCTGGTCAACCATTCTACATAACCTGTGAAGGCGACATCCAACCAATTCAGTAAACCTTAACGTTTAGAGTAAAAACATTTTTTTCATTTTTTGAATGAAGCAAGTTAAATTCGTCCCACACCAAACTCAATGGACCGATGAAGAGTTGCAAGCTATGGTTGAAGGTGTTGAGAACGACATAGACGGCGAACTTGAAGGAGCTCAAACCACAATTGCAACCAAAATTGCACAAGTCAAGGAACAGATAGCTCCACTTAAAGCTACCAAAGCTACTCTTGACCTCATGGATAGTTACCGTTTAGATGTCAAGAGTGGAATAAGACAATTAAAATTAAAACTTCTAAACTACGAAGCTATACTCCAAAAGTTAGCAGAAATGAGAAGACTTTACCAGAGCTACTTACATGTAAGGGACTTACCTTCATGCAGTCCGACCAAAGATGAATTTGTTGACATTGTCCCAATTTTGTCCGAAAGTCAGCTCAGATGTTTCGAACTGCTCCCAACATATCCGGAATATGAACGTTTGCCTGAACTCTTCCGCAATCTCAAAAAACGTTTTTTGGTTCTCATGTTCCAAACTTTTATCGGAAGAGACAACAAACGTTCAGAAGAAGAACAAGATATTATTTTAAACTTGTTGTATGACATAACTGTCATAACAAGCTTTTTGAAGTAAAACCGTCATTCTCAAACCACTTCATTTTTTCGATGTCCGAACAAGCACCGAAGCCGAACACAATAGCAGATGTCCTTTCAAGGTTGCCAGACAAGCGCCCAGTTCAAATTCAAATTGCCCAATTGAAAGCTCATCTGACAAACACCGTTAAGACTCTCCAAAGTAGTCTTATGGAAGAGATGAAGGGACTTAAAGGTGAGTTCCTCATGAACCAAGCTTCCAATGAGAAAGTCCTGAACGATTTGACGGAAACCTTGCGCATTTACGCGAGAGAGAACCGAGACCTTGCCAGACTCATCTACCGTTTCTTCGAAGAGATAGATGCCATCTGGAAGGTACTCGGAAAGGACAGAACCTCCAACACCGTAATTCGTGAACACAGAATTGAAGAAGGAATTGTCGAGGAAGAAGAGAAACACGAAGAAGAGGAAGAGGAAGAAGAGGAAGAAGAGAAACACGAAGAAGAGGAAGTTTGGGCAACCCTTGTTGCCGATGACACTTACGAAATTTCCCAACCCTACCCATACCAAATCCGCAACAAGGAGACAGGCAAGGTTCTTACCCCAGTCCTCAACAACTTGGGACACTTGAACCTTAACCTTCGGAATCGCGGTTCAATTTCCATGGGCAAGCTTGTCGCAATTCAATGGGTTCCAAATCCAGGCAAGAAGACGAAGGTTAGACACATTGACGGTGACAAGCTCAACAACCGTAAGGAGAACCTCGAGTGGTTCTAAGAGTAAAAAAATTTTATTTTAGGGGGAAACCCCAAGTAAATTTAGGTGTTTATTTGGATAAGTATGTGAAATTAAGGTCAATTTGCAAAATTAGTTCCCGACCTTTGAATTGGACTCTTTCGTTCTCCCAGTTGCGTAGGAGGTCGTCCCAGAGGAGTTGGTAGATTTGCCAATCCAAGGACGATTTGTCCTCCCAGGCATTGAGGATGTACTGCTCGTAGAGTCTCATGACCTCTGCCTTGCACCAGACACCCTCTCCCTTGGAACGTAAGGCTTCTTCGAAGTGCTCGAATGCGATTGGCTGCGTGACCATCCGAAATGACACTTTTTGTCCGTTTGGTCAATGTTCGTGTCTCGTGCCATAGTCGACGAAAATACAGACAAACAGGTTATATATGAGTTTGAGACCAAGAATTCCCCACATTTAAATTCAAATTCAAATAAAAATTTTTTATTTCATGCAATGTTTTATTTCTGTGCCGTCTTCAAGTACGGCCCAGTACTTACGCTTGGAGAGAACATGAACTTCGGAAAATACCTTGTCTAGCTTAAAACAGCCCATCTTTTCACCGACTAAACCCATTTCAATGAGTTTGTTATACCCTTCTTCGTTCGTCATGAGTGCGTCAATGTTCTCATAGTAAACCTTCACTTTGGATTTGACTTCGGAGAAGAATTTGTTGTAGTTGTCAAGGACTGCCTTTGCGAACTGAGGGTAAGACCAATGTTCGACAATAGGTTTTACTGTGGTTACTAAGCCACCTTGACCTTGAGTAAATTCGTATTTCAAAACAAAAGGGGAGAACCTTTCAACAAAGTTGTCGACCTTCTCATAGTGTTTACTCTTCATCTTTTGAGGTTTTTTAATGGAATATCCCCATGTCGAATTCATAAGCAATTTGAGTGTCATTGCAAGTTTGGGGTTTGAAGCTTTCCTAATATCATAGAGTTGTTGTATGACTTTTCCAACTGTATAGTTCCTTCCTGGGAACTCACCATCTTCGTTTGGAATTCCAGTCGGGATATATTGGACGAACCTCATGTACGCAGCGTTAAGGTCGACATAGTATATTTTTTCGTTTGAGTCGAACTTGTCGCAACCAATGGGTCCAGTTCGTGGAAATTCAAGTGAGTCTCTTATCTTCTGAGAAACTTCTCCTGTTATCTCATAAACATCGTCGAAGCAACCTGTTTCATATAAAACCTTCTGACCTAACTCCGATGCTCTCCAATACAATTTGACGTCAATTGGATGTCTCAATGGAAGTTTGTTTATAGCATCTTGAAGTTCTTGCAACCTCATTGGAAGTTCTTCTGGTTCAGGTTGGTATCCGAACAATCCAACTCCTTTTGGAACAGTGTACTTCTTTTGTGCTATAACTTTGTCTGGAACAACTTTTGGTCTTGCTAACAATGAAAAGTTTGTTTCGTCTTTTGGTACAAAAGTTTCTGTCAGCTTGTCATCTGGAATTGGTTCCAACAAACCTTTCTCGAAAAGAATGTTTACAGCTCTGACAATGTTGCACTTGCCTTTTCCGAACAATGGGTTTGTAAGACTTTCGTTCAACATGAAGTGGTTGTGGACAATTACAATCTTCAACCATGGTAATTTGAAGTCAACAACATAGTCGTCATGTGAAGAACCTTTCTCAGTCGGTATGTTGACTCGGATATTGACATTTGCCAACGGTGCAATTTTTGCCAATTGACCTCTGAGAATGTACCTTGTCTTCACACATGACTCAAGATACTTCATCTTCTCTTCTGTAACAAGACCAGAGTTCCTGAGACATGTAAGAATGCAAGGTTCATTGACAATTGTTTCAATTGAATTGTAAATTCCATACCTTGTCAAGTCAATGTCAGACTTATTTATGAACGGAAAGTATCCAGCATGTTGTCTGACTGCTTGAGGGTTAGGTTGGTACCATTCGAACTTGACACTTGCAATTCCTTCAATTGCATTCAAAATGTCTGAGTCGGAGTCAACCATTTGTTCTCTCTTTGTAGTCTTGAAAGCGTCGAGAAGCATTGCAGCTGTTGTGACATTGCCATGTGCATAGTATATATGACCGTCCAAATCTGTTATGGTTAGTCTGAGATTGTGTCCTTTCTTATTTCCGTCTTGAATTGCAGCAAGTACTCCCATGAAGCCTTCTTTGTTCTTTCCTTCGTCAAAGTTTACTGTAAAGGTTTGACCTGAACCAATTTTACTTCTAACTTCACGATACTTTTCATATGCATATCTTGTTCTTTCCATGGGAGCATGACCATCCTCTGCACTACCTTTTTTCCTTCTCAAAGGATGCAATTGTTCGTCATGTTTCCAGTAGAATCTGGCAAAGCCGTCGTGTCCTTCAACTTGAGGTTCACTAACATCGAAAGGCATGTCCATAAGACGTTCTTCTTCTAACCTCTCTAATCTGTTTGGATAATTTGTGCGCGCTGTTTCCAAGTCCATTTCGTAGGTCAGACCAGCCAGTTTGTCATAAACTTTTATGGGTCTTCCCTTCCTATATTTAAAATTCTTTGAAACTCTCCAGCCATATCTTTGCAACTCTGCTTTTATTCTAGCAGACTTTCTATCCATTCTATGCGGGGGCATTTTTATAAAAATAAAAAAAATATTTTTTTCTTTACTTTACATAACCGCCTGCTACCATAAGCCTTTGACGCCAACCCATACCAGCTAATGAAGGTTGACTTGGTTTAGTTTCCAAACTAAACTTTGGTTTTGGTTTATCTTCAGTTTTTGGTTTTTCTTCTTCTATCGGTTTTTCGTCACTTTTCGGTTCCTCTGACTTTACCTCACCTGCAGGAACAGTTGTGTCGTCAACATCTTCGTAAATATCATATGCCATCTGTCTTTGTTTTCCTTTCAACTTTTTGTGTTTGTTGTAAAGTTTAGAATATTTCGACTCTAAGTCAATGAGATGTTCTATAATGAACTGTGGTCAGTGAAGTACTTTCCATCTCTTTGTCTCGAAAGCTCCTTCAGACTTCAATATTTTATTTGTGAGAGTCTGTTTCTTTTTTGAGATACTAGCCGTTCCATTTCTATGAAAAGTGACTTTATAGTTGGGGTTTGTATTTCCAGACCTGGCACTTTCTATTATTAATTTTTTCTCTTCATCTGTAAGTTCTTTGACAGGTTTTGACAATGGTTCTGAACTTTTTGTTTGTGGTGTCAAATCTACCGTTTCAACTTCTTCGGTCATTTCATCTCAGTAAAAAATTTTAGTTTGGTTTGTTTTCAACTGGTTGTTTAGGTTTTTTAAGTCGGTCTAAAACTTCCTGAGGTATAGGAAGAACTTGACAAACACGTTGTGTAACTGCTGGAAGTCGACAAATCCATCTTGAACCCATTTGTCTCAATGCTGTATTGTTCATTTCATCTCAGTAAAAAATTTACATTCCCCACGTTTGAGGCGGTTGAGGTTGGTTATTGTTTACCCACTGTTGTGCATGGTTATATCCTCTGTTAAAGAATCTTTCACCTTGGTCCATATAGTGTCCTGCTTGGTTATAGTAGTCATTTGCTTTGTTATAATAGTTTCCTGCTTGTCTTCCTACATTGTCCATCCATCCTTGAACTTTTCCTCTTGTTTCAGGATTTGGAATAAGATTTGCTGCATCTCGTGCTACATCCCAACCTTTCTGTACAGTTTGTATAATAGGTTGTGCTTTCTCTTTAAGTATACCTAATGTACTCAAAATCTTCCTTCCAACTCCAAATACACCTCTGGCTATTGTTCCCACTGCGGGCAAAAATCTGGATGCAACTCCTGCTAATGCGCCAAATAAACCCATTTCTTATGGGTAAAAAATGACGAATCCAAACAAGGACCCCTATGTTTCTAAGGCAACAAAGAAAGCACTCATGATAAAAATCTTTAGTTCAACACCAAATGCTTGGTTTATGGATATCTTGGAAAACATTCCGAGGTTAGAAGATGGACCACCATACTGGCTAATATTTGTCGGTCAAAACACAAGATACTGTGAAGCCATACCATTATGGTCCAAAAATATTTTAGATGTGAAAACTGCTTTGACAATATTCGTTGACAAATACCATCCAACAAAACTGACATCTGACTGTGAAAGTTCTTTCAAATCAGATGATGTAAAAAACTATCTGCGTTCAAAAAATGTAAACCAATATTTCATTGTCGACCAAAACCATTCTGCTCTTGGTGTCATTGACAGTTGTATAAAAATCTTAAGAGACTTAAACCAACCACAAGGTGGTGAAGCAAATGAAATGTCATATGACGACAAATATAGACACTTCTCCATGGCAAAGATGAGACAAGTTTTAAATATTTACAATAGCCGTAAACAAAAAGGTTTGGGAAACCACTCCCCCGAAGAAATGAAAAACAACCCCGACTTAGAGAAAGACTATATATTTAATAATTTAGTCAAAAGAGACAAACAAGAAAGAATGCCGGCTTCAAACTTCAGAAAGGTGACAAAGTAAAAATAGAAATACCTAAACGCGACCCATATGAAAATACTATTGACTATGACAACAATGGGAACCCGACAGGTACTCACATTCGTGTTCGTAAAAATAGAAGAAAGTATACAAGAGAATATTATGAAGTTTTAGGCAAACATGGCAAAATGTACAGACTGCAAGCAGAAGATAAAACTACTATTGTCAGACCTCGTTTCAAACTTGTCAAAGTTCAAGGTGGTATACTTTCAAAGACAGTTCCTAACAAATATAAGACAACTCCTGACGAATATGCTAAAGAAGTTGAAAATGACGACTAAGCAATTCTATACCATGCGTAAACTGTCATGTAAGGTGGCATGTATTCTTTACTTTGTCCCGTTGTTTGCGTATATCCTGAAACGTTATGTGTATGGTTTCCTCCTCCCTCAGTGTTACTCCAGTAACAATCTATAGCAAACTTAACGTTGTCTTTAACATCATATCCTTTACCTTTTGTCAAGCTGTGCCAATCCCAATATCTATGCTTATGCCAACCTGCTTGAGATGTACTTAAATCTATGTAATGACTGTGTGCAGGTAAATTTTCACCTGAAATCGTTTTACTTCCACCTGTTTCCTTTGAAGAGTTTGCACAATACAAAAACCTGTCGACTATTTGAGTCCAAGTTCCAAAACCAAGTACTACTTCTGGTCTGGTAGAGTTCATTGACGTATAAATAGAGCCTATAGGATATAATGTTTGAAGCATTTCTGTCTTTAATGTTTGAAGCTCTGTTTTGTCTGCTTTCTTGTCATATAAATCTTGAGCAGTGAATTTAATATTATGTTCATCCTTCATGACATAAACATCTTTACATCTAATGTTTCTCATCGTCGTTATGTCGTCATCCGATGTTAAACCTTGTGGAAAGTTAGGAGGTTTACAATATATTGCATCCCCACCAGTTTCTTCAACCGTTCCTTCAATACTTTCTATAGCAACAGTTGTAAAACTTGTATGTGTATGGTTCTTGTCTGCTTTCTTTTCAAGGCTAACGTTTAAGTCTGTTATTTCAGATATAGAATGTGTATGTCCAACGGCACTTTTCCTGTTTAAGGTTTCTTGTAAGTTTGTTATTTCAGATATAGAATGTGTATGTCCAACGGCACTTTTCCTGTTTAAGGTTTCTTGTAAGTTTGTAATATTTGCAATGGTATGTGTATGTCCAACGGCACTTTTCCTGTTTAAGGTTTCTTGTAAGTCTGTTATTTCAGATATAGAATGTGTATGAGTCTTTTTAGAATATTCGTTTTCAGCTCTTGTCACTTCACTTGACATTTTATTGTCAACATATGTTTTGTCTGCTAGTTCAGGATGAGTATGTTCTTTTGTTGCATAAGCATTGTTAGCTCTTTCTTCTTCTTTTGCTATTGCATCGTCTACATATTCTTTGTCAGCTTTGTTGTCAACATCTGCTTTCAAAAGAAGTTCATTTATAGGTTTCTCGTTTAAAGTTCCTTTTGTTGGATTTATACAGACAGTATGGTTCTTATTGTCTTGAAACAGAAACTCATCTGTCATTGGGTTTAATGTCAGTTTTAAGTTTCCTTCCTTCAATGACTCAGATATCTTAGAATAGTTTGAAAAGTTTGTTGTGTTCTTATTTAGAGCTTGCATAATGAGTTGTCGGTTGTGTTGTATTTCTCTCATAGACGCTGTTTCATTTGACATTTTTATTCTAGATAAAATATGCTTCCAATAGAAAAAGAAAATTCAAGAGTTGCTACAACTAAACCATTAGATGAACTTTTTACTAATGTCGGTCAAAAGTTTGAGACAGAGACCGTAAAGCATGAAGGCTATCGTTTTGACTACCCATTAAGATGGCTAAGAGACCCATCTGTCACAAAAGCTATTGGCTTTCGTAGAATGAAGTTTGTGTCTGTAGAAGATAAAAGTTTTCCATTTATTGTAAGGTTTCATATAGATTATATATCTGAAGGGAAACGAAAAATGTGGGAAGAAATTGAGCTAATACAAGTTGACCTTTCATCTTCTCTACAGACTGCGTTAAAAAATATAGAAGATAAAATAAATTCATGTTATGCAAAATATGCTGATGAATATGCAAATACCGAGAGCACACTTTATGTGAGAATTGTATATGACAAACAAAATTCACAAGTGTCATTTCAAATCTACGAAGACAATCCAAAGAAAGACGAACAAATATATACAGAATTCACTGCAATGTCATGGTATTATTTGCAAAGAATGTTAAATCAGAAAGTCAAACTTCCTTTAGCAAATATTTACAGTCGATATGCAAGAGATGAACCATATTTATTTAAAGATGTTTTCGACCCAGCTGCTATTATTGTTCATGCTTCATTTTCTGGCGCTCAAAACTCTTTCTTATGCTTGGCAAATGACTTTTACGAAAAACCTACAAAGCTATATGAACCACCAAGTGGAAGTATTTCAGACTTTCAAGTATGGTTTACAACAGATGGAAGAAAGAGAATAGTTCCATTATACCATGCGTTTTACTTAGAACTTAGTTTCATATACAACTACTATCGAACGGTAAAAATATAATTTTTTAATACGGTTGAGGTGTTGGATTTGGTTGCCAACTAGACTGTGGTGCAGGTTCAGGCTGTTGTATAACAGGAGCTTGTTCTTCTGGTTCAGGGTCTTTAGGTATAATACCAACAAACTGACCTACTCTTTTACCAATATTTTTGACTCCGTTCCAAATTCCTCTTCCGACAGATTTTATTCCATTCCATATACCTCTTCCAACATTTCGAAAGAAGTTTCCTATCTTACTGAAGAAACCCATTTTACTATATGTAAAAATCTAATGTCCGCCTAGTCTCTTACGTTTCCTGTTGAGTTCCATAGCATTCTTTAACTGGAGCTCATACATTCTGTTTCTCCTCTGGTAGAAAACATATTCTGGGTCAACTCCTGTGTTCGCGTCATCTGCATAAAGTTGTTTATATCCCACTTCAGGGTTTGTATAAAACTCTTTCCATCTCATATTTGCATACCATGGTGGCAAACCTAACGCAGCGTCATTTGACATGGCAGTTTGCATTTGTACATCTGTTGGCACTTGACCATAGTTTGCCATTGCAGTTTGTATTCTAACTTCATTTGGAATATTCTCTGGATTTGGTTGTCCAGGTTGCTGTGCATTCGCTAAGTTCTGTGCGTCCATTTAATATTAGATAAAAATATCTCTTACGAGTACATATACTGAACATTTGCAGGCATTGGTTCATCTTCATATTCTCTATATCTTTCTGCCACGTCAAAGAAATAAATGACACAATGGAAAAAACCTAAAACAAGTAGTCCTATTTCAAACCACATTTACTTACTAATAAAATTTCTTTATTGTGACACTTTCTCCAGTTTATAGGACCTCTCTCATATTCTATCTTGTCATATATAAACTCATAGTCATGTATGTCCTCTAACCATCTCATAACGGTTTCCAAACCACTTTTATCGGATGTAAAGTAAAAGCATGGATGGTTATGTAAAACGTCTAAAGTTTCTAAAGAGTCTCTCAAAGTCCAGTCTACTTGGTATTGAAAATCCCATGTGTTATAGAACGGCGGGTCCACTATAAAGAAAACATTTTCCTTGTTTTTATATTTTTCATACAACTCTGTCCAATGACATCTCACAAACTCTATACCCTCAATATATTTTTCTATGTCCTCTTTGAAAACATTTGTATAGTTAAGATATAAAACTTTTGACATAAGTGTTTCAATGTCATGAACTCTTATAGCACCACTATATAATAGTCTAGCAGATATACTATCCCAGTCTATATATTCTGCTTTTTTCAAAACCTCTCTCACAATATTTTTCTTATCTAATGGTATACGTTCCATCTTACCTATCTGAATCTTTTCTTTTAACTCTTTCAATATATTGTTTGTGTCTGGAATATGTTTGAGACGGTCCATATAGTTGTCGAAGTCATTGCATATAATCTTTGAGTCTGGGAATATTGTATGGCACAAATGGGATATATAGAAACTTCCACCGAACAAATCTACAAATGTTAGACCATTCGGTAGTTTCTTAAGTTCTCTCAATATAATATCTTTACATCTACTCTTATTTCCAAAGAACGGTAACGGTGGTTTTGTAAAATTCATTTATATATAATAATAAAAATGTTTTTACCCGAAAAGTGACAGAAAAGTGACAAAACATGAAAACATATATATAATTTGTGAAAAGCGACACATTATATAATGTTTTCGACCCAGAAGACTAACAATTTTCCGAATAAAAACTTCATTTATACTAAACATCTTCGGGGCTAGAGGGCACGAAGTGCCTGGAAGCCCCACTACCTTTTTTTTTTTTTTTTTTTTTTTTACTGATATGATTATTTTTGAAAAATCTCTTAAATCGACCTGCACTGAATTTTCTAGGGAAAATTCGAAATTTTCTAGGCGTTTTCTGTAAAGTTTTTTACGGAATAAAATCCAAAAAATAATTTTTTGAAGAATCATTTGGGCAGAATACTTATCGAAAATTATATTTATTATAATTTTGGTCGATAAAAATAAGCGGATTCAAAACTGGCAAAAACCCTTTCGGCAATTTGTGGACGATTCCGAACCCCCTCATTTTTGAAATTTAATAAGAAAAATAGAATCTTTATTAAATATAGATTTTAAAAAACTTGGTTATAAATTACAAAATTTTCTCACTTGGGCTAAAAAGTGACAATTTGGTCGGAAGCCACCCTTAATTTATCAAGATTTTGGTTCTTTTTCATTAAACCTAAGGGTTTCGTTTTGCGAAAAAACGTACAATACGCAATTTCGCTAAAAAACATTTAGCTAGCAATTTCGACCTTTGACTCCACTCAAGACGTCACTTTTTTAATTTTGCGGTATCATATTTTTGGAAAATCTTTATGAATATTATATAAAAAGTCTCTTTAATATCTATATTTCATATTTTTCTCGATTTTTAAAGTTTTTGCGAAAAGTATTCAATTATTTTTGCTATTTGGTCGGGTAAATGTCAGATTTGCGACATTTTCTGATATGATATTCAGATTCTACGTTGATAATAATGCTTATAGAACCCTCTTGCTATTGTGTCAAAATTGCGAAACCGATAGCAAAAATATCTCGCAATATCAAAATTGAGATATTGAGTGAATTATGCATTATAGAGATTAAAAATCTGATTTGTGAAAACATCTCATCAGTTTCTAGCTAATTCAAAAATCTTTACTATCTTATTCGATTAAAATGAAAAGGGAATAGTTTCATTATGCTTTAAATGACAGCCTTATAATATAATCATAGTTTTCGCTCAATATGCAGCATTTTTTTTCGAAATCTATGGTCAATGTCCTAAATACTGATTGCTTTGCATTCATATCTCTTACATTTTCTATACCCACATCACTATTCATTGCTATTCCTATCTTTTTCATTTTTGTTTGTTTCTCATAATTTCTCAAAAAACACGATAACTTGATATTTGTAAATATCATACTTTATAACGTAAATAAGAACTTGACCTATTAAGAAAAGCAGTAATGAAAAGAAAATCTGAAATTCATAAAAATTACAAGTTTCTGATGACAATTAGCTTAATTAAACCAGGTACAAGATTATATAATTGTATTTTCTATCCAATTATCCATATAATATCTTATCCAGAAAAAAAAACTTGATCAATACCAAATGATTTTTTAACTAGTAAATAAAGTATTTTCTTTACACACACATTGTATATCATAGTTTTTTTTTTTTTTGGTTTCGCAAAACATCCAAAAACAAATATGCTATAAAAGTGACAATTTTAGCAAAACGAAACCCTTATTAAACCTTAATAGCCATTTTTCATTTTCTATAATGTCAGATTTTATTTTCAATATGTCAGGATAGAATGAATGTATGTTATAATTCCTCCCGATCTACCAAAAAAGGTTCAACTTCAATACATTTAAAACGGTTTAGGCCAATTTTAGACTACCTAGGTCAATTTATATCGTATTGACAGATTCTTCATTCAATTTTTTGAGGATTTATTTTTCTTCCAAATGCAAGAAGTAGCCTATCCCTATGATGCTGAAGAGCTTCTTTACTCATACCAGCTCTGCTATTCTGATGCTTTTAGGGAAAGACAGTTTAAAGTCCAGACAAAACAATTTAAGCCAAACCTAACAGAACCTATTAAGATCAAAACAAACAAGAATTCCGTTGCAAAACAACAAAGAAGAAGATATAAGACAGAACCAAGGAAAGCCGTTCTTCTTATGGAACCAAAAGTACAGCCAAAATCCCAATCTCCAGCTCCTGATGCTGAATTCGAGCCTTTAGTAATGCCACCACCTTTGAACCTTCATAAGTTTGATAACCACATTCCAGCAGCTTTCTCTATCATCAAGAGAGGAAATCTGCCATCAATTGAGCTCCCTTTTAATTAGGTTAATCGGGAACTCTAATTGCTATTACCAATAGATGTTTGATTAGTTGTTTTATTTTCATTTTAAAAATAAAATCTATCTGTCCAAAACTTTCTCTTCATTTTTATACCTCTCTAAATCATGAATCATGTTACTCTTAATACGATTCATAATATAGATCGATTTACTTAGTAATTCACTGTTCTCTAGAATATCCTCTAAGAACTTGACAATTTTGATCCTATTTATATGTCATTTAGCTCAAAGAATCTTGTAATTTATCCATAAATTAGATGTTATCAAAGGATAATACCTTTCAGATTCTATTTTTAAAAATCAAAAATCTATTTCCTTCTATTATGAAAGGTGACTATTCACTATTCTATTTACCAATGAAATACATGTTTATTTAATGTGATATTGACTTCTTGGATTTCCAATCTTATCTTCCCCTTGAAGATAGAAGATCCATTCATTTTTTTCTCTGATTCTATAGCTACAATATTAACAAATCTGGCAGTTGCTGAATTGATTGATCTTAATTTTCATAAATTCAGATATTTTCAGATTTTTGAAATTTCATAGATGAATATTGTTGAACCCTTCATCGTTAAGATGAAGATCATCAATAAAAGCAAAAAGAATCAAGCTCTAGTACATAATGCACTAGGTTTGGTGAAAGAATTTCCTTTCGTTTGTGGAATTGATATCGAAATGACACGAAAACATAAGAAATTTACAAAAGAAGCATGGAAATTTGCTGAAACAATCTTAGAATTATTTTCATTTATTCCAAATGATAGTTATACCCTTGGCAAAATATTCCAAGCTTTAATTATCATTGGATCTTTTAATAACGACCTCCCAGATTCTCCAAATTACAAGATAATCGTATCAATGATACTTGATAACATCAAAGATGAAATTGAATTACATTCTCAGCTTTCATTTCTAAGTACACTATGCATGTTTCCAACATTTGTGAAATCATTCTTTTTTGCACCATATTTCCCTGATTTTGTTGAGAAAATGATGACAGATGAATCACAAATCACAGCGTTTTCATCTTTCATTGAAGTTTTCTCCAGAGTTGTAAATTTTCCGACATTGCAATTACCAAAGATCATTAACATCATGCAAATCGTATTGAATAACGTTAAACAAAATAAATTTACCGTAAATACAATTGGAAATACATCAAAGTTTATTGCATCCTGGATAGAAAAGGCATCTACTAAGAATCCATCTATTTTTAAGAAGTTTGAACAAATGGATGGAATTAATATTTTATATCAAGCGTTAAAATCAAATCCTTCGAAGTCTACACATTTATTTTTCAAATCATTACTTAAATCATATACAGAAAATATGAAACACTTACCAAATATCGTTGTTTCGGATTTCATTTCGACAATTTTAAGAGAAAAAACAGATAAAAGCACTGTTTTCCTATTACATACAATTGCTGATATCATTAGCGACACAAGCATTGATCTATCAGCATTAGACAACTCAATACATTTTGATTCATTATTTACAAGCAAAGAATTAATTGAATTACCAGAAATAATCAATGTTATATCATCATTAGTCAATAGAAAATACGATCACACAACAGAAATCATTCTTTCCTTCTTTTTGTCAGATAATTTTGTCCAAAAGAACAAAGAAATCGAACCAGTCATATCCAATGCATTGAATTCAAATCTTATCATCATTACACCCGAAAACAACTCACAATTTGAAGACTTTTTCGTTAATCAAAATGCGAAATATAATATTTCGAAATTATTATCGGAAAACCAAGCAATTTTTGATCTATTTCTCAAGTTCTACACCGTTACACCCGAAAAACAGCTTTCTTTGCTTGGATTCATATATTCTTTGTCATCAAATTTTTCATCAATTGACAAATTCGTTACATTGATCAGTAACTTGTTGTCAATCAACTTTAACAACGACAAGATCAAACTTTTCTCAGTAAAATTGATGACACACTTTTCTTTGCCACTTTTTTCGTCATTGGCAAATTTCTTCAAAATTTCAAGTGACAATGTTTCAATTTTTTTGTCATTTGGAGGACTTTCTGTTCTTAAACACGTGTTTGAACGTGAAGATCTACCAGACGAGAACATCACCGACATGTTGATTGCGATGTCTAATCATCCTTTCAACCATTTATTGAATGAATCAATTATGAATTTGCCAAGCAATCACAGGTTCTTTAGATTGTCGAAATCATGTTACAGGAAACTGATTTACGACATAAAAAGAACTAGTCCTATAAGATTACCTGTTTTCTTACCTTTCTTGGATTATCCTTTACAAACTGAAGAAGAAATTGATTTGATAAATGAAGCTTTATATTCTTTTCCTGTTTATAAAATGATAGGAAAAGAATTACCTAATTTGGATAGAATTTGCAATATAAGTGTCAATCTCAAAACAAGTATTTCTTTAGTAGAGAATTACGATTTGTTTAAATTGACATCGAATGTAAATTCAAATCAAAATTTCCCTTTCTTTGAATTTTTACCCTGCCACAATTCATTTATTGAAATGGACATTCCTTTCTTAGGAATTTCATTTTGGTTCAAGACATCGCATAAATATCCTTCTCAGTTCGTGATATTTAAAGCGAATGATGTCTTGATTTCGTGTCAAATGAATGTTTTGACAATAAAATGGGGAAATAACGAGCGAAATCAGACATTTCAGAAAACTGATGATTGGCATTTCGTCTTTATTAGCTCTAGTGGTTGGATGTTCTCCGAAATGGTTAATGTCATTGTTGACGACACAGAATACAAATTTGAAAAAGATGAATTGTTCTCAAAAATTTATTTCGGAGATAATGAACAAAATAATCCAACAACATTCAAAATTGCTGCAAATATAAGGATCTATGAATCATTGTTCCAAGATGTTTCTCACATCAAACAAGTAAGAGACAAAGGACCAAGTAATTTCGAATTAAATCAATTCGAAAATTTGATTTATTTTTCATCAAAATCTTCAAATCTTTTGAAAAATAAATTTATCCTGGGAAATTCTGTAATTTTGGTTGAATCTAGACCTTTGTCTTCTTACCTTGATTATCCTCTGTTTTTGTCAAAAGTTTTTGACAGATTACAAAAATCGGAAACCCCAGAAAATTTGACATTTAATGTTCTCTCAATTTTGACACTTTTTAAACAAAGTGGATTCAAAAACGAACAGTTTTGGTATTATCTTATAATATATCTTAAGAATGCGAAGTATTTAACTGAAGACGTTTATGATTTTATCATTGATTTTCTGACAGAAAATTTGACACCTGACAAAATGTCAGATGTAATGAGATCAATGTTTTTAGATGCAGAATTATGGTTCATTTTGAAAGAAGAAGAAAAATTGAAGTTAATGAAACGGTTATTTACGGTTTTGACAACCACTTTGAAAGAATTTATTTCACCACAAAATTGGATTCCATTTTTACTCAGACAAATGACAATGATAGAAAACGAACAAAATTTTGCAAAATTCTCTGAATATTTAATTAAAATGGCTTTTATAAATGCAGATAAAAAAGCCATTTTGTCACTTTTAACCTTAATTAACTATGAACCCGAAAATTTGAAAATCAAATTCTATTCTGTTTTCAGCTTGAATTTATTCTTTAATTTGTCAATGTATGATGATTTGGCAGCTGACATTGTACCCCCAAATTTCTTGTCTTCATTTATTACTTCTACAAATAATGATAGAAAATCTTGCAAAGGAATTGAATTATTACAAAAATTGAGAACTATGAAAAGTGACAAATTTAATATTTCACTTTCTCCAATTTCGCCGAAATTTATTGGTAATTTAGTTTTCTTTTATCACGCGTGGTCAACAATTTGTGATGATTTAATCATTGATTTAACTCAAGATTTTTCAATTGTTTACGAAAATTGTTTTTGCTACTTGTTGAGTGTACAAATGATCAATTTCTCTGCTTTGTTGTTTTCGAGAATAACAAATCAAAACATACAAAAACCGTTGTTGGAAGCGGTTTCTAACGGTTTTAAAGTTCTTTCAAAAACTGTTGAAACAAATTCATCGTTGTTTTCAAACAGAAATAATATATTTTTGATTTGTTTCATTGCATCAATGACTTTCGCGTTGTTGAATACAAAGAAAGAAAAAGAAGTTTCCGCACAAATTCAATCGATGACGGTTAATTTCAGCGGTTTGTCAGAAGAAGATTTCAATACAATTTCTTCTTCAATTTTTGACACTTTTTCAATTGAAGATTCATTTAAAGGAGAATTTTTGAACAAAAGAGAGTTTGGTAAGACTCCTTTGAAGTCTTACCATCCTATTTCGAATTATTTAGATCTTTTCAAGAAATCTTTGAATGAAAGTAATGTTAAAACTGATTTAAATTTTCAGATTCCGAATGAAGAAATTTATGGTTTCTTGAAAGAAATTAGCTACCTAGATTTCATTTCTAAAATTGCTGAAAAGAACAAAGAATCAGCTTTATGTGGACAAATTGTTTCATTCTGTATTGGATTTGAACCATTTTGTTTCTCTGATTTCGCTGCTTATTCTTATTCAAGATTTTTGAATGAATCCGGACTTTCTTTCCAAGGTTTATCTTTAGATATCATTGCTTCTTCTTTGTTTAACATTCTTAATGACAAGGATTTCACTTTAATCAAACAAAAAGAAGAAGAGAATCAACCTGAAAACAAAGAAAAGATTATTGATGAAGAAAAAGAAAATCCAAACAATGAAGAAAAGAATAATGAAACAACTGAAGAAATTAATACAGAAGAAAAACAAGAAGAAAATATTGATCTAGCAAATGAAAATCAAAATGAAACAAAAGAAGAAATATCAAATGAACCAATTCAAGAGGATCAGACAGGAGAAAAGAATGTTGATGAAACAAATAAAGAAAGTGAAAATCTAATTGATAACGAAAAACAAAACGAAGTAAAAGAAAAGCTTAATAACATAACAAATCAAGAAAAAGAGAATCAATTAGTAGAAGAAAAACAAAAAGAAAATCAAAATCAAACTCAAGAAGAAATCCAAAATGAAACAAGTGAAGAGAAAGTTAGTGAAAGAAAGAAATTTGATAAGGATGAATTTGTTAATTTGATACTGAAGATATGTAAATTGAGCAGTGAAATAATTAAAGATAATTTGATTGAGATCATTCCTTTGAGAGTTCTTCCATTTATAAGTACATCCAAAGCAATGGAAATCTTAATGGATTTGTACAAAGAAACAAACAAAAACATTATTTTATTATCTTGTCTGTATGCCGTATTAATGCAAAATGAATTATCATCTTTCTTACCTCAAATTACACAAAAGGAAAGTTTCAAATCTTTCTTTTCAAACAAATTCTCAAAATATAGTTTAGAAAACTTATCTGAAAACAATTCAGAACTTCTTAATGAAATGGAGAAAGCATTACAAGATGATTTGAAAGTGAAGACAGTTGGATCAGAAATACAAAGTTTCGAAAGAATTGCTGTTCAAATTCAAAATTTGATTTTCTCAGCAAATTCTGTTGTTTTGTGTTATTCCAAATTGGCATTTCCACTTATCCAGAAACTATTCGATTACATAATATTCACAAGTTTCAGACAAACAGAGTGTTTCATTGTATCTGTTTGGCAAAACGAATATCAAGCTTTGCCTTTGACAGAAAATGACAATTTTTCAGAATCATTTTTAGTCAAACCATTTAATTCATCACTTGTTCTGCATAGATACCTGAAATTAGAATCACAAACAGAAGGTGATTCATTGATTTCATATAATGTTTTCATTGACGAAGGTATTAAAAATGAAAACACAACATTTCTTCCAAAAATTGAAAATCTCGACATTTCTAAGTTCACAAGTTGGGTTCATCAGAACAATGCTGTTCTTTTTAGCTCATTCTTGAAGAGATTCTTCAAATTCGGAAATTTCAAAGGAACCGTTGACGGTTTGATTGAATCAATGAACGTGACACTTTTCATGTTTTCACCAGCAATTTTAATTTTGTTTGGCAGCAAATATGAGAATTCTGGAATTTATTTGTCTGAGTTAGACAACGATTTTGTTGAGAAACTTGCAAATGGTCAATACGGCCAATTCACATCATTTTGTGGCCATCCTGTTTTGATATTTAATCCTTACGATGTCATCGAATATATGACAACAAAAAGTTCGATTGTTTTGTTTAGATTGAATTCTTCTTGTCTCAAATTTAATTTCAATACACAAACTGGTTTACCAAAGACATTTATTGAAACAATCAATAGCGGAAAGAACTATTTGACAAAGAAAGTTTCACCAAGTTTTATCAACAAAACTAAGTCTGTTTCTGAATCTTCTTCTCTTTGGTCAGAAAGAAAAATTTATTCTGTCAGATTTTTGTTTGACATCAATTATGACAATATTTTGATGAATTCTCAAACGAAGTATCCTTCAACAAAGTATTTGATACCAGAAATGTCTCAAGATAAGAAATATTTAATAGATGAAAATGAAATCATTAACTTTTGCAAGGAAATGAATGTTAAAGTTAAACCAAGAATTTCTTGTTACGAAAAGAAATATATAAATGATATAGAAATAACGAAAATGAAGAAATACAAGGTCAAAACAAAGAATGGAATGATAATTTGCAACAAAAACTCTTCAATAATGAATATAACTTCTAATTATGATTCAAGTGAAGTGACCACTTTGCAATTTCCAGAATTTATTGCTTTACAACATTTGAGTATTTCTGATGATTATGATTATATTTCTGCTGATTTCAATTACGGAATTGTCACTGTTTATTTGGTGAACTACAACAATGAAAATGTTGTTTCTTTGACACCTGTTTCTAGTTTACCTTTGTGTGAATCACCATCAATAACAGCTCTTTGTTCACAACTTTATTTGGCTGCTTCAGCACATTTGGATCAAGTTTTGTTCTGGAATTTCGCAAGAGGTTACTTCATAAGGAAAGTCTCTGTGATGTTCCCTATTTGTGGCCTTGCTTTTGATTCAGATCAGACACTGTGGGTCTGGGGATCTACACAACTCTGCTGCCTTTCATTAAATGGAACAATGTTGGGTGCTTACAACTGCGACCACAAAATTGAGAATGTTAAACCTCTTCCTGACAGACACGTCCTCGTTTTGCAAGTCAAGGGAATTAGAGAACTCTTTAAGTACCAAGATGGAAAACTTGTATTCGTCAATATCTAATTTTATATTTTAATTGTTTATTATAAAGATTGCAAAATTTGTATAGTGCGATTTTATTAAACTCTATGATATTTTTAATCTACATGAAATCAATATATATATTTTGCATAACGCATCCACGTTCCTCAGCCTTATGAAATGTTTGAATTTCATTTTTATACAAAGACGAAGAAGTTTGCATTGGTGACTCATATTATTCAAGTGTTGATTGAGAGTTTTGTGTTACGAATATTGGTAAATTAAATTGAAATATAAAAAATTGTTCAAATTTTAAGAATTCAATAAAAGCATGAATGCAAGAAGGAAGAATGCATACGGATTAGTGATTGAAAAATGATAATTACATTTGAATAGAGAAAATTTTAAAAAATTATTTTTTGAAATTTAACATGAAAACAAATAAAACATTTAAACACTAAACCAAACAAGAATGACCGCAAATAACACTCTTAAATAAAATTAAGCAGGTAAAGCGTTCAATAATTCTTCGACATTCGTAGGCGGAGGCATAGAATTTCCGAGAACGGAGATAAATGGTATATTTATACATTGCTCGTATTCAACAGCGTTTACTTCTGGTACATTCATAGCAATTTCTTCTTGCTTTGGCTGTTCTACTTTTTCTTGGGCCTTAACATCATTCTTAGTCTGTGGTTCGCTATCCTGTGTAACGTCTATTGAAATATCTTCTGTGACTAATTCTACTGATGGCCTTCTAAGAGCTCTCCTTGGTGTGTTCTTAGCTGTTGACTTCTTTGATGCCTTTGGAACTAATTTGGATGATTCTTTCTTCTTTGTTGTTTTAACTGGTGGTAATGTGTCTTTTGATGCCGCTTTTTTAATAGTCTTAGCGTTATTTTTCCTTGATGTGGCTGCACTCTTCTTTACTGGAGTTGCCTTTGGCTTTTCGACTGATTTCGAACGAGTTGGCGCTGATTTCTTTTCTTTAAGTGTATCTGACTTCTTTGTTGTGGTTGCTTTCTTTGCTGGCTTTTTTGATGCTGCTTTCTTCCCAGAAGCTTTAGAACTCGCTTTGGGAGGCATTTTCAAAAAATGGCGTTGAAACCCCTTTATATTTGATTTTTAGACCCAAATTTATTATAAATGAATGCATCGCAGTTTATTATTTGATAATAACACGCGTTTACTCTAATACTAATTAATACAAGTGACATGCATGGTATTGAAGCTGATAATAATTCTCAAATTTGCATTTTTTAGTGTATGCCCGAGAAAAATAACCTTAAAAATATCTCCAAATCCTAAGTTTGATTCTTCACGAAAGTCATATAACACTCTTGTACTATTCCTATATAACCTATCCTGAAAGTTGCAAGGCCAACTTTTTGGCAAATTACCTCGCTGGACATCATTGTCAGTATTTGCACTTATTTACCACAAAAATATCTCATATTATATCACAAAATCAAAAAACGCAATAATTTAGTAAATATATTCATTTTTGAGTGAGTTAGAGATCATTTTTTATCGAGAATTTTTTAGTAAAAAATCTGACAAAATTTTCATAAAATATTTTTTATGATGCTCTTATTTCTACTATTCTTACTTAAAGGAGACAGTAAAGAAGCAGGATTGAGCTCATTCTCCAAATGGAATTGGATTAGCTTACTTTCTCTTACAATTATCATTTGCATCGCTTTTCTTATGATTTTTCAATTTTTCTTCCGTGCAAAAACAGTCAAAAGCCAACCTAGAACATTAATGGATTCAAGTATATTTTACCACAAAGATAATCTTTTAGAATAATCTCAAAAAAATCAAAAATTATACTGAAATTTGACAAATTTATACCGTTTTAGTTCAACAACTATCAAGGTAATATCATATAGGCTTTCTTTCCATGATTTTATAGTTATTTACAACAAATATTTTTAATCGTAAATTTGCGACCACTCTTTTACCTGTATACATTTATAGAGTGAAATAGATCTATTTGTTTATCACAGGTTTTTGGAGTTCTTCCAAAAATCTGAAATATCCGTTTGATTATTTTAACTTTAGACTTCCACCACTTGTTTATATTGTTATTCATACCCAGAAGCTTTTACTTCTTGTTGATTTATAAACTACTTTTTCGATTTTTACTCAACGATAATTTTTTACATCGTTGTCCATAGACAATAATGAACAACAACTCATGCTCTCATAAAGTTTTATAATGTACATGTGAGATCTTAAAAGCTTATTTTTTAAATTTCTGTTTCCAAAATATCAACAAAGCCGACTGGCCAAATGCTAAAATTCATAATTAAATCCAGTATGCGATGCCAAATTCGATATCCATTTTTAAATCCAAATATTTTCTCGGATCTTTTCTTTCCGAGAAGGGTTTCGGAAATATTTTCTATAGTAAGTGTGTCAACCAAATTGCATAATGTTATACATTTTAGCAAAATGTTAGTCACTTTTACAGTTTTTATTTGGGGCGAGCTTGCGAGCCCCAATTAAAAACAGTAAAATGAGCTCACATTTTGAAACAAGTTTAGGGACTTTTTCATTGAAAATGCAAAAGTGACAAAACTTTTCACAAATGATATTACTCTTTTTGGAATGATCTGCTTGTCAAAAAGTCCTTTTGAATGCAATTCAATTTCCACACAGTGAAAACTGTCAAAGTAGACTCATAATAATGGGTTAATGATATAAAATAATTTCGTTTCTTTCAATTGAAATGCATTCAAAATTTCTTTTTTTGAAAGGGTCGTCTAAAAAAGTTTTCCTAATAAATTAATGCTTGATCATATATATATCATTTTGAAATATTTTATTTAACGAAAGCCACTTTTTGTGGTGAGTGGATAAAATGTGAAGGTCAATATTTATTCAGTATTTCATTACATATAAAACATATTTATAAATACATAATCTTCAATCCTGACTTTAGTTAGCGATCAAATTTACAAAACAAAGGTATAAGATTGAGAAAAAAAATCTAAGAAAGTTTACATCACCAACTAAATTTGACCTATTTTGTAAAAAACCGCCACTAAATGCTGAAAATTGGATCTCTTCCCATCATCGAACCAGACAAAATCGATGATGTCGCAAGCACTTTGTTAAAGCCCCAGTTTGTAGCAATGAAAACCAAGAATTTTTCGATTGCACCTGGCTTATTACAAAGTTTTTGGAATAACATGCGAAATCAGAAATTCGCAGAACTTGCTTTATCGCAATTTTTATCGCTATGCATTGGCGATATCGAAAAAACTAAAACGAAGGAAGTTTACACAGCTCCTCCTTATATGAATTCGATTTTATCTGTTTTACTTAACATTGCGATTACATACGGCTGCGTTTTCAGCAAAGATTCATACGCCCCATATATCGAAAAAATCTTTGCTTTTAATATCCCTGAAGTAACCATTGTTCTTGCGAAAATTCAGTATTATTTAACAACAAAACTAACATTCAGAAATATGATTGACGGACTTTTGTCGGACCAAAAGTCTAAATTACTCAATGAATTAACATGGTCACTTCTGATGTTAAAAATGCTCAGGTTTTTAAACACCGCGAGCCAAGAAGAAGCCCAGCCATTATTTGATGACTTGAAAGCCAAGCTCGATTGCTCCGTAAATTTCACAGAATCCATCATTATCCTCCATTTTATTCAATTAATTTTAACTTGCTTCCCAGGAAAGTACACGACGTATTTGGACCGATGCCTTCCATTTATAGTCACTTTCCTTGCAAAGCCAATGCCTGTTTCTAAAATGGCTCATGATATCGGAGCCGAAATCAAACGAGAACTCCAGTACCCAGGAGCAGCATACTATCAGCGCCTCCAGGATATATCATCAATGAACATCGCATTCGATGGCGCAATTCCTGTCCTTTTCGACCAAAGAGCTTCAATTTTCACAAATTATTGCTACTCCCTTTCCACAAAATTCCAGAACATACAGGCATGCTACATTAATTTTGCCAAATTCTTCGTACAAAATACTCTCAGAACGTCGAAGGATTTCTCAATCGACAGATTGGTCAATATAATCAACACTCTTTCTTTCGATGAAGAGTCCATCACGTCAATAAAGACTAAATACAAAATAAAGGAAGATATCCCGCCGGAACAAGTCATCTCCTCCAAGGCAATGCAGCCATTAGTTTTCCCATTGAATATGTGCCGTCTTTCCCTCAATTTCCAGCCGAACGCGGCTATGCTTACACCGCTCGATGCAAATACCTACATGTTCATGACGCCAATACCAGCATTATTGAACAGAACATTCGTAGATGCAACGATCGCACGCGCAGCACAACTTACCGACGAAACATCAATTGTCAACCAGCCACTATTTATTGCCGGTGACGATCTGATTGTTTCTTCAGTTTTACAAGGAATTGTCTGCACATTACTCGACAAATCGAAACAGCTCTCAAGAGTATTCTTCACTGTTTACTTACTGCCTATAGATGACAGTTCCGTGAACGAACTTGCCAATTCCATCGCAAAACGCGATCCAATTTACGCATCTTTCGTTCGCAGTGCATTTACAGGCGCCGCAGGTACAGCTCCAACGCATAACGAAGAATCTACAGCAGATTTCCCACCAATTCTCGAGAAAACCAGTAGTACGTCAAATAATATCTGGTTCTCCGACCCATCTCCACTTAATACGATCCAATTCGCCATACAGCACTTCCTAGCATTCGCAAGGAACGCAGTAATGGTCAATATTTGGACGGCAGAGCTTGTTACAGATGCAGATCCTCTCAAAACAATTATTGTTCCTTGGATGACGTCAATCCACATCGGAGACATTTTCGCAGGCCAAACGATCACGAAAATCCCAGAAGTTTCTCCGAAATCCGTTTTCAGAATGAGCGTAACCGAGGTTATGAGAGGAACAGAGACATACGATAAGGCCAAGCTTACTTCCCTTTCAGTCTGGAACGTCGGAGGAGACTCAAATATCAAACCAAGCGATAATTGGGTCTTCATCGAGTGGACAAAGAAGAATTTCGAGCTCACAGAGACAAACAGACGTCCGAAATTCGCTGACAAGATCACTTCAAAGCTCGTAACAGAATGGAAACTCGAAGCATCAGAAAAATCTCCACCATTCTCGGTTTTGATCGACCAAAGAGTTTACGGACCTCTTAAATCAATAAGAGTGACCAAGATGCAAGATCCATACCAACCAAACGAACAGCTCAAGTTGAGATTGGCTACTTTCCAGATCTGTAACTAAGTTTCTGGATTTATTATATTGTTTTTGTTTTTATTTAAGATTGGACAAGATTGCGGCAGTTTGTTGTTGTTGTATATTATGTTTTTGCAAAAAATATTATTGTCGACCTCACAAAAACAGAGTTTTTATATTTTATATTAAAGACTTTCAGGATATAAATTGATTTTAACCCTTTTTTATTTTTATTTTTTTTTAATTTTTTTTTAATTTGTATTGCTTAAATTAATCATCGCTCTTTATTTGCATTGAAAAATGTTAATGCAGTGAAACAGTTTTCAATTTGGCTGATTATATGAAATTCATGAGTCAAATTGTGAACTTTACAAATTTGTCTGGCAATTTTGTAAAGTTCACAATTTGATCTCAAAAATTTTTTATTTGAATTTAACATTATCTAGTTTTTAAGAAACTATTTGGTACTAATTAAAAATATGAGATAATATGGCAAAGTCGGCGGTTCGTCTCAATTATATTTGCCAAAAATTAAATCATTTTTATTTTTGATGGATAGCGATCTAATTCTCAATTATGAGTACATTGCTGCCAACATCCAAGAGTTTATAGATGAAGGTAATCTTTATGATATTTTCGAAGAAGAAGACTTGAAAATAATTTCTTCTTATTTAAATATGACAGCAGATGAATACGACATGTTTATAGAGCGTTCTTCTTCCACAATGACACCAAAACAACTATACAAGCGTTCTAAATATATAAATGTTTCAATAAACAACAATAAGGATTTGATTACAATTCTGCAATCTGTACAAAAATATATGAGATTAGAATTGTTTAATAATGCAATCAAATACTTATCTAGTATACAGGAGCAAACAAACCAAGAATTTTTGTCACCAAAATCACAACTAAATGAAAAAGAATTAAAAATCGCCCAATTAAATGAGGAAGTGCTTTCAAAAGAATTCCAACTCAGGTTTATTGATTATAAAAATTCAACAGATTTTCAAAGTATATACGATTTCTTTTGTGAAATGGCAGAAAAAGGATATTCAAAGTTCATTGCAAAAGCATGTGAGGAAGGTCTCAGCGACAAGAAAAATGCAAATAATAATAACATACTTATTGAAGCATCTATAAGAGGAAATCTCAAACTTGTAAAATACCTTATTGAAAGTGGATGTGACAAAGAATCTAGAGATAATAAAGGCTGTACACCACTCATTCATGCATCAATTGAGAACAATATAGAGGTGATTAATTATCTAATCTCAGTCGGTGCTAACATTGAAGGAAAAGATAATAGTGAAGCTACAGCACTTCATATTGCAACACATTACAATAATATTGATATAGTTAAATATCTGATCTCAGTTGGTGCAAATATTGAAGTAAAAGATAAAAATGGATGGACATCACTTCATTATGCATCGGTATGCAACCACATTGAACTCGTTAAATATCTCATTCATTCTGGTGCTGATAAAGAAGTTAAAGATAAAATCGGATTAACTCCATTTATATATGCATCAATTAACGGAAATCTTGAATTGGTTAAGTTTCTTATCTCTATTGGATGTGACAAAGAGGCAAAAGCCGTGAATGGTAAAACTCCACTACATGAAGCATCATTTAGAGGCCATCTTGAAGTAGCAAAATATCTTGTTTCATCTGGGGCAAATATAGAGGCAAGAGATAATGATAACAGAACTCCACTACTTCTTTCGCTACTTAATGATAAACCAGAGTTAGCCAAATATTTCTTCTCTATTGGTGCAAATAAAGAGGCAAGGGATAATTATGGTGAAACCCCATTACATATAGCATCATTTTTAGGGAATATAGAAATAGTTAAATATCTTATTTCAGCTGGAGTAAACAAGGAAGCCAAAACAAGAAATGGAAATACTTTACTTAATTTAGCATCACATAATGGGAAGCTTGAAGTTGTCAAATATCTTATCTCTATTGGTGCAAATAAAGAAGCAAAAGATAAAAATGGAAGAACTCCTCTACTTAATGCTTTATATTATAAGCATTTTGAGATAGCAAAATATCTAATTTCAATTGGTGCTGACATAGAAGCAAAAGATATTGATGGAAGAACTCCACTTATGTGGGCAGCTGATAGGGGTAATTTTGATGTTGTAAATGTCTTGGATCAGCTGGCGCCAATAAAGAAGCAACAGATAATTTTGGGGTTCATACATTTATTTTTCCTCTTACACATAAAGGTGAAGAATATAATCAAATATATAATTATCTATACTTTAGATATTAATCTTTCCCAAATTGAACAGTACATCTTCAATCCCATGCCCATGTTGTTATGGCTTGCAGAACCTTCATCCCATAAAAAAGTCGACACTTTTGGAGTATCGCCTATCCTACTGCTTCAAAAATCATCACACCATGGAGATATATTAAAAATGAATCTTTGAAACAAATAAATAATTTAAATAAATATAAATGCAAAGATGATCTACTAAGATTACTCGTTTTTATTTTGAATATTAATTGCATATGTTGTTTGTGAAACGTTTTGTATTTATCAGAGTAAACAATTCAATATAGGATATTGGTGGATTCTTTTTTAAGTCGAAACTTTAAAGATATAATGTTAATTATGTAAAAAACTTTTCAAATAATTAAGCGTAGTGTGAAAACGATAAATTTAAACAACAAATTGATAAATCAACAATGCTGCTGGCGGATAAAAAAAAAGAAAAATTTAGCAGCAACCTTTCTTTTTTTGAGCATTTGCTAGATTTGGACCAGACTCTATTTTTGGTTTGGCTTTTGTAATAACTAAAGTCGCGACTTCGTTAAATAATTCTTCAATTCCTTGGCCAGTTACAGCCGAAGTATAATTAACGGTAAGACTATTGCTTTCAGCGAATTCTCTAATTTCTGGTCTTGGAACGCCGCCATCACGATCTATTTTATTACAAACTAACATTACAGGGCAAGTTGCTGCAAGATCATTCCTGATATAATTCATCCATCCAACCAAGTTCCGAAATGACTTCCTTTCTGATATATCGAAGACTAATAATATGACTTCCGCATTTCGAGTGTATAATGGCACTAAAGACCTATAAGTTTCTTGTCCAGCAGTATCCCATAAGCTCAGAGGAACTTCCTTGTCATCTAGTTTAATTGTTACTTGCGTTGTTGAAACTCCGACATTTGACATTGTTGCAGGGTTAAATTGTTTGTTATGGATCCAGTCGACAATGCAAGTTTTCCCTACAGCTGCATCACCGAGTACTGGAACTTTATGAAGTGGAGCTTCTTGACCAGGAAGTCCAAACATTTTTTTGCAGATAATAAAGTGTCAATGTGAGAAAAAAATAACCTTTATTAAATACATGATATTTTTGTGTTACAATAAGCACCCAATCACTTGATTTTTTCCTAGGCAATTGAAATTTGATTGCATTGAAATATTTTCAATTCAGTTTTTAATCGAGTTTGATAAAGTATTTTAATATTAAAATTCGAATCAGCAAATTATTTCCAAAAAAGTGACAAAAAGCAAAACGAAAAGTTGATCTTACTACTACCCCATTACTCATCCTACGCTTAAAGTTTAAATCACTAAAACTAAAACCACTGTCATGCTCTTTTTGTTATCATAAAATTTCAAGCTTTTTTGAAAAAAAAAATTGAAACTTTTTAAATGCATAATGGGAAATGATCTTTTGGATTGTTCGATGCAATAAACTTCATTTCTCAATATACACATGTATTCCAATATGCTTCATTGAAAAATTTAATTGCATTGTTTATAAACATGGATGATTTAGAAGGATTGATCTTAAACTCATAAAATATTTATCTTTAAAATTCATTTGATCTATGAATTTAGTAAATAAAATATCGAAATTAATCCGTTGAAGGATTTCCTTGTTCGAAATAAAAAGGAATGGAATTATTTGGTTACAAAGGTTATTTGAATTTAGTTCGTTTTGCTCTTAGAAAAAAAAAGTAATTTTTTTTTATTTTGTATTCAAAAAATATTAAAATGTTTAGTCAATGTATTTCTGGAGTTCTGGGCCTTCGAGGATTGTAAATGGCTCATCAATACCAACAACACCAAGGGCGATAGCTTCAAGAGAGTCACTTTCGCGAGACTTGCAATCATTTAATGCTCTTAATGCATGGCGAATAAGCTGATCACGGGTGCAGTCTGGAAATTCATTGAGATTTGTTTCGAGATATGTTTTGGCAGCCTGAGCGCGACGTCCTATAGCCTGGGCGTTATATTCCCAATGCTGGCCACTTGGGCATGTTTCAAATAAGCGTGGGCCATCGACGCCAGCACCAATCATTAAAAGTCCAACACCATATGGACGTTTTCCAACTTTAGATGTCTTCTTCTGCGATTGTAAAGCAACTGTATCAGCGAGATCAGCAACACGGATCTCAGTACCAAAGCAAAATGTGTGGTGAAGACATTCATTGCGGAGGAATTTGCAAAGTCCACGGCCGTCGGCTGTTAAACCAGAAATTGCCACACCGATATGCTGATCTATCTTGAAAATTTTAGGCTGATGAGATGAAAATTCTGATGGGGAATGCATAACACCTGCGATGACAGCGTGTGTTTTAGATTTAAGGCCAACAGTTGGCATGCCCTGTTGGACGGCCTTCATTGCATTTTCAACCTGAAGGATTCTACCTTCTGGTGAGAATGTTGTTGCGTTTTCATCATACTTGGAGCGAAACATTTTGGTAAAATTGACAAGGTCTGGTTGAACAATTATCAAAATTATCCGGATGGTTTAATTGCGATAGTATTACTATATGATATTAGAGGATAATAAAAGTCCGATAAAATGAGTAAGAATTATTTAGATTCGGTAAAAAAAATAAAATTATCAGATGATAAGTTTGTGAAAATCAATACCATCATAATATCATTGATTTATAATATGTTCTAACATTGTCAATTCAATTAGAACTATCTATCAATGATCTTAGAGTGCATAATGCGAAAAGGTAAATTTTGGCCAATAATTCTAGATTCCAAAGGAAGTGTTATGCGTCATGGTCACTTTTCGAAGAAATTGCAACCAAAATTTTATTCAGAAGTCATAATTTATCAGAAAACAAGGTGATTGCTAAACCTTATGAACCATCAGATTATACACTTGTAAAACGCAAATAAATGTCTGTTAAATTTTTTAATGTCTGATCATGAAAATCATCCAGATAAATACAGCGAAATGAGAAATATCTGTAAAGATTGCATTGATCTATATATTTTGTTGTATCAACTCAAAGTGAAAAATGAAGAAGAATTAAACTTGATTTTCGAAAAGATCAAAACAGTTCTGATTGATTCAAAGAAACTTCATCCCAAAAATATTATCGAAGACATTTTAAATATTGTTCCTTATAACAACCGCTACACATGGTCATATTTGAAACTTGCGAAATTGATATCTGATGAATATCATGTAAAAAAGGTCGGAAAGATTGCATACATATCTAATTTCCTATTTTATAAAGAATATGGAATTAAATTATACAAAGCTGATTTAATTGGAGAAAGAAAATTAGAAAATATAGATATTCTTGAAGAAAATACAATTTACAGAGCAATCATGAACAATGACTTAGAAAGATTCATCTTTTTTACGGAAAGAGAAGAATTTAATGAAAATCAACACCTTTATAGCAAATTATATCCATATTTTTTTGAAGTACCTTTACTTGAATTGTGCTGTTATTACGGTGCTGTTGATTGTTTCAAGTTTTTAAGAACAAAATTCAGCTCAGAAATAACTCAACATTGCCTAGAATCATCATTTTTAGGCGGAAATCAAGAAATCATGAGTGAATGTTTGAAATATAAAAATCCAGATAATGAATGTATGAGATATGCAATTATTTCACACAACATTGATTTTGTTACATTCTTGATGAATGAATACAATTTAGAGATTGATTTAGATTATTGTGAAAAATATAAAAATCTAGAATCATTTTTAGTTTATTTCGATCAAACTAACGATATTTACCGATGCCCTTTTTATTCAATGATGTTTAATATCCCACCCCTTTGCGAATATTTCCTTTCACATGATGCAAATATCAATGAAGATTATAGAGATGGAAAAACACTTCTTCATTATGCCACGGACAAAAATTTTATAGAAATAGTCAGACTACTTCTTTCGCATGGTGCAAATATCAACGAAAAAGATGAAAATAAAAAAACTGTTCTTCATTATGCAACATTAAATAATAATAAAGAATTTGCCGAACTTCTTCTTTCAAATGGTGCAGATATAAATGAAAAAGATAAATATAAAAACAGCTCTACATCATGCAGCAGAATTTAGGCGTAAAGAAATAGCCGAACTCCTTTTATTACATGGTGCGAATGTCAATGAAAAAAATGAATTTAATGAAACTGCACTTCATTATGCAGTAAGCAACAAGAATAATAAAGAAATGGTCGAACTTCTTCTTTCACATGGTGCAAATATCGATGAAAAAGGGTATGATGGACGCACAGCCTTTTATATTGCAACATATTTTGATCAAAAAGAAATAGTTGAACTTCTTATTTCATCTGGTGCAAATATCAATGATAAATATGATCATGGTTATACTGCTCTTCATCACGCAGTAATAAATAAAAATAACGAAATAACCGAACTTCTTCTTTCGCATGGTGCCAATATCAATGAAAAAGGTGAAGATGGTCAAACTGCTCTTCATATAGCAGCAGATCTTAATAATACAGAAATAATTAAAATTCTTATCTCAAATGGGGCAAACATCAATGAAAAAGATAAAGATGGACAAACTGCTCTTCACATGGCAGCAAATTTTGATAATACAGAAATAATTAAAATTCTTATCTCAAATGGGGCAAATATCAATGAAAAAGGTGAATTTGGAAAAACTGCTCTTCATTATGCAACAAGAAATAATAGTAAAGAAATTGTCAAACTTCTTATTTCAAATGGGGCAAATATCAATGAAAAAGATAAAGATGGAAAAACAGCTCTTCATATTGCCATATGTAAAAATTACGAAGAAATAGCTGAAATTCTTCTTTCGCATGGTGCAAATTCCAATGAAAAATATAAAGATGGAGAAACAGCTCTTCATTGTGCAACATATTGGGGCAGCGAAAAAATTATTGAACATCTTATTTTGCATGGCGCAAATATCAATGAAAAAGATAATAATGGAAGAACGGCTCTTCAGATTGCTAGAGATGAAAATAAAAAAAAAAGAATATTTGAACTTCTTATTTCACTTGGAGCAAGTATGTGACTGAATAACAAAAAGTGCAAATAACTATATAAATATTTGAAATTGTTATATTAATTGCAAAATAACTAAATTTATTTATTTACTCCTATTCAAAGTTTAATTTGATTTGTTTCCATATAATATATATATATACCATTATTTTTTATGCCTTAAATTGAGTATATTGTTGATTTACAGCTCAAATCATGAAATATTTAAAGTTTTTTAAAGCAATTAAACGCATAATTCCCATATACTACAACCTGCATATACTACAACACATGAGATTTGTATCAACTTGTATTGATTCTTATTAAGGATTTACTGTAATCGGTTTGGTACTAGCACTTTTTTCACTCAGTTTCGAGATATTTTTCCATGATTTTTATGGATATGATACCCGGTAATATATCGCTATATGATCTATCAAAATATCTTAAAAATATTTCGCCTTAAACCCCAATTGTATTATTGCAGTGCCGCCTTATAAAATAAAAATAATAATAAATAATATTTAAGCAACATATATATTTGATGAATATACATCAAAATTTGTTTTTGATTGGAAGCTTATAAAGACAATAAATACAAATACTCTATATTATACAAGTGCATTCAATAGAAATTATCATTGAAATGCAGGAAAAATATATATAAAACTATTCTTCTTCGCAAGCACAATCTTCTTCTCCACCTTCTTCCTCATCATTTCCATATCTACAGAGGCATCCTCCTTCTTCCTCTTCTTCATTTTCTGCCTCTGAATCAGTTTCTATTTCCATAATTTTTGTCATCCAGTCTGGATCATCTTTAATGTCATCGTATGTTAGTCTTTGAACGTTTCGACTTGGTTCTTTATCTTCTGCTTCATCCATACCGAAATCGAAATCTCCGGAAGAAACTTCAGCTTCAGGCTGCTCTTGTAATTCATCTGGGCCATCTGTTGGACATGGAATTCCTACGGCTGCATATGTTGATTCTTCTAATCTCGCGTATTGAATGAAACATTCAAAAAGCCATTTCAAGTAAATCACGTAAACTCCATTGTATTTCAGAGCTTTTTGAACTTCCTCGTCTGCACCACCTTCTCCTACTATTATATGTGTTGTATATGGTGTAAATGAGTCAACAACTAATGCTCCAAATTCTTCTGCAAGATAAGTGAAGGATCTGGCGTCTGCATCTGAAAGACCAGAGAAATAAAATGTTTTTCCTTCAAAAACTTGGGCTTTCCGTTGATGAAGAGTCATAATTACATGGGATTGTTCTGGATCGTAGTTTTTGTAGAACAAATCGTGAACTTCGATAAGAACTGATCGCATCTGGATCAATATATCATCTTCAACGTAATCAGGATTAACTGTAGGAGGAAAATTCGGACCTTGTCTCGTAAAGTATGAATAACGCTTGATTTGAACGAGTCCTTTAAACAGTTTATTGTCATCACAGTACCAGACTTCAGGAGAATCGTCAAGAACTAAAACTAATTTATCTGAATATGGAAATAGTTTTTTAATGTTCTTTTTATGAACAATATCTGTTCTGTTTCGCATTGCTTCTTCGCGAAGCATTGCAAAATCTTCTGCTGTACGTGAGAAAATTCGATTCTTAAATAATTTGTCGTCTGGATCAATTTTACTTAATATTGCATGAGCGTATGAAGGTAATGCGAGTGTGTATATCTGCAGGTCGAAATATGGAGCAATTGATGCTAAAAATTCCCTAACATGTGGGCGGTAACGAATAAGTAAGTTTTGATTCATATTGAATTCAAAGAAGTCATCTTCTGTTGCATGAGGGTCTAGTTTTTTAATTGCTTCGACTTCACTATGATCGCGGACTTCTGTTGTATCGATAAGTGTCTTATCCAAGTCAATAACAAGAGATAATTTCTTAGCGTCTATAAGCCTCTGTTCTTCTTGAAGATTTCTGTTCCTTGCTTCTTCAAATGAAATCATAACAACTGAAGAATTTGGATCTGCGCGAACATAATTCTTGTCAAGATATGTCTGATCCATTGGTTTACCGCATTGCACGCAAGAATAGTTAATAACAACGGAGTGTTTGCATTCTTCGCTTGACATAATTTTTTTTTTAGACAGAAATTTTGGTAGTAATCTCTGTACTCAGAGTAATGATTTTGCTTTGCGAAAAAATACTGCATGTGCCATTGTTGGGGTTTTTATTTTTGACCTGAAAATTATTAAAAGTGAGAATCAAAATTCAAGCAACAATAAATTTAATAAAATGTAATATAAATTGTTTGATTGTACTGTATTTTTAGATATGTTGTTTGGGTAAAATGCAATTTATAAATATAAAATATAATTGAAAAAAATTTAACAAGTATTATAAAAGAAATTGATAAAGTTTTGGTTGATATGATAATATTAAATTAATTTGTCTGATTTAAGGGTGCACACGAGAGGATCATGTAAACTTCAGAATTTAGAACCTTATTTTTAGGCATCATCTTGGCTACCTATTTAGGCTCGAAAAGCAAAAAATATCAAAAAATACAACTTGACTCCATTATGACCCTTTCATGGAGGTAGTTTTTATCCGCTAGTATTTTCCCTTTGAATCTCTTTCCAATTCGAAATCAAATTCAAACCTCAGTAGAAGAAAGGAAGAATCGACTTACTACGGTTGTAATACGAATAAATACATATATTTAATTATTTTTATTTACATAATAATTGTTTGAAGCTCATATTCCATCAAATTTTTAAATAAAAACATTAAAATGTTGAAAATGTTCATATATTTTAATAGGGTTTTGGCACTTTATTGAGGAATTACTACATACATAGTCGAACTGAACTTGATATTTTGAAATTTAAATTATTTATCAAAATTAAAATTTAACTTGAAATTTATAATTATTTAGTCATATTTTGCATAATTCTAAGTAGATTTTGTAAAAAATCAAGAAAGAAAAATTTTAACGTGCTTTATTTTTTCTTTTTTATAATAATACATATTATTATATAATTAACATATTCATAATGTTTCACCCTTTCAAAAATATAATCCTCCTGCTCTCAAATAAACGTACATACGGGTGGCCTCTTTTTTCAAAAAATTAAAATTTGAAATTTTGGGCTCAAATATTAGAGATTTTTTCAACCTTCAACGATATATGTTGTCTATATCAGACCTCCTTTCTTTTTGATACTTAACATTGTTCCTAAATCTTAGCCGTTAAGGCTGTTCTGAAAATATTTTTTTTTCGAAAAAATTCGAAAAAAATTCTTAAAATTCAAAAATCCCTTAATTCCTGAGGATTTTGGAAAAAAGTTTTTACATGAACATGTGTATATTATATGAAGTATATTGATAAGGTAAAAATCAAATTTTATTGCATATTCATCGAGAAAATAAACTAACGAATCCCTCAAAATTGAGAGGGTAATCCTCCTCCTCTCAAATAAACGTACATACGGGTGCACCCTTAAAATCGCGTAAAAACAGCTTGATTTATTATTAAAGCTAAAATTAATAAAATAATAGAATATTTTAGTTCTGAAAGGAGTTAAAATAACCTAAGAAATAAGCAATTTTGATTACTTATCATTTTCGATCCTTAGTTTAAAGTTAAGATTCCTATAGCTAATTCTAGGAGCACTCATGATATTGAGCTTTTTCTCAGGCTAGAAATGGTAAATGCCAACTTTCATTCAAAATACTGAATAAAATTGTATAATGCATCATAAAATACTGTAGATTACATGTAAAAAGATCAATTCTACTTTAAAATATAGAAAATTTCTCATTTTTCAAAATTGGATGGATCCAATATCATTTAATTTTTAACTAATTGTCTGAATAAAGATGCACAACAAACATAAGATAATGTCCAATACTTGATGACCTCAATCATCATAACATTCGCTCAATTTTGTAATTATCTAAAAGAAAATCAAATATTTCATTGATTTTATTAATAAACATTAATAAGTGAATCATATTCTTAACTTAAATAAAGGAGGAGATGGTTCAGCTAAAACCGTTATTTTAAATTGTACGATAAGGTTTTGAAATTAAGGTCATATTTGACTATAATACAAATAAACAATGCATTAAGAAGAGAAATAAAGTGGCCAAACGATACTTTCAGAATTTTATTAATAAAATTTATTTTAACAAAAGTGAATTGTATCAAAATTCCTCCCACACTGTTATGATAAAATAAAATTTTTCTTCACAAATTTTGAATGGTTGAAGCTAAATATCGTTCTAATTTGAATAAGCAACAACTCGTGCCAATTTTACGTTGAAGAATATAATGCCCTAATTAATAAATATATGTAGAATATGCGATTTAAATGCCATGCAAACACTTAACGTTTGAAAGGCCTTTTCAAAATTTTGAGTATATTTGGGTTAAATTTTATCACAATTTTCTTTGATGCTGGAAAGCGAACAGCACGATGATGATTATCTCCTTGGAGGTCGTCCTCCATTGGTCACCATCTTAATAATGTCGTTAGGACCCTTAGTTTCCCAAATAGTTCACGCCGCTGCTAATGTTGTTGGATCCATTTTGGTTGCTAAGTCAATTGGACAAGTTGGTGTAGAAGTTTTTGGAGCTATTTTCGTCGTTGAGTTCTTTGCTGTTGCAATTGCTCACTTCCTTTCGGCTGGACTTTCAGTCCGATTGAGTTATCTTTATGGAGCTCAGCAAATGGAGAACTGCGATCAGCTATTTGTAGATTTCATACGTATCAGTATTATGTTCGGAATATTTGTTCCATGCTTGATTCTCCCGATTACAAAAACAATGGTAGAATGGTTCGGAGCAGATAAGTTAACAGCCGAAATGTCATTGGAATACATGATACCAATTACTGGTGGCTGCGTGTTTAATATTATCTTTTTTGTTGCTTCAGGTGTTGTTCAGGCTGATGGTAGATCAGTTGAATATGCAGTTTATCAAGTTGTTTCTTTGGTTTTAAACATTGGTATTTTCGCGCCAGTTTTTCTTCTAGCTATCAAAACTCCAATATGGGGAGCTTCCTTAGCAACAATTCTTTCTGAAGCTATTCCAGGAATAATCGTAACTGTAAGAACTTTCCAAGGAAAGTATAGAATCACTCCAAAATTTAATATGTTCTTCAAATGCTTTACTCCAGAAACAAAGCATGCACTTAATATAGGTTTATCAACTCTTATCTCTCAAATCTCACTCAACTTACCTTTCTTGATTATGCAGAAATATGTCAATAATGCTGCTATAGCAATCAATGAATACGGTAACTCAGTAGCTGTTTGGGCTGTTGTTGAAAAGCTTTATCTAATTGTTGGTGGCGTATGCATCGGCTTTTCAAATGGTTTCCTGAATCCAGGCTCTTATGCATATGGTGCAAAGAATATTAAAAGAATGTGCAGATTGGTAGTTCATGGATTATGGTTATGCACTTTTACATGCGCTATTATATCTATATTCATCATTGCTATGCCTGTTCAAATTTCACTTTTGTGGTCAGATAATGAAACATTCTTAGAGATGTCAAAGGGAATTACACCAATTCTTTATTATACAGCTTTCACTTTAGGTGTACAGTATATGGTTCCTGTTCTTTTGCAAGCAACAAAGAAGATTATGGCTTCTTCTGTATTGTCAGTTTTAACATTAGTTTTGCCAGTTCCTGTTTTCAGTACTTTCCTTTATTTCACAGGAGATGGAAAGAGAAATCCAAAGAGAATATTCTATGCTTACACATGCAATGATTTGTACTCACTCATTGTTTGCATACTTTTCGCGATTAAGCCTATTAGAATGATGTATAAGGCAATCAAACATGGAATTATGGAAGAAGATGAAGAGAAGAAATCAGAGAAGCCACCTTCAGAAGACAATCTCTCTATTGATAATACAGATTCCATGGATGAACAAGATAGAGCTGCGGATGAATTGTAAAATTATTCAAATCTTTATAGTTATAAATGGAATTTATTTTATTTAAATATATCGATTTTTTTTCAAGTGCAATGTATGTTGTAAACAGAAATTCATCAAAAGTGACACCTCAGAAAAACTAAAATATTGAATTTTTGGAACTTTTGATAGAGCACGTTTTTAAATATTAATTAAAGTAAATGTATATTATGTAAAGATTCTTTTTAATAAAAAAATAAAATTTTGAAGAAGAACACAAAATCTTCTGAAAAATAATATCACATAAACTCATATTATTTTCTAATATATAACTATTTTATATAAAAATCAAATTCAATGATCTTAAAAGCGAAGGATAAACCTCAAAATTTACGAATATAATGAGTGGGAATATAATGCTTATCTATCATAAAACCATATGAAATATCAATTTTTGCTTTACGCCTAATTTTTGACGACAATTAGCAAAAAATGTTAAATGTTAACACTCAATCCGTTTGAATATGAAAAATTAAATTGACTTTGATTAAATGTTTTTATTTATCATGCAATTCTTCTTGCGACCAAAGATTTGAATAAAAGTTCAAAAAAATAAGATAGCTTAAAAAATAATATACGGTAGTGTTTACTAATAGATGAATAGTATATAAATTCTATTAAAATGGATTTGATCCAAAAAAATATATAAAATTTGATCATAAATAAAATCGTTTTAAATTACTTCTTCATTTAAATTATAACAATTATTTTTGGTTTTATATATTTTTGGGATCAAATTCATTTTAATAGAATTTATATACTATTCATCTATTAGTAAACACTACCGTATATTATTTTTTAAGCTATCTTATTTTTTGAACTTTTATTCAAATCTTTGGTCGCAAGAAGAATTGCATGATAAATAAAAACATTTAATCAAAGTCAATTTTATTTTTCATATTCAAATGGACTGAGTGTTAACATTTAACATTTTTTGCTAATTGTCGTCAAAAATTAGGCGTAAAGCAAAAATTGATATTTCATATGGTTTTATGATAGATAAGCATTATATTCCCACTCATTATATTCGTAAATTTTGAGGTTTATCCTTCGCTTTTAAGATCATTGAATTTGATTTTTATATAAAATAGTTATATATTAGAAAATAATATGAGTTTATGTGATATTATTTTTCAGAAGATTTCATTCTATATGCCTATGAAAAGTACTCTCAAAACTAACTTTTTCCTAATTATAATTAAATCTAGAATATTGTATTATGCTTAGTATTATTTCATTTTTCTCATTCAATTTAGAATTTACAAATGTCAAAAAATTGAGAGCTGTCACTTTTGATGAATTTCTGTTTATTACACAATGTAAACATATATAAATATCATTTACAAGTTGAAATTGAGTATGATTGAATTTCTTTTGGAAATTATGAAATTTGAAAGTAACAAATTGAAAATTTATGCGATTATATAGAAACTTTAAAAGCCTTTCTTCGAATACGTCAAATTGTTGACGAGAAATTCAAGAAATATTTAGACAAAGTGATTAAATCTATTACATAAACGAATCATATTACAAGAATAATAGATTTATTGGATTATTTGTAAGATTTATAAGACTTCATTTTGTCACTTTTTCTACCTGAAATCAAATGTTTCTTGTATTTTTATTCACAATCTTAGCTGATTCTCGCAGATTAGAATCATTGGTTCAAAAGTACAAAGAGCAAGTTGCAAAAGACAGAACTATTGATAAAGAAGAAGAGGCCATTCTTTGGGCTTTGGCCGAATTTGGTCAGCAATTAGATAAGACAGTCACAGGAGAAGAAGTTTCCACAGAAATTGGAGATAGGCTAAATCAAATTCTCGAAAGAGTAGACATCACAGACGCTTTGCTAAGAAAAGATTTTAATGAAATGAAATTCGAATTCAATCAGGCCAAAGAACAGATACGCAACTTAGTTGAGAGCTCAAAATTCCAAATTATGGATGAAATGGAAGCATTTAGGGACAAATTAACTATTGCTTTACAACAACTTGTTGATGCAAACAAAGAAGTTCAAAACAGGTCTGGCTCGAAAGTCAGTATTACAGCTAAGCACGTAGTTCAAAAATTACGAAACAAAGCAATTCGCCGTTCTTTGATTTTCTTTGTTGCATTCCAAGTTTTGCTTGCTTGTGGCGTAATATTCTACAAGAAGTTAGAAAGGCAATTAAGAATGCTTCTTTAATATATTTTTTTTTGTTTTCATATTTTATAAAAATCAGCTGTAATATTGTAAGAAATGCATAATATCGTTCATTTTGCTATCAATACGTGTAACATACCAACATATCGGAAAATAAATATTTTGAAAATTCTTTAATAAATTCATAAATGACTTTCTTTTAGAAAAAATGTTGCATGCTAAGTTCGGTCAACGATAGAAATTGAGTTGAAATTAATCGTCGAGGAAGTACGATTATGTAAAGTAAAAGATGTTGTGGGATTTTTAATATTATATATTATTTTATAATAAATTTTTTTGAGTCATTTTAAGAAGCACATATAATTTTTTGAATTTAAAAATTAAAGTAGTGTCAAACGAATTTATCACTTAATTTAATACTCAGATTTCTTAAAATTAATGAAAAAAGGTTTTCTGAGAACTTTTGAGAATGGTTTTCAAATTCCATTATTGAAAATATATAGGTATTGTATGAAATTCAAACTCTATATTTATTAAAATTCTAAATTTTTAATAAAATAACTTTTCAGAGGAATATGATTTTGAATGGTTGATTAATAAGTATAAAAATGTCTACGATTTTAAGGAGGAATTGTTCCTTATGAGGTATACATCATAATTATATACCTCATAAGGAACAATTCCCTCTTGATAGCTGGGAAACTTTCTCTGAATAACTTATCATTTGGAGAAAGTTTCCCAGCTATCTATTAGGAACTAAAGGCTGTGAGGCACTAATATATAATCAGTGCCTCATAGCCTTTAGTTTCTTATTAAAAACGAGAAAACTTGTTCGAAATGATAAACAATTTCGAACAAGTTTTCTCATTTTAAGGAGGGAATTGTTCCTTATGAGGTATACATCATAACTATATACCTCATAAGGAACAATTCCCTCTTGATATCCTGGATATTTTTGAATATATTTTTTTAATTAAAGTTCTCAAAAGTATTATCAAAAGTGATTTTTTAAAAATATCTCCAATTAATTAACTAATTAAAAGTATTATATTTTTAAAATTAAATGGTTTTTCAATTTTTTTGAAGGAATTGAGATACTTCCCACGACAATAAAATTGAGAGGTTTACATTATGACTGATCTTAGCATGCAACAAAAACTCATCTAGAAAATAAATGCCTATATGAATATTAAACAAATTTCATAAATTGTATATACAAAATCTCTGTGGCGATTATTTTCCACAAGTATAGCATGGTTTTTTTTCATAATGAGTGAAAAGAATATTTAGGGATTTAGAGATCCTTATTATCATTGGTAAAATTTTTAATGTCCGTTCACGACGAGAATACACATCGATATAGTGAACTGAGGAGCAAGTTCAAGTGCTACATTGATACATATAATGCATTGTATCAGCTAAAAACGAAAAATAAAGACGATTTGCACTCGATTTACAAAATGATAAAGACAGAGTTGATTGATTCAAAGAAATGTCTACCTCAAATACTTATAAAAGACATTTTAAACATCATTCCATTTAATACTCGATATACAAATTCATACTTGAAACTTGCGAAACTCATCTATGATGAATATCAAATAGAAGAGGTATATGATATTAGCTCTTCAAGCCTTAGCATGTTTTATTATAAATATGATATTAAATTACAAAATGAAGACTACGATTATGGGGATTTTTTATTTTATCTTCTGCTTCATTCAGAAAATTCAATTTTCAGATTAATTATGGATGACAACCTAGAGCAATTCATTTCATTCACTGAAAGAGCAGGATTTGATAAAGATCAACGATTTGAATTCTATTTACAGGAATTTTCCGGTCACTTCTTTTCGTTACTTGAATTATGTTGTTACTATGGATCAGTTCGTTGTTTCAAGTTTTTAAGAACAAAATTTAACTCAGAAATATCTTACAGATGTCTCAAATTTTCATTTTTAGGCGGAAATCAAGAGATTATGAGTGAATGCCTGAAATATAATGAACCATATGGAGATATCATGAAATATGCAATTATTTCACACAACATTGATTTTGTTACATTCTTGATGAATGAATACAATATATCTATTGATTTAGAATGTTGCGTTGAATACAATAATCTTGAATCATTTTTAGTTGCTTTTGATCAAAATTTTTCATTGAATCATATTGACGAATGCTTTTATTATTCAACAACGTTTAACATTCCACCACTTTGGGAATATTTCCTTTCACTTGGTGCAAATATCAATGCAAAATTTGAAGATGGATTTACGGCACTTTATAATGCTTCAAGAAACGATGAAAAAGAAACAGTAGAATTTCTACTTTCACATGGTGCAAATCCAGATGAAGAAGATTTAATTGGAGATACTGCTCTTCTTTATGCTATTTATCTTGAAAACAAAGAGATTATCGAACTCCTTCTTTTACATGGTGCAGATGTAAAACAAAATAGATCTAATAAATTACCACTTCATCGTGCAGCATCACAAAGTACTAAAGAAATTGTCGAACTTATTATTTCATATGGTGCAAATGTCAATGTAAAAGATAATTATAAACAAACAGCTCTTCGTTGTGCAATGTATAATAAGAATATAAAAGAAATAGTTGAAATTCTTCTTTCACATGGTGCAAATGTCAATGAATAAAATGAAGATGGAAATACTGTTCTTCACATTGCCGCAAAAGATAATAATAAAGAAATAGTTGAACTCCTTCTTTCACATGGTGCAAATGTCAATGAAAAAGATGAAGATGGAAGGACTGCTCTTCAGATTGCTAAAGATAAAAACAATAAAAAAGTAATTCAACTTCTTCTTGCTCATGTTAACAATTGACTGACGTTTACTAAATTTCACTTAATTTGTCACTAGCTGTACGAACAAGTCTATATGGGTACATATTGCTAGAGTTTCCTCTGAAGTTCATCAGATTTTCTTCATACTACACATTTAGTATATATGGTCTATATACAATCTATGTTCTTGAGAATATGGTCAAATTCTGGTTATCTTTAATTTTTTTCTGAATAAAGGTGACAAATCTTGACCAATTATCGAAAAAAATTTTCCGATTATTTTTTTCTCAAAAAATTTTTCTCCCCAAAAAAAGAAAAGTAAAAAACACTTCATTTTTTATTAATATCATGTCTACGAATAATGATTTTCTTTTCTGGGGTATAACCCGTGAACAATTCCTTCAGGAAGCTAAATCCAGGACGGACAATCTCCCAAATGTTCTAAAAGGTGGAGATCGACGTGAAATCATGAATGAACTGGAGTGGTTCAGTTCCGTATTGGATGGCGAGTTAAAATTCATGCTTAAAGAGTGCGCACCGCAGATTTTTATCACTCTTTACAATTATTTAACAACTCCTCCTTATGCGAAGTTTGTTTTGATTCCACAGGTAACAGACATCATGCGTATAATCTACACGACCAAAGAAATTCGCCCAACCAACATAACTTTGTCTTTGGATCAGCTTTTTCAAGCATTTAAATATAACAAGCGAAATAAAGCCAAATACTTCAATTTTGGGTTCCTCAACCACTACTTTAGTGATGAAGATAATGAAAAGCTCCTTGAAAAGTACTTACATCGCCTTGGAGAAGCAGATGATGTTCGTGATTTTGGAACTTTGTTCAGCTTGCTTCATCCGAAGTTTTTACCCCGCGTGATCGATTTCTTGATGAATATACTCAGAAATAGGTCGAATATGCACGATGTTACCATTGCTTGCAAATATCTTTCAATTTGTGCAACATACAATGAATTAGACTTCGATTTCAAGCCATACATCAATGACTTATTCAATGTCTTATACGCATCATTAGGATTCGGCTTTAATATCCTTGATAATGAATATGTTATTGATTTTTCTCCATCTTTCAACAAAGACGACCTACTACTTGGTAAATACGAAGACCATGCATTCAATTCAATTGCCGTGATACTTGCATCTCTTTTACAGAAGACAGAAACCGGATATTTAATTTTAGAAAAATTTAGATACCTGATGCCTATTCTTATTAGGTTCGTATCATCCAAGTGTTACCAGATATCCCAATTCGTCGCCAGATTCATCTTTGCAATGCCAATTTGTTATAAATTCCACAATTTAGATCCAGAATTAGCTTCTGAGGTTATCGATATATTCATTCCAACTATGACTCATATCTTATTCTCAGGAACATCGAAAACCCAAGCATCTCAGATTATCCGAAATCTCGACGACGCCGCATCGTTTAACTACAAAGCTATACGCGATAATTTCATTTACTTTGCAATCGATCATATGTTCGATTCAGAATATTCAATTCTTGCTCAAAAATGCAACAATATTTTATTTGATCTGATTCCTTTAATTTTTTCGAAAGAACATATCGAAGATTACTACAACGTCATACCACAGATATTCGCTAACATCGAAAGTCTTCTCGCTTGCGACATTAAACCAGAACCATCATCTACAGGCCGCCACATGCTTTCTATCATCTGTTCGTGCATATCTAAGAAGACAATATCAAGAGACGATATCGTTTACTCTACAATTTGTGACAAAGCTGTCACTTTTGCATCTCTTTTCATTACAACCATTTCTACGGTTAATGCGATCACGAAAACTATCAAGAAGCTTAGTTTGAGTATCGTACACAAGACAGATCCATTCTTCAGCGTTCTTCCTGAAGATGTTATCAAAGATATGCTGGAAATGGTCTCTACGAAGCTCACAAACGACCATGAGTTAAACGCAACGATCATTGTACTCAACTCCATCGCCAGACTCTATCCAGAAATAACTTTGCCGTACATTATTCCAAAATTAAAAGATTTGATCAAATCTAATGCTTACAATGAGCCATACTACTCATTGGTCATCAGCCTCGTATCGAATTCCACAAAGATGAAGCCTTATATCGATGATATCCTCGATTTCGCTTTCAATGCCATAGAAACTAACGATGAAAACGTGGCCAAACAGGGTCTTTCAATTTTGTATGCCTTCACATACTTCAAATTCCCATGTATTTCGGACTTTGACATGTTAAATCCAGATGATTCCGAAGAAGGACTCGGAAAACTCTACAAATACAACAAAGTCAAGTTGCAATGGGAAGATTACGACCCATCTATCTACTCAAAGGTCTGCAATCGTATTTGCGACTGCCTTGAAAAGAGAATTTTATCATTTGACGAAGACAAAGATGAAGCCAAGGGCGTAACCATTACCATGATCAATTTCATCAAAGTTCCCCACCAAATCAGCCTTCCTTATATACAAACTCCACTCGAAATGCCAGATGGAGAAAAAAGATTAGTCAAAGTCATGATAAATTCCATCAAGACTTTATTAGGTAAAGAGATAATCCAAACCAACATGCATTATCTCGTTGATTTGCTTTCCGGATTGAATTTGATTTCTGATCAAAGACTTGCTTCAGCTTATTACATCGATAAGTCTAAGAAGTTCGTAACTTTCGCAAGAACTACCAGTATCCAAGTGAAAAAGAACAAAATGAGGATCAGACCCTTCTTTGTCAGAAAGATTTGGCTTCACAACATCATAGAAATGAACAGGAAGCTGTTTCTTCCCGAGGAATACTCCTTACTCGATGAGGAATACCTCAAACTCTCATTCCACAACAGCGCGGACATAAGAAAGAGAGCACAGGAGTTAGTTCTCAATACTTCAAGAGAAGACAAAAATTACATTCAAAAAATTTTGGAAAATTCTTTGTCAAAACTGACAGATAAAACGGTTTTGACATCAAGAATTGACTTAATTGCCAATCTGACATTGATCAACAATGCTATGACATTTAAGCCATTGTACAATGTCCCTGAATACGTGATGAAACTGGTAGATTTCTATTTGACATTCCAGCCAGATCCAAGTTGGAAATTTTCTCAATTTGACATCGTTCAGTCAAAAATTGACATAGCGGTTATTGATTACAACAACCAGTCATCGTATACCGAATTATACGACAAGCTTCCAAAATACGAGAACGACCAGAACAGATCAAGATTCATCTGGTTGCTGGATTCTTTTATCGACAGACAAGCGACTGTTCCTGATTTCATTGTGAAGAGAATCATGGAAATGGCAGTGACACCAACAGAATCTACGTATTCCCTTGCGAAAAAGGGCCTCAAAACACTCTTGAGAAGAATTAACCTCAAACCGAAAATAATCAGACAAACAGAAAAACCAGAATTCATCGACAAAAGAGAAACTGCCATTTTCTGCCAACCGAAATTTTACAAAGTTTACGACACTTCAAATTTGAAAGTCGATGACGAAAGACTCCAAAAAGTTGCCGATTTCGTGAAGTCCCAAATCACTCCTGATTACATGGAGAAATACATCAGAGCACTCATTTTGTTCCAGGATGAAAATTCGAAGCCAGATTTGAGTGATTTCTCTTATTTCGTTCAATATTCTGACGAATCTGTCATTGACAGATTGTCACTTTTACTCGATGAATTTTTGACAGTTGACAACACTATTTCTTCAAGAGTTGCTATTGATTACTGCTTGAGTTATGTTGAGAAAACACCGAGATTACCAAAGAACATTTCTCAGAAAATTTACGAGAAATTATTCACGCCGATAATCAAATTCCTTTTGGACGAAAAGTGTCAAAATACAGGTCCAATTTTGACAAATTTGTCAAGAATTTTCAGAAGAGTTTCATGTGCTCGATTTCCATTTATTTTCGATATCATGTCCGAATATCTTAAGAAGGATTCATGGCAAACTAAAGGACTTGTCAGTGCATTACTTCTCAAGATGACACAGAGGTCTCATTATTCTGTTTTCCCTCTGATTCAGAAATTCTTGTTGGAGAAATATTTGCCAATTTTACAAGATTTAGAAAAAGTATCAGTTACAGGCTTGCATTATCCATTGATTCTTCGCTACATCTGTGAATTCAAACTCACAGGACATGGCCAAGAAGGCGATGCTCTCTTGGACTATTTCTTCAACGAGTTGTTCGATAAATGGGAAATGTGTGACAAATCACTGAAATCTGTTGAACTGATGATTTTTAATTCACCGATAATTCTGGGCAAATCTCTTGGAAAATACGTATTCCCTAGATTCGAAAGACTCTTACAGTTCATCGATGCAGACATCAAGGCATCGAGCAAAGACTTGGAATTGAAAATCATGTTGCTTTCAAGTGCAGAATTTTCAATTGATGTCATTCCGATTGAATTCTTTGAGAACATTTATAAACTTATCCCATCAATGAACTGGAAGAAGAGGGAGATCTGCTGCGGATACGCGAAACTTCTTATCATGCAGCACATCTTCACAATTCCAAAAGAAATGTTGAAATATATTTCTGAAATTTATGTCAAACCTTTCTTGACAGATGTAAATGAAAAAGTTCGTGCAGCAGGAATTGATTTATTATGTGTTTGTTTGATGTTGACATGCAATGATCCAAAGGAACTCGATGAGTTTGCAGCGAATGTTATCCAGGAAATGAGAAACACGAAGAAGGAAGGCTCATGTGTTGTCAAAGCTGCCGCATTGTTTGGATTCATTTCTATCACTAAGGATGAATATCCAAAGTGGCTTCCAGATCTTTTTGAAGAAGCAGAAATTAAATACCACGACAGACATCAGTTCTCCAGCATGTTGGAAGAATCAGTCAAGAACTTCTGGAAGAGACACCTTTACCATGATTTGCCTGAATTAGAACAATACAGATTCGCATTCTCTAATTCTTATTTCAGTTAAATATTTTTTATTTTTTATATTTCTATTTTATAATAAAAAAATCATATTATTTATTTAATTATTTTTGATTAACGAATCAAGTTTTCTGACTTCTGCACTTTATCATTCAGCATTTGCTAATATATTCTCTTCAATTGCAAATATTCAACCATTGAATTCAGCAGAATCTAATATATTAAGGCTGAAACTTAGTAATACATCAGCGTGTTATAGTGTTATTGTCAAAAATTTCATTTTTCTCATTATAACTCTTTGAAGTAAATTAACTTAAGATATTTCTTCCTGAAGTTGTTCTTACTAAACTACTATGGAAACTCACAGTGTATTACAGTAGATTTTATATAATACACTTTTACAAATCACAAATTGAGCAAAATATGGGGAGATGTAGGAAAAAAAATTGATTTTCTCATTTTTACCGCAGCTATATTTGAAATTATGAATCATTTATCTTCGAAATTGCTTGTGCAAAGTGTAACGTTTAATTGGAAAATCTTGCGTTGTAATGCATGAAAATTCGGTTCACTTCACTTCTGACACTTTACATATCGGATGTATTATCTAAGAATTATATTATAAAATAATAATTTTGTGTTTTATAAGTTTATTTGTATAAATTGATTCAAAAAAATGGAAAGACAAGAAGTGGATCTGCCAAATGAAAATCAGATTTATATTACGGCATATCTTGAATATTCTATTGGCAAAAAGACAGCAGACCAAGTTGCAAAAGATTTGCACATAGGTAGAAAAAAATTATTATTAAAATGGCAAGAACTTGGTTTAAATCCAAAAAAGCTCGGAAGACCAGAAACTCCTCTTAGAACAGATTTGTTACCAACCATTCACGAAATAAAAGCTAAGTACAATCTAGTTATAAAAAAGTTTTAGAGAGTTACATACATGATGACACAGTTTCATTTCACGATATGCTTAAATTATACGAAAAAGAGAATCTTTTCAAATTTCGGCGAGATCCAGAAAAAATTGATGAACATCCAAATCAGTATGTTTCCCAATACGTAAATCAGCAATGGCATACTGATTTAAAAAGCTTCAAAGAAGAGACAAATGGTACCAAGCATACTTATCATTTAATTGCCTTTATCGATGACAGATCTCGTTTTTGTATTTATTACGAAATTCTTCCCGATAAAACAATGAAATCAACTTCAAAAGCTTTACAAAATGCTATCGACTCTATCAAAATTATTCCATACGAACTTTTGACAGATAATGGATGCGAATTTACAGGAAAGGACTTCAAAAACGTTCTTCAAGTAAATGGCATTCAACACCATCGGACAGAACCTTACACACCACACAGTTAAATGGTAAAATAGAACGTTTTTGGCAAACAATCTTTTCGGCTCGCCCAGATTTTATCGAAATAAGAGAATTTACCTCACGCAATAGAAGAATACAACACAGTATGGGTTCATACAGCTCTTAAAGATCTTTTCGGTGGAAAACCTACTCCAAAATCAATTTGGGACCAGGGTCCTAAATGGACAAAGGACTTAAACCAAATCCTGAGTTCGAAATACAGCCTCGTAACTAAAAATAAAGTAAAAATACGAATAAACATTTTATTATAATTTAAATAATTTTTTTATTCATAAAGTAATACGATATATAAAGCTATGTAAGGATATTCTGATGCTGAGAGTTTAAGAACTTTAAATTACGTATAGAAAAAAAATTCATTTAATATTTTGTAACATTTTTTAATTGATAGATAGTTAGATTTTGTAGGGGAAGGTAAGATTCTTTGTGGTAATAATGGTCGTTGAAATTAAAATGAATGTAAGATTTGTGGAGAAATTGTATAAATTTGCATAGTGTTAGATTCAGAATAGGAGCATATGAGCCAGTGATTGTGTCTAATGTTTTTAAGGTGCTAATTGGAAGTAGAAAAGAAAAAAATTTGTTGCAATAACATCATATTGCAAAAAAGTTTTTAAAATATGATGTATGAATAAGAGTATGATTGGTATAGATTTGGGTTGTATAAATGTGATTGAACAATTGTTAATGGAAAGTTCAAAAACTTGGGTGCAATCAGAACTGATTGCACCCAAGTTTTTGAACTTTGTATAAGGAATTGTTGGCTATGATGTACTGATTCATGATCAGTACATCATAGCCAACAATTCCTTCGCAAACAGCGGGAAACTTTGTCTGAATAGTTTAACATTCAGACAAAGTTTCCCGCTGTTTGCGAAGGAATGGAAGGGTAAGAGGTATACATTATGAATATATACCTCTTACCCTTCCATTCCCTCGAGAAAGTTCAAAAACTTGGGTGCAATCAGAACTGATTGCACCCAAGTTTTTGAACTTTGTATAAGGAATTGTTGGCTATGATGTACTGATCATGAATCAGTACATCATAGCCAACAATTCCTTCCCAAACAACCCGAAATTTGTCTGATTCCACACTAATTTTATTAATTTATCTAAACTTTTATCCTCGTCTACAATTTAATCATCAATAATTATCTCTTGTTCTATTTCACTATTATATATATATATTTTATATGATTTGATTTAAAAAAATAAATAAATAAATTAATAAATCATTTACTCAAATATATCAAAAGTTTTATTTTTATATATAAAGATAACTACTTTTAAAAAAAAATACCCTATATATTTTTGCCATGTAAACTATTTTTGCCATGTAAACTTGTCACTTTTGTCAGAAGTGAAGTGAACCGAATTTTCATGCACAAAAGGAAAATCTTGCGTTGGTAGAGGATAAGAAATGTATTTAATGACATCAATAGTTTCTGTATCTGTAATTTGAGTTGAACCTTCAAAATGAACATAAACAGACTCTTCTCCGAAAAAGTCTTTACATGATTTTCTTAAAATTGTTTCACTTGTAATATATAAATTACTTCTTTTTCGAAATGCATTTTTTGGACCTTGATAAACATTAAATCTGCCTTTAATATAAATATTCATTCGATTTGGAATATCGGAAAAAGCAGTGGATGAAATTCTGATTGAAGTTATATTGTTTTGGAATGTAATACTTGTTAGAGACTCACAATTTCCAAATGCTTTATCTCCAATATAACTTACATACCCTAGAATTGTTATACTTATTAATGATGTGCATTCATAAAATACTTCATTATTAATTTTGGCTATCTTCAAAGGAATTGTAATACTGCTTAAAGACTTGCATGATTTAAATACGCCAACTCCAATTGTGTTTACACTATCTGGAATTGTAATACTTGTTAACGATTGGCATGAGTAAAATGCATAATTTTGAATAGTTGTTATTCTATCTGAAAATGTAATATTTGTTAATGATATGCAATATTGAAATGTATAAGACTTAATTTCATTTATTATTCCGAGAAATGTAATATTTATCAAATTTGAACAAGAAGAAAATGCATAATCTAAAACATCATTTACATTTTGCGGAATTATTATACTTATTAATGATTTACAAAATTTAAATGCATATGCACCAATAATTTTTGTACTATCTGGAATTTTAATACTTCTTAAAGATGAACAATTTTGAAATGTACCGGATTGAATTATTTCTATGTTTCCTGGCATTTTAATACTTGTCAAAGAATCACAATATGAAAATGCATCCTTTCCAATTTCTTTGACTTTATCATCAATTTGAATTGACAAAATTTTTGTACAATAAGAAAAGCATTCTTCTGAAATAGTTGTAACATAACTCGCAACAGTATATGCGCCGGAATATGCTTCAACAACTTTAATTAATGTTGAATTATCTGTTCTTGTATAAAGAGATTTAGTATCACTTGTAAAATTTGCATTTTCTTGATCAACTGTTATATTTTCTAAATTTTGACAGCATAAAAATACCGAAGAACCGATATCTGTTACATTTTTTGGAATGAAAATTGAAGTAAGATTTGTGCTTTTAAAGCATTCTTGATTTAATTTTTGTAAGCTAGAATTCGATGAAATATTTATTATTGTTAAGCCACTAAAGTAAAACGCCAAGCCAGAAATAAGATATACAGAATCCGGTAAATCTAATGATGTTAGATTTGGATCGTAAGAAAAGCAAGATATTCCAATTCTTTCAAGATTTGGTGGAAGTATAACTGTTTTCAAGTTTTTGCAGTTTTCAAAGACATGCGCATTGATAATCTTAAGCACTTTGCATTCACCGAGATCTGCTTTTTCAAGAGCTGTATTCTTAAAACTATATTCTCCAATTTTTGCAATTTGACTATTTTTGTCGAATCTAAGTGATGTTATTGAATCTTTACATTTCTTAAATGCATAATTATCTGGTTTTCCAATTTTTATTTCTGTAACTTGTTGAGGGATGAATACTTCTCCCCTAGAATCTGTTGAACATCCAGTGACAACTTGATTGTTATGTTCATATTCTAGATGTACACCACTAATGCCCGAACAAAAATGATAATAAAAAAACACGAGGAGATTTCTGTAAAAAAATAAACAGTATCGCACTTTTGTGGACAAAATGAAAAACCGATGAATTTTCCCATTTTAATTTGATAATCATAATATATAAGTATTTGTAATGCATGTTTTATCTTCTAATTAGTAAAATTACATTGCCCGCCAAAATCAATTTTTTATTGAAAAAAAGTGGATAATAGGCATTGACTCCAGCTGCAGCATTGTTTGGATTCATTTCTATCACTAAGGATGAATATCCTAAGTGGCTTCCAGATCTTTTTGAAGAAGCAGAAATTAAATACCACGACAGACATCAGTTCTCCAGCATGTTGGAAGAATCAGTCAAGAACTTCTGGAAGAGACACCTTTACCATGATTTGCCTGAATTAGAACAATACAGATTCGCATTCTCTAATTCTTATTTCAGTTAAATATTTTTTATTTTTTATATTTCTATTTTATAATAAAAAAATCATATTATTTATTTAATTATTTTTGATTAACGAATCAAGTTTTCTGACTTCTGCACTTTATCATTCAGCATTTGCTAATATATTCTCTTCAATTGCAAATATTCAACCATTGAATTCAGCAGAATCTAATATATTAAGGCTGAAACTTAGTAATACATCAGCGTGTTATAGTGTTATTGTCAAAAATTTCATTTTTCTCATTATAACTCTTTGAAGTAAATTAACTTAAGATATTTCTTCCTGAAGTTGTTCTTACTAAACTACTATGGAAACTCACAGTGTATTACAGTAGATTTTATATAATACACTTTTACAAATCACAAATTGAGCAAAATATGGGGAGATGTAGGAAAAAAATTGATTTTCTCATTTTTACCGCAGCTATATTTGAAATTATGAATCATTTATCTTCGAAATTGCTTGTGCAAAGTGTAACGTTTAATTGGAAAATCTTGCGTTGTAATGCATGAAAATTCGGTTCACTTCACTTCTGACACTTTACATATCGGATGTATTATCTAAGAATTATATTATAAAATAATAATTTTGTGTTTTATAAGTTTATTTGTATAAATTGATTCAAAAAAAATGGAAAGACAAGAAGTGGATCTGCCAAATGAAAATCAGATTTATATTACGGCATATCTTGAATATTCTATTGGCAAAAAGACAGCAGACCAAGTTGCAAAAGATTTGCACATAGGTAGAAAAAAATTATTATTAAAATGGCAAGAACTTGGTTTAAATCCAAAAAAGCTCGGAAGACCAGAAACTCCTCTTAGAACAGATTTGTTACCAACCATTCACGAAATAAAAGCTAAGTACAATCTAGGTTATAAAAAAGTTTTAGAGAGTTACATACATGATGACACAGTTTCATTTCACGATATGCTTAAATTATACGAAAAAGAGAATCTTTTCAAATTTCGGCGAGATCCAGAAAAAATTGATGAACATCCAAATCAGTATGTTTCCCAATACGTAAATCAGCAATGGCATACTGATTTAAAAAGCTTCAAAGAAGAGACAAATGGTACCAAGCATACTTATCATTTAATTGCCTTTATCGATGACAGATCTCGTTTTTGTATTTATTACGAAATTCTTCCCGATAAAACAATGAAATCAACTTCAAAAGCTTTACAAAATGCTATCGACTCTATCAAAATTATTCCATACGAACTTTTGACAGATAATGGATGCGAATTTACAGGAAAGGACTTCAAAAACGTTCTTCAAGTAAATGGCATTCAACACCATCGGACAGAACCTTACACACCACAGTTAAATGGTAAAATAGAACGTTTTTGGCAAACAATCTTTTCGGCTCGCCCAGATTTTATCGAAATAAGAGAATTTTTACCTCACGCAATAGAAGAATACAACACAGTATGGGTTCATACAGCTCTTAAAGATCTTTTCGGTGGAAAACCTACTCCAAAATCAATTTGGGACCAGGGTCCTAAATGGACAAAGGACTTAAACCCAAATCCTGAGTTCGAAATACAGCCTCGTAACTAAAAATAAAGTAAAAATACGAATAAACATTTTATTATAATTTAAATAATTTTTTTATTCATAAAGTAATACGATATATAGCTAAGCTATGTAAGGATATTCTGATGCTGAGAGTTTAAGAACTTTAAATTACGTATAGAAAAAAAATTCATTTAATATTTTGTAACATTTTTTAAATTGATAGATAGTTAGATTTTGTAGGGGAAGGTAAGATTCTTTGTGGTAATAATGGTCGTTGAAATTAAAATGAATGTAAGATTTGTGGAGAAATTGTATAAATTTGCATAGTGTTAGATTCAGAATAGGAGCATATGAGCCAGTGATTGTGTCTAATGTTTTTAAGGTGCTAATTGGAAGTAGAAAAGAAAAAAATTTGTTGCAATAACATCATATTGCAAAAAAGTTTTTAAAATATGATGTATGAATAAGAGTATGATTGGTATAGATTTGGGTTGTATAAATGTGATTGAACAATTGTTAATGGAAAGTTCAAAAACTTGGGTGCAATCAGAACTGATTGCACCCAAGTTTTTGAACTTTGTATAAGGAATTGTTGGCTATGATGTACTGATTCATGATCAGTACATCATAGCCAACAATTCCTTCGCAAACAGCGGGAAACTTTGTCTGAATAGTTTAACATTCAGACAAAGTTTCCCGCTGTTTGCGAAGGAATGGAAGGGTAAGAGGTATACATTATGAATATATACCTCTTACCCTTCCATTCCCTCGAGAAAGTTCAAAAACTTGGGTGCAATCAGAACTGATTGCACCCAAGTTTTTGAACTTTGTATAAGGAATTGTTGGCTATGATGTACTGATCATGAATCAGTACATCATAGCCAACAATTCCTTCCCAAACAACCCGAAATTTGTCTGATTCCACACTAATTTTATTAATTTATCTAAACTTTTATCCTCGTCTACAATTTAATCATCAATAATTATCTCTTGTTCTATTTCACTATTATATATATATATTTATATGATTTGATTTAAAAAAATAAATAAATAAATTAATAAATCATTTACTCAAATATATCAAAAGTTTTATTTTTATATATAAAGATAACTACTTTTAAAAAAAAATACCCTATATATTTTTGCCATGTAAACTATTTTTGCCATGTAAACTTGTCACTTTTGTCAGAAGTGAAGTGAACCGAATTTTCATGCACAAAAGGAAAATCTTGCGTTGGTAGAGGATAAGAAATGTATTTAATGACATCAATAGTTTCTGTATCTGTAATTTGAGTTGAACCTTCAAAATGAACATAAACAGACTCTTCTCCGAAAAAGTCTTTACATGATTTTCTTAAAATTGTTTCACTTGTAATATATAAATTACTTCTTTTTCGAAATGCATTTTTTGGACCTTGATAAACATTAAATCTGCCTTTAATATAAATATTCATTCGATTTGGAATATCGGAAAAAGCAGTGGATGAAATTCTGATTGAAGTTATATTGTTTTGGAATGTAATACTTGTTAGAGACTCACAATTTCCAAATGCTTTATCTCCAATATAACTTACATACCCTAGAATTGTTATACTTATTAATGATGTGCATTCATAAAATACTTCATTATTAATTTTGGCTATCTTCAAAGGAATTGTAATACTGCTTAAAGACTTGCATGATTTAAATACGCCAACTCCAATTGTGTTTACACTATCTGGAATTGTAATACTTGTTAACGATTGGCATGAGTAAAATGCATAATTTTGAATAGTTGTTATTCTATCTGAAAATGTAATATTTGTTAATGATATGCAATATTGAAATGTATAAGACTTAATTTCATTTATTATTCCGAGAAATGTAATATTTATCAAATTTGAACAAGAAGAAAATGCATAATCTAAAACATCATTTACATTTTGCGGAATTATTATACTTATTAATGATTTACAAAATTTAAATGCATATGCACCAATAATTTTTGTACTATCTGGAATTTTAATACTTCTTAAAGATGAACAATTTTGAAATGTACCGGATTGAATTATTTCTATGTTTCCTGGCATTTTAATACTTGTCAAAGAATCACAATATGAAAATGCATCCTTTCCAATTTCTTTGACTTTATCATCAATTTGAATTGACAAAATTTTTGTACAATAAGAAAAGCATTCTTCTGAAATAGTTGTAACATAACTCGCAACAGTATATGCGCCGGAATATGCTTCAACAACTTTAATTAATGTTGAATTATCTGTTCTTGTATAAAGAGATTTAGTATCACTTGTAAAATTTGCATTTTCTTGATCAACTGTTATATTTTCTAAATTTTGACAGCATAAAAATACCGAAGAACCGATATCTGTTACATTTTTTGGAATGAAAATTGAAGTAAGATTTGTGCTTTTAAAGCATTCTTGATTTAATTTTTGTAAGCTAGAATTCGATGAAATATTTATTATTGTTAAGCCACTAAAGTAAAACGCCAAGCCAGAAATAAGATATACAGAATCCGGTAAATCTAATGATGTTAGATTTGGATCGTAAGAAAAGCAAGATATTCCAATTCTTTCAAGATTTGGTGGAAGTATAACTGTTTTCAAGTTTTTGCAGTTTTCAAAGACATGCGCATTGATAATCTTAAGCACTTTGCATTCACCGAGATCTGCTTTTTCAAGAGCTGTATTCTTAAAACTATATTCTCCAATTTTTGCAATTTGACTATTTTTGTCGAATCTAAGTGATGTTATTGAATCTTTACATTTCTTAAATGCATAATTATCTGGTTTTCCAATTTTTATTTCTGTAACTTGTTGAGGGATGAATACTTCTCCCCTAGAATCTGTTGAACATCCAGTGACAACTTGATTGTTATGTTCATATTCTAGATGTACACCACTAATGCCCGAACAAAAATGATAATAAAAAAACACGAGGAGATTTCTGTAAAAAAATAAACAGTATCGCACTTTTGTGGACAAAATGAAAAACCGATGAATTTTCCCATTTTAATTTGATAATCATAATATATAAGTATTTGTAATGCATGTTTTATCTTCTAATTAGTAAAATTACATTGCCCGCCAAAATCAATTTTTTATTGAAAAAAAAGTGGATAATAGGCATTGACTCCAGCTGCAGCATTGTTTGGATTCATTTCTATCACTAAGGATGAATATCCTAAGTGGCTTCCAGATCTTTTTGAAGAAGCAGAAATTAAATACCACGACAGACATCAGTTCTCCAGCATGTTGGAAGAATCAGTCAAGAACTTCTGGAAGAGACACCTTTACCATGATTTGCCTGAATTAGAACAATACAGATTCGCATTCTCTAATTCTTATTTCAGTTAAATATTTTTTATTTTTTATATTTCTATTTTATAATAAAAAAATCATATTATTTATTTAATTATTTTTGATTAACGAATCAAGTTTTCTGACTTCTGCACTTTATCATTCAGCATTTGCTAATATATTCTCTTCAATTGCAAATATTCAACCATTGAATTCAGCAGAATCTAATATATTAAGGCTGAAACTTAGTAATACATCAGCGTGTTATAGTGTTATTGTCAAAAATTTCATTTTTCTCATTATAACTCTTTGAAGTAAATTAACTTAAGATATTTCTTCCTGAAGTTGTTCTTACTAAACTACTATGGAAACTCACAGTGTATTACAGTAGATTTTATATAATACACTTTTACAAATCACAAATTGAGCAAAATATGGGGAGATGTAGGAAAAAAATTGATTTTCTCATTTTTACCGCAGCTATATTTGAAATTATGAATCATTTATCTTCGAAATTGCTTGTGCAAAGTGTAACGTTTAATTGGAAAATCTTGCGTTGTAATGCATGAAAATTCGGTTCACTTCACTTCTGACACTTTACATATCGGATGTATTATCTAAGAATTATATTATAAAATAATAATTTTGTGTTTTATAAGTTTATTTGTATAAATTGATTCAAAAAAAATGGAAAGACAAGAAGTGGATCTGCCAAATGAAAATCAGATTTATATTACGGCATATCTTGAATATTCTATTGGCAAAAAGACAGCAGACCAAGTTGCAAAAGATTTGCACATAGGTAGAAAAAAATTATTATTAAAATGGCAAGAACTTGGTTTAAATCCAAAAAAGCTCGGAAGACCAGAAACTCCTCTTAGAACAGATTTGTTACCAACCATTCACGAAATAAAAGCTAAGTACAATCTAGGTTATAAAAAAGTTTTAGAGAGTTACATACATGATGACACAGTTTCATTTCACGATATGCTTAAATTATACGAAAAAGAGAATCTTTTCAAATTTCGGCGAGATCCAGAAAAAATTGATGAACATCCAAATCAGTATGTTTCCCAATACGTAAATCAGCAATGGCATACTGATTTAAAAAGCTTCAAAGAAGAGACAAATGGTACCAAGCATACTTATCATTTAATTGCCTTTATCGATGACAGATCTCGTTTTTGTATTTATTACGAAATTCTTCCCGATAAAACAATGAAATCAACTTCAAAAGCTTTACAAAATGCTATCGACTCTATCAAAATTATTCCATACGAACTTTTGACAGATAATGGATGCGAATTTACAGGAAAGGACTTCAAAAACGTTCTTCAAGTAAATGGCATTCAACACCATCGGACAGAACCTTACACACCACAGTTAAATGGTAAAATAGAACGTTTTTGGCAAACAATCTTTTCGGCTCGCCCAGATTTTATCGAAATAAGAGAATTTTTACCTCACGCAATAGAAGAATACAACACAGTATGGGTTCATACAGCTCTTAAAGATCTTTTCGGTGGAAAACCTACTCCAAAATCAATTTGGGACCAGGGTCCTAAATGGACAAAGGACTTAAACCCAAATCCTGAGTTCGAAATACAGCCTCGTAACTAAAAATAAAGTAAAAATACGAATAAACATTTTATTATAATTTAAATAATTTTTTTATTCATAAAGTAATACGATATATAGCTAAGCTATGTAAGGATATTCTGATGCTGAGAGTTTAAGAACTTTAAATTACGTATAGAAAAAAAATTCATTTAATATTTTGTAACATTTTTTAAATTGATAGATAGTTAGATTTTGTAGGGGAAGGTAAGATTCTTTGTGGTAATAATGGTCGTTGAAATTAAAATGAATGTAAGATTTGTGGAGAAATTGTATAAATTTGCATAGTGTTAGATTCAGAATAGGAGCATATGAGCCAGTGATTGTGTCTAATGTTTTTAAGGTGCTAATTGGAAGTAGAAAAGAAAAAAATTTGTTGCAATAACATCATATTGCAAAAAAGTTTTTAAAATATGATGTATGAATAAGAGTATGATTGGTATAGATTTGGGTTGTATAAATGTGATTGAACAATTGTTAATGGAAAGTTCAAAAACTTGGGTGCAATCAGAACTGATTGCACCCAAGTTTTTGAACTTTGTATAAGGAATTGTTGGCTATGATGTACTGATTCATGATCAGTACATCATAGCCAACAATTCCTTCGCAAACAGCGGGAAACTTTGTCTGAATAGTTTAACATTCAGACAAAGTTTCCCGCTGTTTGCGAAGGAATGGAAGGGTAAGAGGTATACATTATGAATATATACCTCTTACCCTTCCATTCCCTCGAGAAAGTTCAAAAACTTGGGTGCAATCAGAACTGATTGCACCCAAGTTTTTGAACTTTGTATAAGGAATTGTTGGCTATGATGTACTGATCATGAATCAGTACATCATAGCCAACAATTCCTTCCCAAACAACCCGAAATTTGTCTGATTCCACACTAATTTTATTAATTTATCTAAACTTTTATCCTCGTCTACAATTTAATCATCAATAATTATCTCTTGTTCTATTTCACTATTATATATATATATTTATATGATTTGATTTAAAAAAAAAATAAATAAATTAATAAATCATTTACTCAAATATATCAAAAGTTTTATTTTTATATATAAAGATAACTACTTTTAAAAAAAAATACCCTATATATTTTTGCCATGTAAACTATTTTTGCCATGTAAACTTGTCACTTTTGTCAGAAGTGAAGTGAACCGAATTTTCATGCACAAAAGGAAAATCTTGCGTTGGTAGAGGATAAGAAATGTATTTAATGACATCAATAGTTTCTGTATCTGTAATTTGAGTTGAACCTTCAAAATGAACATAAACAGACTCTTCTCCGAAAAAGTCTTTACATGATTTTCTTAAAATTGTTTCACTTGTAATATATAAATTACTTCTTTTTCGAAATGCATTTTTTGGACCTTGATAAACATTAAATCTGCCTTTAATATAAATATTCATTCGATTTGGAATATCGGAAAAAGCAGTGGATGAAATTCTGATTGAAGTTATATTGTTTTGGAATGTAATACTTGTTAGAGACTCACAATTTCCAAATGCTTTATCTCCAATATAACTTACATACCCTAAAGAATTGTTATACTTATTAATGATGTGCATTCATAAAATACTTCATTATTAATTTTGGCTATCTTCAAAGGAATTGTAATACTGCTTAAAGACTTGCATGATTTAAATACGCCAACTCCAATTGTGTTTACACTATCTGGAATTGTAATACTTGTTAACGATTGGCATGAGTAAAATGCATAATTTTGAATAGTTGTTATTCTATCTGAAAATGTAATATTTGTTAATGATATGCAATATTGAAATGTATAAGACTTAATTTCATTTATTATTCCGAGAAATGTAATATTTATCAAATTTGAACAAGAAGAAAATGCATAATCTAAAACATCATTTACATTTTGCGGAATTATTATACTTATTAATGATTTACAAAATTTAAATGCATATGCACCAATAATTTTTGTACTATCTGGAATTTTAATACTTCTTAAAGATGAACAATTTTGAAATGTACCGGATTGAATTATTTCTATGTTTCCTGGCATTTTAATACTTGTCAAAGAATCACAATATGAAAATGCATCCTTTCCAATTTCTTTGACTTTATCATCAATTTGAATTGACAAAATTTTTGTACAATAAGAAAAGCATTCTTCTGAAATAGTTGTAACATAACTCGCAACAGTATATGCGCCGGAATATGCTTCAACAACTTTAATTAATGTTGAATTATCTGTTCTTGTATAAAGAGATTTAGTATCACTTGTAAAATTTGCATTTTCTTGATCAACTGTTATATTTTCTAAATTTTGACAGCATAAAAATACCGAAGAACCGATATCTGTTACATTTTTTGGAATGAAAATTGAAGTAAGATTTGTGCTTTTAAAGCATTCTTGATTTAATTTTTGTAAGCTAGAATTCGATGAAATATTTATTATTGTTAAGCCACTAAAGTAAAACGCCAAGCCAGAAATAAGATATACAGAATCCGGTAAATCTAATGATGTTAGATTTGGATCGTAAGAAAAGCAAGATATTCCAATTCTTTCAAGATTTGGTGGAAGTATAACTGTTTTCAAGTTTTTGCAGTTTTCAAAGACATGCGCATTGATAATCTTAAGCACTTTGCATTCACCGAGATCTGCTTTTTCAAGAGCTGTATTCTTAAAACTATATTCTCCAATTTTTGCAATTTGACTATTTTTGTCGAATCTAAGTGATGTTATTGAATCTTTACATTTCTTAAATGCATAATTATCTGGTTTTCCAATTTTTATTTCTGTAACTTGTTGAGGGATGAATACTTCTCCCCTAGAATCTGTTGAACATCCAGTGACAACTTGATTGTTATGTTCATATTCTAGATGTACACCACTAA